CCGCTCGTTCTCATGTTATAGCAACTAATTCCGAACTTCTACAAAAATTTGAACCCCGTGGTGCAAAGGCCGATAAAGCCAAACAAGTCACTGCTTACATTGTTGGACATTCACAAGATGGTACGGCCAAAGATGTCACGATACGATACTTGAAAGGCCATATGTTACTTGGTCGAACCAAGGGCAATCGCATACCTGTCGAGAAAGTACCAGTATATAACTCTAGAGGCAAGATCAAGCGCCATGAATACTATGACTGGTTCAAAACTGTAATGAGCGGTTATGTGCGAGGGAGTAAGAAATGCCCTAGGACCGAGATTGATGATCATGAGGAAGCTACAGACCTCAAAGCTGTTCAGCCCAAGAAAAAGGAAGTGAAGGAAGGAGAGGAAACTCTTCAATCCTACAAGTCTTCTGCTGAATTTGTACTGGAAAGACATCTTAGACGAGAAGAAGCTATCCTTGATACAGCAAAACATGTAAAAATGTTCACTGTCAAAGCGAAAGGCGATAATCCTACAGAAGAAAAGGTCTTTCTTCGAAAAGACGTCGTCAGTTGTAAAAGCTTGGAGACATGGCATAAGGAAGGCCGAGCACCCATGCCAGGTGCAATACCACGAAAACGTGTTCCTTATCGAGCAGCAACAACAAATCGGAAGCGTGAGCTTGCTGAAGCAGAACTTGAAAGTGGAGAGAAAATGTTACAAGGTCTTTATAGCCGTGATCAAACTGATTGGATTATTCCTCCACCTATTGAGAATGGTGTCATTCCGAAGAATAGCTATGGAAATATGGATGTTTATGTGCAGAGTATGGTACCAGTGGGTGCGGTCCATATTCCGAGAAGAGGCACAAAGAGGATTTGTACACGGCTAGGAATTGATTATGCGGAAGCTGTTACTGGATTTGAATTTGGTGCTAGGATGGCTATACCAATTATTACTGGTGTTGTGGTGGCTGAGGAGAATCTAGAGCTGGTCATGGAAGAATGGGAGAAAGATGAAGCGGAGAGAGTTAGAAAAGAGGATGAGAAGAAAACTAAAGCCGCTATTAGTATGTGGAGGAAGATGATAATGGGACTTCGGATTATCGAAAGAATGACAGATGAATATGGAAGTCATGGTGGACATGAAGTAGACCTCGTCAATCCGTTCAATAATAGAAATAAGAAAGAAAAGGAAGTCGGCCGAGACTCTAATTCGGAAGAGCAAGCGATCGAGATGCAACAACAGGATGAAGAAATGGCAGGCGGTTTTTTCCCTAAAGGGCACGATGAAGAGGAGCCGGATATGCATCATTCGACTAGTTTCTTTCCAGTTGTTGCATCGCAAGAAGACGCAGATGAGGATGAGGGAGGAGGAGGATTTATTGTTGAAGACGAGGAACGAGAGACAAGTAATGAGACTAATGAAACTTTATCTGCCACATCTCAAAGGTTTCAATTCATTGGAGACGAGAATACCGACACAAACCCAACTTCCGATGACGAATCAGAAGAAGAAATGAAAAATAAGAAACCACAAGCCATATTACCTGCTCCAACTCCCCGCACTAGGGGAAGGCCAGCTGGTTCAACAAACAAAGCCCTTCCCAAAATCAAGCCTTCGGACTCAAATTCTAAACCAAGAACTCCCGCAAAACGCGCCGCTCCTGCACCAAAAGCTTCTGGTAAACGAAAACGTATCCCAGACTCCGAAGACGAGGATGATGATGATTCTTCTTCTTCACTCTCTGATATTGGAATGGATGATGAGGAAGAAGATGAAGATGTTGCGGCACCGCCCAAGAAATCATTAGCAAAGAAACGTGAACCAGTAGCTAAAAGGGGAGTTACTACACCGGCGGCTTCTACCCCGCCGGTGAGGAAAACTCCAAGAAGAAATGCAAAGAGAGTTAGTGAGACGGGGACGAGATCGCGTTATTTCGAACATGTAGGAGATAGTGAAGAGGATGAGGACGATTGAGCTGGTGAAGGATGAGAAGTTGGGGGAATGTATGATAGATATGACCTTATGTGGTACTAGGCGGATTTGTATAATATCATATACGTGCAACTTTGATTTCGAACTAATGGACACGGATTGGGCTGAAGTTATGGAACGGCGGTGGGAATAGATGAGCGCATGGTATGAGGAAATGATGCACATTCAGGGGTTGAGAGGTCTAAAATAGCATCGTGTATTATAATGATGTAAAACTTTACATTTGCATCTACACCCACTATTATATGTATGACAAAGATCATCGACTGAGAAGATAGTAATCTTACTACATATTTCATTTATCCCGCTATCCATCTTTCATACAAGGGCCTGGGCAAATATAAATAGATCTAAATTCCCAACCATCTGGAAAATAAAAATGTCTATATTTTGGTCTCACCGTCATCTAGAGTTAATAGATGGATGGATGGATGGATGGATTGCAAAGATGTTCACCCCTCCAACTACCTAGCGTGCCGGAAAGATTATTCTTGGCTCTGGATGTGGGTGGACTTCTTGGGAGTTAAGATCGGTTTAGATATAGGACTTGGTTATTATATACTTATATATGCTGTTGCTCATAAGTTATTGATATTATCATGTTTTAATGACAATAAGCATGTATTCGTGGGAGTGATAGTGATGTGTTTCACTTTTTATTTCCTTCGGATATTATCAGGTAAATTATGTTATTATATATATATATGTTATGCTGTTATTCTCCTACTTTTTAACGACCCGATTAGCGGTAAGGTCTACAAGCACATTAAGCGTCTCATTTTTGGATTACAGTACGTTTTATATTAGGTGAAAAGAATCGAATGGATTTTGTCCCTTTCATATCCATCGCTATCGCCTGTGGATTCTCTGGTACCGAACAGTAGGAGCATCTTTAGAGCCATCCTCGTTGAATAGAATACATAAATTTCAGGATCAGGGTCAAACAATATGCGTATTCCTATCATATTCATCAAACCTCTAGATTCAGTTCTAAGCTGAATTCCTTGGGCAAGTCTTGTCTATATAAACTTTTCATCGGGCTGCTCTCTACTATAGTAACGGTAGAAAGTAAGTTCAGAATGACAAAGCATGATTTGAACCAATTAGTCCGTCCTGTGGTAGTGAAATTTTGAGCTAGACGTTGCTGCATTCCTCTGACTTGAAAGCGTGGTCTGGATTACACAGATAATAATATATGTATATATGATATACTGCCAGCGGCTAAATGAATGGCAAAGATGAATTGGATAACGACGAAAAAAACGGCCTAAACTCAATACAATTCTACCAAATAAACCCTAGATACTATAATATCGCCTTAGTTCGATTCCCATGTAACAAGCTACTTTATATACCACCCATATTCAACTTTTCTATCCCCTCTACTAATAGTACCTAAGTTCGGGTATTTGGTTAACAAGTAAATCATTAGAACTAAATAGACTTACGTCTATGGATGATACAAATAGCAAGGCTTTACTTTACTGTATTTTCAGGTGCCTCAACAGTTCTTTTTAAAAGTCACTTGCATCCTAAATTTCATACCCCATACTTCTCTCTTTGCAACCATTTCCATCAAATTAAATTCACCACAATCTGAATTTTGTCAATGTTTCTCTGTAAAAGCTTTCTACCAGCAGCCCTAGACCGTCATACAAACTGTAATAACTAAAGAGATCTGAAAGATCAAGGATCTTCTGAACTAGATTACTGTGTTGTTCTACTCGAATATCAGGATTCAAATTGCATCGTTGTAGGGCTGTGTGAATGCTAAAGTTGGGAAGCAATGTAGGCTCGGGAAGTGTCAGATGTTTAGAATATTGTCATCTCCCAGCACCTATATACTGTCACTTTAATATTAACGACAAAAGCTACCTAATAATGTTTATGTTGGTACGAGAAGGATACGGAAGACGTAGCACCCACGGATTATGTAGGTCCTGTATGTCTAATTGTATTCTGTCTAAAAAGCTAGCTACATATTGAAAGTGGTAAGTCTTATATAGACTTACTAAAAGAGCTAGTCTCTTTCGCGTTCGCTTAGTTCTTTATTACAGTAGTAATTGAATTGAAGTCATTCACTTCGTTCACACAGTTTAATTATCATCGAATAATAACACTCGTCTCATAAATATTAGTTCGGAAGCAACATTAGAACGGCTGCTTTTTTAAGCAGGGAGAACTATCAAAGTCGAAAATGAATTATCATGGCATTCACAAAGTAATCTCCATACATCATAATGCTTCTTTGTCCAATTATTTGACCTCTCAGTGAGTTTTATAGAATAATTTAAATAGTTGTATCATAAAAATAGCAAGTCATGGCGACGCGGTAGCATTCTCAAATCATTCACTAATACCCATCAATTACCTCCTACTCAAGCCTCAATGATTCACAAATCAAACAACTAATCCCTCCCTTCATCATCTATGCCCGCCGGTGCCGCAAAGTCATATTCACCTACATATCCAACCAACTAACCTTCGCCCATCTTCTATAAAAGTACCTTGTTCCTCCGTCAAGTAATTTTTATATATACTACTCCACAAAATCAAAAGCTGCAAAGATCTGCCGGGCTTCCATATACGCGGAGCTGAAGACAAAAGTTTGGGAGGTGTCTTGTAAAGGTTTCTCAATATACTCTTTTTTTTTGCTCTTTTATATTTCGTTTTTTATCTTAAGCATGTTTTGCTTTACAGTCAAAAATCCTAGTCTAGTAGCAATCATAACTTTTCTTCAAAACGATAATAAAAGTGATATTATGATCACTATTACCTGATCCATCTAATATAACTTTCACTTGCAATTGCGTATTAGTCCTGCGACTATTAACCACTTTCCACTCTTCTAATCCTCCTTTCTTATTTCTTTTTCGTCGTTCCTCCTCCGCCTTCCCCGAAAAGTAGATACACAAGACTCCTTCCAGTGTATCTGTATCACGATTCCATTTTTTGATTTGTTCTTTTTAAAACCCCATACTTCTATGTTTAAATAACTTTCCATTGAGCACTAAGAATGACGTTGACCATCTACTGAGTTCTATAATAGCTCTCCATTATATTTGGTCCCAACCCTATATCTATAGTGAGACTCCGAACTCGTATCTAATAGGATTTCTCTTTATATATTTAAGACTCCGACTTAGTAGCCCCTTTATCATTTCCTCGTCTATTTTTCCACACCCCCTATCAACCAATCAACATCCAAATCTTAAATTCTTCTATAAAAATATTATTATATTACTATATAATATGAGCAAAAAGCAACGATCTTACATCGTCAATTGATTAGACACACTTATCTTACTAGCTACGATGTAACAGACAAGCCTACCAAAAAGTATCATGATAGATGTTGAATATCAGCGATGGCACCGCAAAACTACTGTATCAGATTAATCTCAGAGCTCTTTAGCGAGAGACTTGTGCTCCCTTTTGACAGAAATCTTACCAAAAAAAAACAAAAAAAACAGTAATAACTCTTCTCCCATCGACAACAAAAAACTAGTATCAATTATTAATTACTGTCTACAAATTCTAATACCATCTCACTATCATTTCATCTTTTTCACATCAACTAATTTTCATCCCTCTCCGAAAAACCTAAGTCTTAAGCCCGTAGAAACAAGACCTGGAAAGCAATATAAATGACAAAGTAGATATTATCAAAATATACACTTCTGATCCTCCTTTTTGTGAACGAGATCTTTTAGTCGTGGAAGAGCAATTCCAAACACCCCTTTATATAGCTAGATATCTAAGAAAAAAAGAGCTATATTCACCTGGAACCCTCAGTCCTTTACGCAAGCTACTAGCAATCTCCACCATGTATTTCCCCTACATAGCCATCAATCCAATCTTCGTCCCAAATTCACCACACCCCTCATTTTCTCACATTTCCCCCTTCTCCTTAAACACAGACCACTCATTCTATTACCGATCATCTATCTCTATAAAAAGAACCACTCACTATTAACACATACCTCCCCAAGGCAATTATACAAAAGATGTACATATTGAAATCAGATCTTGTATTATAATATAATTAACTTAGATTTGCATTCTCCTGCCCTCTCTTTTTTTTATTAATTATAAATCATGTTCTCTTAATTATCAAATCTCATATAATTTTATCAAAATGATAATTATCAAGTTTGACAATGAGATAGTTGTTATTATTGTCATTATTTGATTTTGACCTCTGTTCTATATCATCAAGCATCTTTCTTCCTGTGCCTTTTTACTCAATCCTTTATCAACTTTATTCTCCCGTCCCCCACTTCTCTTTTTTCCTCTTTTTTTATCCTCACTCTTTTTCCCCTTTCCCCCCTTTTTAATATCAGCAGAATGAGAGTAAATAATTTAAAAGAAAAAACAAAATAAGTATTATAAAGATATATAGCCTTATTATTATATATATATCTCTCTCTCATCCCCCGCTCTCTTCCCCCGCTCTACCCCCCTCTCACTCACCACTATTTCCCAACCCCCATTTATCCCCAAATAGCTTCTACTAACCCCATCCCATCCCATCCTGTTGGGTTTCTTGAGACCAGAAAGAGCATCAGATTGAATTGATTGATTCTCTAGCTAAGCAGTTAAGCTGCGAGTATATATCCAAAAAATGAAGGAATAAGGTTAGGTATTCGGCCTTCGGAATTAAAGTGCTTTGAAATCAAAATATTGAAAGCAAACAAACAGTATACCAAAAAGGAAAGAATGAATTAAAAGTTGAGTTTTGTTTGCTCCTTATATGCATCATGCAATATATATGCATATGCTGCCAAGATCCCAGGAGGTCAACACATCCCATCCCATCTCATCAAACTCAATTCAAAAAAATTCACTGAAGATTAAATATATACATCTATCTCCTGCGAAGTATATATCCTCTTATCTTCCTAGTATTTATATCCATCTACCTACATACCCAATCATCTATTCATAATTCAATCTATTTCTTTATAATCCATAATCACAATCCTGAATCATAGCACGACATAGACATCATAGAACTTCACATAGATAAAAAAAAAGCATAACAAAATACAACACAATACAACACATCACAAGAACAGAATAAAATGAGGTGAAGAGCATTTTCTACTTGTTAATTCTAAGATTCAAGAATGGAGCTGAGATCTATCCCAATTGACTTTTTGACCCACGCTTCATCTCTACTCTCCATGTATATATCTAACCCTTTAGATAAAGTCAAATACCAGTTATGGAAGATGAACTCCGGATTCCATAGCTTTATCTAACTATCTTACCTATCCCAATGCACCATCTCAACCCAGCCCATCATAATACCTCTAGATTCATTTCCTTGGAACTCGCTAACATCCACCCCCTTAAAGGTTCGCAGTCTCCTGTTGAGTCTTCCTAACAACCTTATCCACAGCTTGTGCAAAATAACCAATATTATTCGTGTTCAATCCCGCCATACTGATTCTTCCATTGTTCGTCATATACACATGAGCCTCGCTTCTCAATTCCAAGACTTGCTTTTCAGTCAACCCTGTGAATGAAAACATGCCGATTTGATCAGTGATATGGTTCCATTTTCCAGGTGTACCCATCTCTTCTAGCTTTGATCGAAGTTCTTTGCGCATGGTCATGATTCTTCCGGACATTTCCTTTAAGTTTTCTTCCCACTCCTTGAATAAAGCTTCGTCGTTTAAGATTGTGCTTGCGATTCTAGCACCATATGCTGGAGGAGTTGAGATTTCGGATCTCTGTAAAAGGGTCAATTGACTTGCAATTCTACCAATCGTCTGTTCCGCGTCTGGAGCCGCTCCAGTTACGAAGTGGAAACATCCGGCACGTTCACTATATAGACCAAGATTCTTGGCAAAAGACTGAGCGATACAAAGCTCAAAGCCTTGCTCGATGAAATAACGAATGGCCCATGCATCATTTGCCAAATCACCGGAAGCAAATCCTTGGTATGCGCAATCGAAGAAAGGGAAATGTTGTTTTTGTTTCAGGAGGACGGCAAGTTCTTTCCATTGGTCTTTTGTTGGATCAACACCAGTGGGGTTATGTGCACAAGCGTGTAAGAGAATAACACTCTTATCAGGAGCATTTTGGATGGTACTCTTCATGCCATCGAAATCCAAACCCTTTGTAGATTTTGAGAAGTATGGATATGTAGCAACTGGAAGGTGAACATTGGAGAAGATTTGATGATGATTTACCCATGTTGGGTTACTCAAATAAACGGTTGGAGAATTGGGGTAGAATTTCTTGAAAAAGAGAGCACCGAGATGAACAGCTCCAGTACCGGAGATAGCTTGAATGGAATAAGCACGTTTATCGGCGAGAGCTGGAGAATCAGCTCCTAACATAAGTTTCGCAGCAGCGGATGTGAAAGTGTTGAGACCGGCGATGGGAAGGTATTCGTGGTTTAAAGCGGGGTCATTGCGAAGGATCTCATCAGCCTAGAAACATATATACGTTAGCAGATATCAAACAATATTCAAAGACTTTAAATACCTTCTTAACAACTGGCAGAACCCAAGGTTTTGCATCGTTGGTCCTATAAGCACCAATGCCCAAGTCAACCTTCTTATCAAAAGTATCAGCACGATAAGCAGCCATCAGCCCGAAGAGGGGATCCTCTGGAGCTTTAGGAACCGCATTCTCGGGAAAACTAGTAGCAGATAATTCAGACATCTTATTGGAGAAGATGTGAAGTTCTTTCTTGACGAGAAGAAAGGGATGAAAGGGATGAAGAGGATGAAAAGGACGTGGAAGATGATTGAGGAGAGCAATAAATGTGAGTGAGGGGGAGAAGAAGATGATTTAAATGTCATAATATAATCTTGGCATTTTAGAGCACAGTAACATAAACAGCGCAAACATGCGTGCGGGGACCCGTTGTCTCGCTTGGCAAAATCTGGGGTGATCTTATAGGATTGCAGTGTGTAAATGGGATATTTTCTGTATTAAAGTTTTAGCTAATGGCAAGCAATAGTGGTTTGTGAGCCAATGAAATGAGTAGGTTTATTCTATGCGAGCATCGGACTTGAGGAACTGGTTAAGACTTTCTCTGTTTTCTCTATAATATTTACAAAGGCCGAGGTATGATTTCCCTCTACGTTTATCTAATCCGAGGGATTTTCTAATACTACCTAGTACATGGTACACACATCTAAAGATTCTCGAGATACTCACTCCCAAATACTATTACTTCCGAATATCATCAATAATTCGGTATCGATTTTAACTTCAAATCCATGTGCTGACCCATAATACATTCCCGTGACAAATTCCCTTTTATGATCTGCGGGTACCTGGCCAAGCAAGTCACGATAATCGTCAGCCAAACAGGTAGCTTTCCATGTGAATAATATATATTTGATTGGTGCGGCTCAATGGATGATTGATTCATGATAAGTTTCAGATATCAGATATCCCACTTCTACTTCCATTTCCTATTTCCACTCCTGTAACTAACTAAATTCATATTATATCACTAGATCCCATAGGACCAGAAAAGCACTAAGTCCACATGATGCATAGAATACATACTTTGCTGTACTCTTTCGTTCAGTTGCCCTTTTCAATTCCTTATTACCTCCGCCGACATTTTCGGTAGTTTGGTGAGATTGTTCGGCTAGGATTTCGATTTGTTCCGCTTGTGATGCTACACTATTCAAGAGTTGCGTCTGAAGCTCCGAGATTTCAATCAAGGACTTTTCTGCTGTTCTGCAATATAATATAGTCAGCGTAAGGTCAACAAGTATCAATGAACACCATGAACATACTTGACCTGATCCAAGGTACTCTGATAATGTTTCAACATATCATGATTCTCTTGTTCAAACATTTGTATTTGTTCCGGAGTCAGTCCTTGTTCAGGAAAGGAGGTTTGTGATGGTGATTGTGCCTCTAGGTGAGCATTTCCACTTGAAGTATATTTTGTCGATGATGACTCTCCAAAGCCCACAATATCCGGCATCATTACGCGAGATTTTGCAAGATTACTCTTGTTCTTCTCCATCTCCCTCATGATTCTCTTCTCCATCATTGAAGCTTGAAGGGTACCACATTCTGAAAGCTTTTGCCGTAGATACCACACCACACTATCGCGATGCATCTTGATTGCATTTAGTTTTGCTTCTTCCAACTCTTGCTCCATGGATTTTGATTGTTCTCCACCTCCTGCTGCCCAATTTCCAAATCTTCCCAAAGTTCGTGCATATTTATTTTGTATCATCAGTGCCTCGGCGGTATATCGTATGCCTTCAGCCTCATCCATACTTCGTATGCTAACATTTAGTTCTCGTAATAATTTTTTCGTTTCGGCATCGATTTCTTCGCGCTGGCGATCGTTCAAATGTCGCCATTGTTTCGTTTTGGAAGATATATTTGTTCGCCTTGGAGGGGGTGCTGTTGAAAGATAGGATTGTCGGATATCCCTGAGATAGCTATTCAATGAAGCTATATGTGAGTTCTGATAGAATTTATAAGTAAGTTATATCAGCGAAAAGAGTGATCGCTATGACGTACTATTCGATATGCCTCCTTTAAGAACTCATCAATATTCTGAAGGGTTAAAGAGGGATCTGCTGTGGGAGGAGCATTGAGCTCTTTCAGCAATTTATTGAACTCTGGAGTTATGTCTGTCATAATAGAAACATGTGTTGAAAAGATAAATGCTTCAATCTACCATGACATTGTTTGCAGTCGTTGTACAAAGTGTGTTTGAACTGAAAGCTTTGCGCCAGTCCAATAAAGCTGGCCCGAATGCGATGATGGAATGACAAGGCTGAAATAAAACTAGAATTCGATTATGTAAGAAATTCAAGCTTTTGCGCCCCACCAATGGCTGACTGCCGACCATTTTGACTCTCGGCTGACTGATGGCATGGATCACAGATGAGAGACGAGAATCTTGTACTCCATATATGTATACACTTTAATTTACAAGACCTTATACCTTATTCCAACTTCTCACATTCTCTCTGCTTTTCCCTTTTATTTTCCTTGTCCCTTTCAACTCCTTTTAGCAACTTTCTACTATTGCAAGCGTTGCAACAGTCTCTCCTTCCTCCTCCGTATATCGCAATATATACTTGCACTTGCGAATTCCGCTCTTGATGGGATTTCGCCGATCACACATGATCATGCATAAACCTCATTGCCTGGACTGCGAAATCGGTGCGACGACATGGGGATCCTTCGACGAATCAACATCTGTCAAAGGATAGATCGGATCTAAAGTGCCGTGAAGAACCGCCAAAATGGCAGGTTGACTAACATTTCATTATTAAGCCATTACTGTACCAGTTATTCGTGCTTTGATCTACTATGCAATCTTTCATGAGCCGTTACTGTACAGCTCTAAGCTACTATGCAATCTTTCATAAGCGCTTCCTATATCTCTACAACGTTCGCTTTCCAACGGTAAGTATTTTTTTCCACATTTTCTCCCTCCATCTTTCCTCAATCTCTTTTTCACTCGCGTACTCTTCATCATGTCTGAAGTGAATCGCCTCGAAAATGCAGAAAAGTCACAAGAAGCAGAAGCGAGTTTACAAGGTGCCATCGTCCCCAATGAATTAGATCAATGCCCAGAAGATTCTACTGTAGAGGAAAGAGAGAGATTACCGGAACATGTCTCTATCCATAATCAATCCTCCTCTTCATCGTCAATAGCAGAAGATCAAGATGATACACCCGATCTCGAATTGGCACCTGTTGCTTCCGGTCCACCATATTCGGCTTTTGGTCTTTGGAAAAAGAGATACATTGTCGGCATGTGCACATTGGCAGCTTTCATCTCCCCTACGTCGGCCAACATATACTTCCCGGCGCTTAATCCACTCGCCGCGGACCTGGGTGTATCTAATACCCTCATCAATTTGACTCTCACATCTTTCATGATCTTTCAAGGTCTGGCGCCAACAGTTTTTGGAGATTTAGCAGATATGGCTGGAAGACGTCCTACATATATCATTGCATTCATTATATACTTGGGCGCAAATATTGGTCTAGCGCTACAGAACAGTTATGCTGCTTTGTTCATCCTACGATGTTTACAAAGTTGTGGAAGTAGCGGTGCCATCGCTTTAGGGTTTGGAGTCATTGCGGATGTATCCACAAGTGCTGAACGGGGATCTTACATGGGACTTGTTGGAGCTGGCGCCATGATGGGACCAGCTATAGGACCTGTGATTGGTGGTATCTTGGCACAATTCCTGGGATGGCGTGCAATCTTTTGGTTTCTCGTAATTCTCGCAGCTGTGTTCCTCATACCATTTACTCTTACCGTTCCTGAAACTGGCCGGAACGTTGTTGGTAATGGATCTATCCCGCCTCCAGGCTGGAATATGACGGTTGTTGAATGGTGGAAATGTCGCAAAGAACAAAAGTCTGCAGATGGACTTTCTCGGACAGCAACAGCTGAAAGTAGAAGAGCCGCGCAGGCCGACCTTGCAAGCAAACGAAAACTACGCTGGCCAAATCCTTTGAAAACAGTATACATCATCATGGAGAAGGACGTTGCCATGGTGTTATTTTACAATGCTCTACTATATACAGCATTCTACGACGTTACAGCTTCTACACCACAACTTTTCAAGGAAATATACGGGTTCAATGACTTACAGATTGGTCTATGCTATCTCCCGTTTGGATGTGGTTGTGCGTTGTCTAGTATTATCAACGGTAAAATGTTGGATCGAAATTACAAGAAAATAGCCCGAGATATCGGATTTAGCATCGATCGTAAGAGGGGCGATAACCTGAGACATTTTCCCATTGAAAGGGCTAGATTAGAGATAATTTGGCCTCTCTTGAGTGTGGGACTTGCTTGCTATCTTTGTTATGGTTGGGTGCTGGAGAAGAATGCTAACTTGGCTGTACCTCTCGTTCTTCAATTCTTCTTAGGGCTTTGCATTAACGGTGCTTTCAATGTTCTAAGCACTCTTGTTGTTGACTTGTATCCACAAAGTCCATCTACCGCCACGGCTGCAAATAATCTTGTACGATGTCTACTTGGTGCAGGTGGAACAGGGATCATTACTATTATGATTGATCATATGGGAAGAGGATGGTGCTTTACATTCATTGCTCTTGTGTGTATTGCCACATCTCCAATGTTATGGATTGAATTTAAATGGGGACCGGTATGGAGAGAAGAAAGAATGGTAAGAATAGATAAGCAGGCTGGAGAAGAGAAGCTTAGACAGGAAGCTGAAGAGGCTAATGCTCAAGTCACGCAACATGATGGAACAATGAACGAGAAAGTTTAATGATACCTTGGCTATTTTAGTGATGATTGGCGTTTGTATGTAGCATTAGATGGTTTGATTTCTGGCACATACCCGGTTGCGTTTTATTTATAATCTACTCGGCATTGTATGTATTGCATGTATTGGGGGAGATGAAGAAACTATTCGAGGATGGCGCGGTGGGAAGGGATGGTTTAGTTGTTAATTCGCGAAGGGCCAATAATATATAGCTTAGCATGCTATCTCAAAATTCCATACACATTTAATCAACTGTGAGCCGGACTTAATACTGCTTTTTGCTTTATTTCCGAGTTTGTGGGGTTCCATCCAAAAGGAAAATAAAAATTATTCCATGCATCATTTATCCGGAAATGTCGGGTCCACGGTCAGATCTCTTCAAAATATTGGTAAGCATATATATATGAATGGAAGTTGGCTTGTTATTTTCCACTTTCTTCTCTCTGAGTGATGGAAGATTTTGGTCATGAATTCCTTGTGGTCTTTGAATTCTTGATATGATTGTTCTTTCTGATGATATGTTCTCAGATAAACTAGTGTTTCCCTGTGATATTCTTAAAAAGCATCAATTTTGGGGCCCTTGGATGGGAGACTTTCACATTAAAGCGGAGTAAATGAAAGCTATTCTATACTCCGGCTTATTTTCAGTTACGGTCTGCATGAAAAGCGGTTGGATACCCACCTAATGCATGGTTCCGGTCATATTCAAAGGTAGCTTTACAAACGCATAACCATCTTATATGATCGTACCTTCCAAACACACTTTCAATCCATCCGCATATAATTCACCAATGTCTCTTTCCCTCACCGTCTCAATCATCCAATGTCAAACACATTCATCTTCAAAACAAGATGGATACATCCAAAATCGAAGATATCACCATCTCCAACCTCCCACGATCAGAATCAGACAAACCTCCCGAACTTCCCCTCTATCGACAAGTTTCAACTCAGCCCTCAAACACAGGTCTAATCACCTACGATGATCTCCCATCCTGGCACAAAGACAATCCTTCAATCTATACATCCTACCGACCCATCACACACTCCATATCCCGCTCCCTAAAATCCCTCTTCACTCTACACAACGAAACCCTAAACATCCACACGCATTCTCTCCCCTTCCTCACCTGTTTCCTCCTCATAGGACTCATCTTCTACATCTTCTCCATCTACTTCCCACATAGTCCATTGGTTGATAAATTCATCTTTGCCATCTTCTTTCTTACGACTACAATATGTATGGGCCTTAGTACGGGATATCATACATTGATGAATCATTCACAAGAGGTAGCGGGGATATGGCTACGATTAGATTTTTGTGGAATTGTGGTAGCGATTTTGGGGGATTTTGTTACGGGGATTTATGTCGCTTTTTATTGTGAGTGGAAGTTGCAGGTGGGATATTGGGTTATGGTTTGTGATCCTTTTCTTTGCTTTTATTTTTCGGACTTTCTCTTTACTTCTTTTTCATGTGGTGGAAACCTCAAGATTATCAATCATCTTAACTCGGCAAATTCTTACATTCTAGGACATAGATCATTACTCTGACGTCTGCAATCCTGGTTCTTCTCCTCCATCCACATTTTCAAGGTCTCCAATGGCGCACTTTCCGCGTTTGTATGTTTATTGGAACCGCGTGTTCGGCTTTCGCACCGATTATTAATGGGATTGTTTATTTTGGATGGCATGAAGTGGTGAAAGGGACAGGAATGCCCTGGTATCTTGGCGAGGGGGGATTACTTGTTTTGGGAGCGGTGATATATGCTGTGAGTCTTTTCCTCTGAGTTTAATTATCCCCGTTCCTACTCGTGAAGGAAGGAGTGTTCGTTAAGTTGAAACTACCTGGGTAGAGTCGGCTAAAGAATGAGGAGAAGAAAAAGGGAGAAATAGAACTAATGAAAATCAAAAATAGTTACGTATACCAGAATGTTATTTCCCGGGTAAATTCGACATAATAGGTCATTCGCATCAGATTTTTCATCTTCTGGTTGTGGGAGCTGCGGGATTGCATTTGGCGGGGTTGTTGAAGGCGTATAATTATGAATATCATCATCCGAGATGCGGGTTGAGGTAGTTTTGGAGTTTGTTGGTGAAGGGGAAAGATTGGGGTTGGTAATGTGGAATGAGAGGGCTTCTGGAAGGGAAAAGAGGTTGTTAAGGCGACGGGATTGTGGGGAGTTTAAGATGCGGTTTGTGGTTGAGGTTGAGATGTCTATAATCTTCAACCGTGATAGCTTGATCACTCGTTGGATGGGCGGCTGGCTGGATAGGTAATGTGTATAATTGGTGTAATAGAGCTATAGACCAAATACCGAGGCGTTTGATTAGTCTCAGTAGTCCGTTGGATATTAATATTATTAGAAAATTAAACAAATGTTACATAATACAGAAATAACATCTCCTGATAGATTCGAATTAAGATGAGAAATATATAATATCTAATATTTAAAATAGTATAAAATAAAAAGAGCTATCTTAAATATATATTAATAAACAACTTAAATTATTAAAATCATAATTATTAAATCATATAACGTGGTTTATCATTGAGTGGATCACTTTTATCTCAATTTATCCCTTTGAATTTATATTATTTAACAACAACTGAATCAATTTATTAAAACTATTAAGTATCTAATAATCTAGGATCTATTATACTATTCTAATAAGTTCTAGAATTATAATCAATCTTTTTATACTTACTACAATATCGATTAGTAGATGATTCCCCATTAGAATTTCCCTCATTTTGACGTTCATCATATTGAATCTGATTATCAACTTCTTGTTGTGATAATATATTTTCAGCCTTCTGTTCAGTAAGTACTCCTCTATTGTGTAATTAAGTTTTTTTAATATATCGATATTTATTTAATACCTCATTTGCTCTTTGAAGTATGTGATTCTCAATATTCAAAAGTATTGGATTTCTTGAGACCAGAAAGAGCATCAGATTGAATTGATTGATTCTCTAGCTAAGCAGTTAAGCTGCGAGTATATATCCAAAAAATGAAGGAATAAGGTTAGGTATTCAGCCTTCGGAATTAAAGTGCTTTGAAATCAAAATATTGAAAGCAAACAAACAGCATACCAAAAAGGAAAGAATGAATTAAAAGTTGAGTTTTGTTTGCTCCTTATATGCATCATGCAATATATATGCATATGCTGCCAAGATCCCAGGAGGTCAACAAAAAGTGTAACTTCACATACTAATCTTTTTATATTTTTAATTAAAGTTTATACAATCTCAAATATAGATTTAAAAGAACTTGATTGATAACGAGTTATTCGAGTTTTTACTAGAGTTGATTGTAAGAAAGTCTCAATTGAATTGTGAAGGGTTTGAGAGATCCAGGAGTTAATAAGTTCCAAGGAAATAAATAAAGAAATAGAAGTACGAATTCTAATATCTAGTTTTGAGAGTATAGATTGAGGATTGAATGATATTAGATCTGTTCTTCGAAAACCAGCTTTTATATTCTGAATAGTAAATGATTGTAAATATACAACTTTAAAGGCTATAAAGAATTCAATTTTGATGATATAATTGATGTAAACTTTGATAAATCCTTCAATTTGATAATTATATAAACGTTTAAATATACTCAAACATTCAATATTGAATAATTGAGTTAAATAATTTGAATATAATAATAATCTAAGATATATAATATTATTTGATTTGTAATATAATTGAAAAGGTATTGATTTATAACTTTCGTATTTATTCAATATTTGTTGAAATGCTTTAATTATTTTAAACTTATCTTATTATCTATTCATTTATTAAAAGTGGATTTAATAATTCAATCTATAAAAAAACCATTTTTTATATACTAATTAGAAAGATGATATTGTTCTTGTATTACTAAAAATGAAGATATAATCCAATCCTCTCTATTATCATATATAATCGTTATAATCTATTCTCGATTATTTGATTATATTACCTTGCTTCTATTATATCGTTCAATACTAATTACAATTATTCCAGGGCATATTATATTTATTATAAAATTGATTTCATCAAAATTATAGAAATCGAAATCGACAATACTATATTTCGTTTGTATATTGAATATCAATTGAAATCATTTTTTAATAAATTTTAGATCTTTGCAAAAAGTTCTTTGGAAATTATAAATACAATTAAAATATATCTTTAACTTTAGACATCGTTTGACAAAACAATAAACCCAAAGTTTTCCAACCTTTTTCATACTCTACGATTCGAGGATATAATTCACTATATTTTCTATACTTTTTAATTTAAATATGAATTTTTTCTCATTTATATTAATTATATACTAAGTAAACACCTTCTCTTCTAATTCAATCATTTTATAATCATTTGTTCAAGTTTCAATACAAAAAATTGAACTATTCATTCTGTGAATAAATAAAATATATGATATATTATATAACTTAATAGCACTTTAATAACTTAGTTTTTTATTTGTATAAATAGCTTCAATAAATAAAAGTATTCGAGCTTTTTGATTATCAGATTGCATCGTTGAATCGTGGATGAATCGCATATTGAAGTTGAAAGATGTGAATTGAGGTAAAATGTAACGATACTATACTAGAGGCAGCGGCTGCCTAAGGTTTCGTCTGATTGGTAGTTGTGGGTTAAGGCTTTATCACTGGTCTTCACTTGGAAGTGAAGTCGTTACTAGATCAAGTAGAATGTAGGTAAACTAATTGATAACTAAGTTGAGCACGAAGCTCCTTAACCACGAGACTAAATGAATGTTTATATACCCTATATCATCTTTTGAGGACCCTTGGGACCCTAAGGTCCAAAAGGTCCTCGAGGTCACGTGAATTAATGAATCGTGACATAAAAGTGATCCACTCGATGATAAACTACATTATTTATAATCTATAATAAATATAAATCTTAAAATAATACATAATATTAATTCTTAATCTTTTATATATAATCTTTTAAAAGAATTTAATTTAAAACTTGAATCTAAAAATTACTCTTAAAAAGTATTTTATACTTCCTTAGGGCTAGTTAGGTATTGCTAATGTTTTTACACCACTTTCTATGATATCAAATTTAAGACATAGATAATTACCATTAGATCGCTCTCTCTGTCTTGATATTCCTTCTTTGCTAATCTACTCTATACAATTATATACATAAATACTCACTTACCACCCAATGATGAATCATCCAACCGTTCATCCATGAAAGTTCCATTGCGACCGACCAGTACCAGCCTCTTCAGTACCTCGTCGCTTAGACGTAGACGTAGCCGCAGTAGGAGCAATAGTAGCTTGTGGTGGTCCAGAGTACCTTGGAATATTTCCAACGCTACCATGACTTTCTGGGTTCGTTCCTTGTGGTGATACATGATGTTGTAATTGCCTAGAGTACCCATCTTGTCTTGGGATATTCTGCATATTACCAAAGCCTCTTGTGTTCATTCCGTATGGAGATACATAGTATGGATCTGGATGCCCGGAATGTCTCGGAACATTGATAAAGCTACCATGACCTCCTCTACGAGTTCCGGATGAGAAGTATGGTCTGTTTGTAGCTTGTGCATTGTTTCTACCATATCCATATTGTGCATCAACCATTTCCATATCCGTAGCTGAAGCTCTCATTGCCGGCGCACCAGCCATGTAATTGCCAACAGATTGAGCCATTTGTCTTGGGACACTGAGCATACTATTGTAACCGAACTCGGTAGGGGAATACCCTCCAGGACCAGCCCGACCTCTGCCGTTGTCATTATTATTACCATTGACCATGTTCATACCAATATGATGCGATACACTTTCTGGCAAAGGCTGTGAAACGGACTGTTCATTCCATCTGTCCATGAAAGTTCTGCGGGGGAAGGATTTGGCTTCGACGCGATTGACCATCTTCGGAATACTAGGTGTCGCGAATTTGTTATCGTTGAAGAATTGAGTAAGTTGTTGTCTCTGATTATCTGCGATGCCATTTTGGACTCCTTGATGACCACGATGATTTCTGAAGCTAGAATTGCTTCGTGGTTCCATTACTTGCTGTAACTGGCATCCCTACCACCGCCTGGACGTCATCATCATCGTCTTCGATAATGATGAGCTTGTTGGCAGAGCCCTCATCTTCTTTCTTTTCTGCCAACACCATCTTCGTCTTGACATCCATTCCCTCGTCAACAGCATTCATTTTCTCTCGCTCCTTAGCCCATTTCGCCTCGAGCCCCGCACATAAAGCTTTAAACTCCCCATCCTTTTCAAACTTCGCAGTGCAGTCTTGAAAATGAACATAAAACGCAGTAGGTGCCTCTGCAAAATCAAGAAGATCGAGCCCAACCAGTGTATCCCCAAGCGGTTTGAAACTCTTCCAATCAATACAATTCTCACATTGTGCTTTTTCACACCATCGACATCTGTAAAGCATTCCACCAACAAATGCAGCTTTTTGTTTGCAATCTTTACAAGTATGCCGGGGGCATGCAAATTGGAATTTTTGAGCCTTATGTTGGTAGATGTCAGTGAGACATTCGTTGTGATAGACTCTTGGACAAACTTTGCATCGAATAAGTGGTGAACCATACTCGATTTTACAGACTTGACAATATCCTTGTGAGTTGATGTCAGGTTTCTTCTCGCATTTAGGAGCAGAAGTTTTGGCGTCGGCGGAAGAGAATGTCTTGACGGCCTCCCATTGATCATTGTTGATACTATCCTTAGAAACCATGTATCCACCCATCGCAACTGTTCTTTCCTTGCCAATCCTTCGATCAGCTCTACTGCCTGATGGTTCAAAACCCTCTGAATATTTGGTGGATTTGGGTCGATGGTGTTCAATAGTCTCCCCGTTGAACAATGTTGATTGAATGCGCTCACGCTCTGCAAGCCATTCTCGCTCAAATTCATCTTCATCAACATTTGAGCCATTGGTGACGTCTTTCCGAACAAGGAGATCTGCGGATTGGTCCCTGCACACCTTAATAGTAGTTTCCAAATCCCATTCCAGCATCTTGTTTATATCAATTTCGGGACGGGAGATGACTGCTGCTCCTCGGCGAATAAGAGTCATGAGCTGTTTAGTGTCCATTTCCGGCATCCTGCTGTTGTTGCCGCTAGAGGCTCCGTTCAATTTTTCTTTACTGGAGGGTCTAGCCTGGGTGTAGATATCTTCCATAGATTCCGTGACCTTAGCTAACAAATAGGGCTTCTTAGCAATTCGTGGCATCATTTGTTCCTCCACAGTACCTTGAGAAACAAGTTGGTAGACTATAGGAGGGCTTTTAAGACCAACACGGTAGGCCCGACAAATTGCTTGATTTGTTACTTGAGGGTTCCAATCTTGGTCGAGAAGAATGACTTCAGAAGCTGCCGCGAGGTTCAATCCTAAGCCACCGGCTCTAATAGAGATAAGGAACACATTATGATTGATTTCAAGGTCCATGAACATTCTGATTGCCAAATTACGTCGTGCTCGGCAAGTGCTTCCATCAATTCGGCAGGTGTTGAAAACCGAGCCATCTCCCCCTTTCAGGGCCAGAAGCTCTTGGACAAGATCTAGCATCTTTGTTGAGCCAGAAAATATGATAATCTTCTTTCCTTGCCTAACTACTAACTCGGTAATAAGCTTTTCCAAAACAATGAATTTTCCAGAAGATTCGATTAGATGTTGGCCAGGAAAGTATAGATTGGGCTCCGCATCTTCAAAATGATATGGATGGTTGCAAACCTTTCGGAGTTGACTAACAAGGTTCATCAAGCTTTGCCAAGTAGTACGATTCTTCTCGCCATTGTGACCACCGGAGGTTGATTCCAAAGCGAGATTTGTCGAAGCAGATGACTCCTGACTGTTATCAAATAGCTCGTGTAGAATCTCCCTATCCGTCTTCTTGATCAATTTTTCATACCATCTCTTTTGCATTGGACTAAGTGAGACAAGAAGCAGGACCTCCTTCATAGGAGGTAGGCCTAAATCTACCCCCGGGGAACTCTTGGTTCGTCTGAGCATGATCAGTTCGAGGAGATGGCTAGAGGCAACCAAAAACATCCTTGATATAATCTCCTTTTGATATATTGAATCCCTTTGCGAAGCAATCTCTTGTCTGTTGAACGAATACCTCTGGGTAGAGGAAGTGAAAGAGAGACTAGAGCTCTACAAGGTCGTTTTGAAGAGGAGTATCGCTAAGGATCAGACGGTATTCTGCTTTTAGACCTTGCAAAGACCTAGATACCTCGCTTTCATGGTTTTTTATCTAAATATTAGATTATCAGTAAAGTGACTATGAATGTTAAAGAAGCTCGGGATTGACAAATTGCATTAGAATGCTCGAAGGGTTTTAAATTAACTGCACTAATTGGAGCCTCTGATCATTCAAAGAGAATTGAAACAGCGAGAAGTATAATTATGTATGAAGCAAAAGAAAGTGTTAAGGAAGGATTGAAGAAAGAAGAACTGTGATTAGGTGGGTAAACTGGTTGAGTGGTCTGCGCAAAATTTTACGCGATCATTGAACGATTTTTACTCACAGTCTGACCCTCATCCAAGAAAACGTAGCGCCAAAAAAATACCCCTTTAAGCCAAGATTGCTCGCTCTTACAACAACTAAAATGTTATGTTAGCATTGTACGTTTGCAAGCCGTGACATCAAGTCTAGAAAGTGATAGTTGATCTGACAAGAGCAAAAAGATTCTTGAGTAAATTCTGGATAATTAGATGCCTTAAATTGTGAAGATGATACGACAATGAAGAGCCATTTATGTATATGTCCAACATCGAGATTGTCAATTCTTCAATAATGGCATGGGTGGAATGAAAGTTTGAGCGCCCCCCCCACATTAGGGTTGTGTAGGCTGGTAAGATGGCGTCGCTGTATGTGATAATTTTTGAATAGCCGTTCAAATCGAAACACTCAAGGTGGTTGAAACTATACACAAGATCTTCTTCGAGAGCCAAGTCGAGAAGCTTTAAGAATGCCATACTAAAATGCATAATACAGTATTCCAGCGTGGTAGCGGAACGCCACGAAATAATGCAAATTAGAACTCACTCGTATGTTGTAATGACCAAGTCCACTCCGGCATCAATATCATCATCGCTGTCCAGAGAAATGGGATCTCTTCGCAACGAATCCTGGCTAGCATGGTGCTTTCTCTTTCTAGTGGCATGGGGGATCAGGTTTCCTAGCTTATCAGTTTCTCCAGCAATAATATGCTTCAATCTACGGCGTTCCTCACATCCTCCATGAAATTTAACGACGCAAGTCAGTCCATTTCTCTGTCTCGTCCATCCAGCTTCCCAAGACTGATAGAGGACAAACAATAAGGAACGGGCGTTGTAATTTGCCTTTTACAGAGGTAGGATAGTTCTCTTTGAGGTATTGAATCAAGGAAAGTGTTTGAAGAGTCTTTCCTAGCCCCATATCGTCACCCAAAATGCCGTTAGCCCCATTTTTGTACAAGTAGACCATATAACTTAAACCCGCAAGCTGATAAGGCTTTAAAGTAGCTTTGATGCCATTCGGCTGGGCTTCTAGCTGCTGATAAGGCACAAAAGCTGGTAGTTTGGCCCTCTCTTCTTCGGATAGATTGAAATTGTGCGATTAGCTTCTGTAAATAGTTACCTTGTTGTAGCAATGGTGCGAAGTAATCCTGCTTCTCTATCAAGAAAGCTTTTCTCTGAGCTAAGGTTGCGTTGGTAATTTCTTCTCTAATTTTAGCCTTTGTATCAATGACCTTGGCAGGTTTAGATTTTTTGAGAGAGTCCTGAGCACGTATTCCTGGCGTTCGGCCATTTCCTGTGGTATTGCTAGGGGTATTCGGCTTCCTGTCCCGCATTTGTCGTTTGGCAGGAGGGATATTATATGAAATAGCATCATCATCTCTATCCAGTTGATCCAAATTTCCTGGTGTTACTTGTGAAAAGCCTGCTCGCTCAACAGGCTCAACAGGCTGTTGATGGTTATGAGATAGAGTGGCATGTAGGGATTGTGTCGCTGAATAGGTTACAGCACTAGGCTGTTCTATATCCTCTAGTGCAAGTTGATGTTGAGCATCTGAAAGAGAAAATGATAAGTCAGTAGTGCGCCTTTTGAGTTGTGAATAGAAAGATAAAGTAGCAACACGCGACAAGAACAGTCAGCAAAGTCAAGGCTCTTAACTTGACGGTATGTAAATAATAAGAAGGAAGATGGTGGAGAACGTTTTAAGAGGGACACAAATAGGCTTTGAAAAAGTCTGGAAAGGGTAAATTGGAAAGAAAACAGAGGATGTGCGGGAGGAGAGGCAGCAGGCGGATGCGGGGGGGTGAAGCAACTTGAGGAAAGTGGTAACAATCAAGAATGGAAGCTCGACTTGGAACATGCATGTTTCAGCACGCCAAGGGATCTGCCGCATTGCATTGCAAGGGTGCAAGACTTACTGCGAGGAGTAATACCATGTTGCGACGGCGTTTGCGGGTGTTCCATGATCAAAATCAAAGACCGCGCTTTCTGAATGGCTGTAAAAGCTCTGGCGCAAAGTCGAAGTACTGAATGGCAGCGCGATCGCTGCTAAAAGCTGCGTTAACTTAAACAAATGGTATTCGATGTGTCACAGAATGCTATTGAGGGTGGTAAAAGAGAGGGATGTTCACAAGATCGAGAGCAGTGAGCAAGAAATGGGAGATTTGAGGGCAAAGATTAGTGAGTGTATCTCGGTAGCAACCTGATAAAAGCAATTTGATTTGGTTGGTAAACAAGGCCTGCACTCGCCTTGTTGACTGACCATATTCACCTGATAGTTTCCTATGTTGCTACCATCAAAATAACATTGATATTGGGTTTGTTTACTTTGCTAAATTATTGATATACAACACTCAAGTGATTGGTTGACATGTACACTATTCAGCATCAATTCTAGAACTTACCATCATGTATCAAGATTCATCAAGACTTTGAGGATATACTCGAACTTCTTTCTCATTGATATGCAGCTGTGGTGGAACCTCAAAAGCAAACAAAATCTCAGGGGACTGCTCTTCTATTCGTTTGTCGGGCCAAAGTTATTCCGGGGCGGCCGCCGGATAATGAAGTCTCTTGTTGAATTTGAATGTACTTATCCGAATGAGGATGGTTCAAAGTGAACCCTAGCTCATCCCCATAACTATTGTAATATTGTGATACCTTTGGAACCCTTCCATAATTAATTGTTTCCTCTAATACAGTAGCCGTCATGGCACCCTTTTATCCTATCACTATCTGCAGGTCTGATGGACAGTTAGAAGTCATTACAAAGACAGGAGTAAAAGAATTGAATCAACCGACACCAGCTCAATTGAGCGATAAAGAGGATGCGGAAGGAAACGTTGATTGTTATAAGAAGCTCGAATATGACGAACCGAAAGCTGTAGATTGGAGGAGAAAGATTGGTGGCATGTTGATGCATTATTTGGGTGGAAAGGAGCATTCTGGTAATTCATACCTTAATCTCAAACTCCTTCACCAACAACTAACTTCACTGCAGATAGAAATTACGTACTCAAAGATCTGCCAGAAGGATATGTTTTATGGGAACACCTCAAATATAATAAAAACAAATTAGAGGCAGAGCAGAAGAGGGAAAAGGGCAAACACGCAGCTGGAGCATATGAACGACAAGATACCTACTTATACGGACACCCTCAAGGCCGAAAGAAGAGATATCGAAGCCCTGCGGATTTCTTTCCGCATGTTCTTTGGTTGAGTACAGATAAAGATGGCGACCCAAGGAATTGTTCCTGCAAAGTCTGTTCGCCATTCGGGGAGGATGATCCACAAGAGGATACACCCAAACAGGACAGCGGGGTAGTGTTGAAGAAGGAAATAAGTAAAGCAGCCATACCAGTTGTCAGCATACCCCAAGTGAAGAAGGAAGCGAAGAAGGATAACATGCCAATTGTCAGCATACCTCAGAAGTCTGTGTCTGCTTCAGGGTCTGCTTCAGGGTCCGCATCTTCAGCTTCTGGATCTTCAAAACCATCTTCGCAGCCCATTTCATTGATTCGGTCGCCAGAACAAAGGCTCGATAGCGATCCTAATAGTGGATTCATCTATCGCACTGGAGAGTTGGTCTGGTTTAACAGAGGGCATGCTTGGGGCCTTGCAGTCATATCGAAACGAAGAATTGAAAATTTTACAGCTCAGTATTTGGTTCAACCACTCTCTCACCCAATTACACATCCCGCCGCTCAAATCAATGAACAAGAATCCATTAGGCCTTGGCTCGCTTGGAGTGTACCGCAGACTACGATCAGTGCAATAAATAATCTTCCTTATGATGAGGTTCCTTGGGATCGTATAATTCGAGGCGAATATGGTGGAGGAGATTATCAAGTCGATGGTAGCATCTTGGCCGCGAAAGTTATCGACGGAAGTTATTCTCTCTTCGACAGAATAGAAAAGGCTCTGGTTTCTCCCGGAGAAGTCCATTACAATGGAATGTTCCTCGGAGCCGAAAAGATTTGGGTCGGCGAGCCAGTTCGTCTGCGCGTGGAAGGGGATGCAATTGTGGTCCTTGTCATTCAAAAGCTCATTGAACGTACCGTTCAACCAAATCCACTTCTGACTGTAGTAACCTTCGTGGGTGATATCTACAAATTCGTCGAGATGCCAATGCCTTACAGCAGTCGTTCTCAGTGGCCTACACCCGACTTACCTGCTCGAATGGTAGCAGATTTACGATTCCGCAATGAGGTAGCAGATAATGCCAAAAAACGTACTTGGTATGAATGGCAATTACTTGAGCCAGCAGCACGTCGAGGCTTGGCTGATATCAAAGGTCGTTGGTACGAGACACGACTTCTATTGCCGGTTCTAAGAGGCTTAGAAGCATACCAACTTGGTATAGGACGAGGTGAAACTAGTGATGCTAGTTTGTGGATGAATGGAAGAGGAGATACTATTGGAGGAACAGGAAAAAGACAGAAAAATAGAAGAATGACTCTGGGTAAATCAGTTCCCGATGACTTCAAGGTGGGAAGAGGTTTGGACGGCCCTCCGGCTGATAATCTGTTCCCCGAAACCACTATTCCTCCTCCGAGTGTTGCTATACCAGATATTGATCAATTTATGGATCTCGATGGTGTGGGAAATTCAAGTGGATACAATGTCTGAGATAGGACAGATTTTATTGCATTTGCTGCTCTTTATTGCGTGGATATTTACTAAAAGGCGTTTACATAGGCGGGTATGTAAAAATGTACGATAGATAAGAACACGATACCCCGAGTATGGAACGGGCGTAAACGGCATAGCAAAATGTAGCTAATAATGTTGGTACGAGAAGGATACGGAAGACGTAGCACCCACGGATTACGTAGGTCCTGTATGTCTAATTGTATTCTGTCTAAAGAGCTAGCTACATATTGAAAGTAGTAAGTCTTATATAGACTTACTAAAAGAGCTAGTCTCTTTCGCGTTCGCTTAGTTCTTTATTACAGTAGTAATTGAATTGAAGTCATTCACTTCGTTCACACAAATAATGATATCACATTTCGATTTCGATTCCCATACTCTGCGATATGCAACGATGGATTTAAGGATTTAAGATGGTAATTTATACACTATCATTTCTTTGCGATTGAACACATGGAACGTTGAAGATTTGATATTAGATCCATGCTCGAGTGATGCTATGGGGCTATTTATACACCACCGGTCACAATCAAATGGTCGAAAGAAATCTTAGCTCATTTTTCCGTCTTAGGATTTCCATAGATTAACTTCAATGGTATTAATCCAAATTCTCCCAAATGGGAAGCCCAGTGGCTGGTAATCTTCAAAAGTTCGGGTGATGTCTCTTTTTGAATACTAGTCAATGGTGTCTAAATTAGATTAATTGTACCGTCATTATCTGCCATCTGATCTAGCTCAACTTTGTATGACCTCGGGAAATAACGATGGAATATTTAGCTGAGGAATCTTTCTGCGTTGATATGACGCAAATGGGTGATTCTTACGAACTCTTTGAGTTCTATTCGGATAATGTTTGATCTTATGTAATCTTACTTTAAGACATCGCTATTTTTCTAGTCCGAAATAGAGATGCACTGGAATGGGAGTGATGTATTACTGTGTGTGAGAGAGGTAGTAGTATGTAAATACCATCGCTTTGGAGTCAACGGGACTAGTGGCTCAACTTAGTATGCTTGAAATTGCACCACACATGGAAGTAACTCTACTAGTGAGTGACTTCGTGAAGGTTCCTGCGGCCTTCGGGGTACGTCCGAAAAAAAACATATTTAAAAATTTTTATGATGGTGCGAAATAACATAGTCGTTCGAGTTTGGAAACAATGGACCAAGGGCAATGGTTCCAGCAAATGCAATCTCTTTCGTCGGAATGACCTAGGACGGAAAAGTACAACCGAGGGGTGATCGCTTGTATTTATTAGCACTTGGTTTTCTCATTTGTGGTATAATAACTTAACACTGTCATTAGGAAGAGAAGAGCGAAGAACAATAAATAAAGACATTTAGGGATCTAGAAAAAGGAAGGGAATGATAACCTATAATTCATTCCAAATGCAAATGGTGATCAGTTCATGGTATCTTTCAAACATCTATGGAAGACACCCAGGACCTTGTTTCCTGTTAGTCCTGCGCCTGCTCTTGATCCTGATGATTATTTTGTTGTCAAAATAAGGAGGTTGAATATCAGAGGAGAATACTTATTCTTCCTTATTCTTCTCATTTTGTCACTTTGGTTGTTATAAATTGTGATTACAAAATGACAATGAATTTTCGAAGGAAATAATACTGAATGTTAAGTTTAAAATAATACTACAAAAGTTTTATCTTCTATACCTTAACATCTATTGAGACCAGGTAACACTATCTGAACTTATCAGGAGACCTGCTCCTGTGCGTGGGTCGTGGGTGTTTTAAGAAATTTGTTAAGTACAATTAGAAAGTTCAAATAAGTTTATATACACAAAAATCTAGAGGAGCCATCTTTAGTACGGAAGTGAATAAAGGTTAAGCAGCTGAGAACTATCGCTCCCTGGTAGCCCCGATTAGTCAATACTCCATTCTCTTAGGCACCAGAGTCTATACAATATCCTCCACAACGGTTGATGGAAAAGGCAAAATTGTGGAGTTCTGGGAACGAATCACCGAGAATCTCAAGAAGTGAATAAAACAACTGCTTTACTCAGCAGCCCAGATAGTTCTGATTTCTTATAAAACGGAGCAGATTTGTATTCTTAATTTTTCTTCAACTCTCTGGATCAGAGCTGGAACAGTGTTTCCAAGCCTGTAAAGAAATCCCGATCGCCCTCGACTAACTGTAATCTAAATCTCTAGCTTCCACACGAAACGCTTTGTGAAATTAAGAAGAAAGCCTTTTCTTAAGTGTTGTTGAATTTTGACTGTTGTCACGCATAGAAGCCGTTGCTGACATTCCATCATATGCGATCGGGCTTGAGACTAAACTACAGCTTTTACAGTCTTCTGGTGAGCTTTGGATTTATTATTCGCGTATAAATTCGATCCAATCTCTAGTTACGTCACATTTTACTTCACACTCTTGGCTCGTTTTACCCATACTTTGTGGCTTTTTACGATTGAAACGAAACTGATATTTGAGCGTTTAAATACTTAGGAAGGTTTTAATATGGCCAACATAGACCCATGAACGAACTCATTGCCTGTTCCCACAGATAGCTGAGATCCATTCACCTTGTTATGATTGGGCAATGATTTCATTCTGCAGAAAAGGAGTTAGCGAGGAGGAATTGTGATTAGTCATCCGGTTCTACGCTTTTCTCTCATGACTTTCTGTAAGTATTTATAAAGTTTCCTACCCCGACTTTTATCAACAGTATGTTGCAAAAATATCTAATCTTAAGAGGCATGGGCTTTTCCCAAGAAGCAACGATTGGTATGAAGGCTACGTAGTATAGCCGATTCAGTCCTGAGGGCAGCAGTATTGTCACTATGGTTGTTAACAGCTATCTGTATAGGGCGATTGATCGATTCATATTTCGATTCGTCGGAGACAACATCATCTTGAATAATCACGATGATTGAGATAATTGATAGCAAGCAATCGCTAATATTCATTAGTTGTTAATCAAAATCCAACTCGTATTAAAGTGATACAGCTTTTGGTCACGTTTTATGGACAATACCAAAAGATACCTCCTCAACTGAGTTGTGTTTGAGTTCTCCTCCTGCGAGGGGAAATTACTCAATATATATGTTTGACGCTCTTTTAATCGGATCGGGATTAAGAATTCCGTTGTAGTGCGAGCCGTATAATTTCAAAGCAACGGAATCATCACAACCGAGACAAACAAGCCGTGCCCCACTCAAGTCAATTCCATTTTCGAATTTTACTCGACCAGCTCTATAAATTACTTCGTTTGTAACTTCCGGACGAAGTTGCCAAATTTCAGAGAATCAGGAGCTTATTCGAAAAATGTGCCAATCGACTGTAGCTTACTATTGTAGTTTTATAAGTTGCATGGAGCGCGCATTCCTTGGGTTGGTAGTGGCAAGCCAGTCTAAGTCAGCGAATACTTGTCACAGGGTATGAGATGAGTTCAAGCAAAACCTTTTATTTTGCTGCTGTTTACATTGTGATTGTTATCCACTGCAACTATTTAATATTGCCGGAATATTCGTCGTCATTGTCGTCGTCATGAAATCGTTTCGCCATATCTTTTCTAAGAACTATTCATTTGAATTGAGAAAATATTAGAACGTGGCCACAAAAGCTAGCTCATGAGAGCAATACACCAGGACCTTAGAAGCGTCTTATGATTCCAAGACTGATTTTTTGTTTTAAGTGTCTGCGTGACATTATGTAGGTCAATCCTGATGGAAGGTATATACATCGGATTTTGCCATTTCATAGTTGGGCAGATAGATTGTAGCTTATTTTTTTTTCATTACCCAACCATTTTTAATCAAGTATTTGAGTGTTTTCTCGTTTACATCCACTTGCTTGCAAAAGACAAAATGTTCAAGGAAATATTCTGAATCGATTCCCTATAGAGCTGTATCAAATTTGATAGTTCCAATTTACTATCGATCTTACCTCTTAATGAGTCGCCGATTTTGGCTGGTAACTGGAATAGTGACCTTATTGAGCACTAATAGCACGGCGGTTCGTCTTCGATATTGATCTGCAGAGGAGTCGTCCTTGAATCTACCGCAATCTTGAAAAGTAAAGGAAAAATTTAAAGGAGTTTCCACTGCCAATACTATGTGGCGGGTGGTATTCTCAGTATTCACTTGTGTCTTTCAAGCTACAACCGGATTTGCAGCTCATGGGTAGAAGCGCCAAGTTCTACTATAAAAACAATGGTCAAGCAGATTTTGCTCACTTGGCCAGGCAGAAAGACTTCAAGGAATTACATTTATGGCATCGATAAACAATCCTTCATTTGCAAATGCTTTCTTCATTCGTGGCTATGCAAGTTGCATCACTAGAGGGTGCAGACATTGTCCATAGACGTATGCAATTTTGTCATTATCCAAAACTCCCACCATCAATTTATGCTTTGCGCTATTATTTGAGTGTTCAAACGAGACCAATTTCCTTCGATCATGAAATAGGTAGTTTGTGGAAAGTGAATGTACATACGAAAACGAGGTAAATACCATGATTCAGTACAACCTGCAGTGACAAACATTTCCCATTTCTTTAGGTGTGCTTTTCCGTTATTTCTGTAGATGCTTATGGATGGGGAGTTTTAAATAAGGGTATCTTGAAGCTTTGGTAGTTTAATTGAGGTGGCTTCCGCTCGAATAAGTTGATTAGCATAAGATAGAAAGGGTAATACCGTGACATAGGTTAGTAACGGGTGTATAAAGGCCTCATTTTTTACTTGGATTCAGTGAGTGAGCCCATTGCTTTACTAATGATGCAAATTTCGCTACTTGACAGAAAACTCATCCTCCCTCTTTGAAGTGAAGGAGGAACAAGCAATAAATCGACGCAGGGAAAATAGCTCAAGAAGATACGCAGGCTGCGAGTATCCAGCCATCCCTCCTAATCTAACCGCTATCAAAGCCATCAATCATTATAAACAAATTACTCTTATGATTTTTTGCAAGTTTTTCTTGGCTTCAAGCAATGTATCTATCTTATATCCTAGGATTTCTCCAATCCCCAAATTTCCTTTATCACTAATGTTTGATTGTTTCTGCATCTGATATACTTGTTCCAGGCAGAAATACCGCTAAATGAACCTGTACTGAACATTACGAGTTCTGAAAATCTCTCGGAAAAGCTCATTACAGTTTTCCAAATTTCTGGCCATTTGTGGGGGAGGGAACGTTCCATGATGACCGAAAGCCATGAAACTGGTTTTACGAGTTATCTGTACCTAGTGGTTCATAGATTTTAGACTATTCGAGACAAACTGCACTTATACAGTAAAATTTATGGCGACTAGCTATCTAGTTGACTGATTTGTCTTGAGCTATTTGAAGAGGTATTGTGGAGCTGCCTATTCGCTTGTCTGTTTCTAACGATGAAATGATTTGGTCTTGAATAGCATCATCAGTCGGTACTCCAGGAAATACAATACAGACCTTCACTCACCAATTATCCAATTACTTTAGGTAAGTGAATCTTAAACATTGTGCTGCGGGACCTAAATTTTCTAATTAAGGATCATACCTGTAGTCAGCCTCTTGTGCCAAAGCATCAAAGCCTGTCATCGTCACTATACCATGGTGAGCAAGAAGACATAATGTTAATGATATCTTGGGAGCTTAATCAAGATTTCTAGAAGCAGTGAGACAATATAACGGTGTTATTCTCGCTACACATATTATTAGATTCTCGTCTCCTTGGCTTTCGTTATCCCAAATCTATATTTTACTGGTGTTTTTATCTTGAAGTTGTGTTCTCATTTATTTCTTTCTTATTGCATCATAATGAGGGAATGGTCACAGATCGGTGGCATGTTGCAATACAAATTGGCATTTGCTGTCAATTTGAGCTCGAATTCTGCCATATCTTCTCCAATTTTCCAAGACAGAGACTATGATCTCAAGGTTATTACTCAATACATCATCTGAAATATTTTACTCCTGCTATCTTAGTCTTCTTGATAATTCTCTTGATTCTGCTATAGTAAGGGGGGAATCATGTGGACGACAGTAATTAAAACTGTGGGTGTAGCTTTCAGTTGAAGGATATGATTGAAAAGATAGGCACCAGAGATGATTATATATACATGAGTGTTTAAAATTGCATTTAGACAAGCTAAACACCCTGGAACTTCTAATTTTGTAACTCGTATTCAATGTACTACCATTCACAAGCATTCCGGGAAAGTTTTTCTGCCAGAATTTCTGCTAGATTACAAGATTCACTACCTCGGGAGTGTTGCAACCACTCTAGAAATTAGGTCAATCATATAAGTAGCATAATGTAAACGTCTGAAATTGTCAGCTTTGTGGAAGTTAGTTGCTTCGTCTCATGGAGCTTGTCCAATAGATTTCCAGCAAGCTAATAATTGCTGATCTTAGGAATTATGAGGTTTCATGTTTTGCAGTTGTGGTCATATCAAAGTCTCTTATGCGAGATATTGTTACCCAAATTTACATCACGCCGAATGAGATGGAAAATTTTCATTGTAAAATGATAGCAAATTTAGTTTATCGATAGCATAAAACAGACCAAAGACGAGACATACACGCTAATTGCGGAAGATCTACCACCGAAAAGGAATAATTCTCTTATAATTTACCGAACAAATTTTTGGTTTATTTTATCATTTGTTTATAGCTTTCCCTTCTGTGATTAATATATACAGCTCTCAAGACTATCAATGAGATCTGTACCCCCCAGCATATATCAATATTTAGTTCTAGTGTCGGAGTTATGAATACTGAATTAGAAAAATGAAATTCATTTTTCGAAAACTGTGAATAGTATACACATCCGCATTTGGGATTTTCCAAATTGACTTTCACTCAGTAAACAAATGTACTAAGAGAATTATGTCAAGCTAGCGTAGACAGAAGCTATAATTATAATCTGCCACCAAAATCTAGCAGTAGAAAAAGAACACCATAGTCAAAAGGCTACGGAGGACTGAATACCTTTCGAATTTTCTTCTATATTAAGGCTTACAGAAAGGTATCCTTATTTTATCTAGTAAAAATAAAATACTTAAACTCATTACTTCATTCATCTTATCTCCAAACATGAATCAAGATTCGGTGACAATGGTCGGGTAAAACTAGACATCAAATACCTAGCTAAGTAGAACAGCAGTGTGAATTTCCACAAATGAAGTACCTAGGTAAGTAAACATTCCGGGCCTGCGAAAAAGTTCTATAGACGAGACTTAGGTAAATCAGTTTTAAACAGCTATACTATGGACATCCACAAATACTTGATGTCAATGACCTGAAGCTCTCTCAAAGTTTCATTTCCGAGTCTGACTTGGTTGATAGGAGAAGCTTGCGGTATGATGAGCTATGTATATAAGGATGGAACGAGATCTTGGTGAGTAGATAGAGAAATTTTCTTTGCATGATTCACCAGAGTGTACTTAATCTTGTGCTTACGCCCATCTTCTAGCTGGCCCAGACTCCAAGCCAGTAATGAAAAATAGTTGTATAAAAGCTCTCTAAGTGCATTCATTACATTGAGATTAGAGATAGATACTTTATATAAAGCAGTGCTGGATTACAATAAAGTATAATAATAATATAGTTTTATTATTATATACTTTATTTCCTAAAAGATTAATTATCATAAATAACTAATCAATATATTTAATAATTTAATAATTTTAAAAAGAATTTCTTTAAGACTTTTTCAATTATATATTTCGATTTATTTATTCCTTTTTTTATAAAAAAAATATATTAAAAAATTGTATTTTAATAAAGGAAACTAGATTATTATTAAAACAAAATAAACTGGATTATTATAACGTAATGTATGGGGAACTCGGACATATGGGGAACTCGGACACTTTTTCAATTATTCTACACGCGATCTTGTTCTACGAGCCACACAATCCTCCAATTCCAATTCTGAATCATTTGAACTATTCTCTAACTCTTCTTCTGATTCTTCAATTGGGCGCTTGCGTGGTCGTCCTCGTAGCTTTTTCTCCTTAGGTTTTTCCTCCGCCTCATGTACTATTTTCAATATTTCCTTAGTACTAAAGACAAATTGACCTTGTAATTTGACTCTTTTGCCTTTAGTTCTCTTTTTTCGAGTCTCAATTACTTCCTGAGCATCAGCGAGCTGTTTCCGAAGTAAGGCTATCTCAGCATTTTGAGATTCTACAAGTTTAGTCATTCTCTTGGCATATCGACGAGTTGGTGATACAGGAGAACCACTACTTGCTAAAGCTGTATTAAAGATCTGATTTGCTTGCATTAGTTCTGTCCCATCTGGAAGAGAACTTCTGAGTATAGATAAGTCTAGGTCTTAATTGGGGGTTCTCATTTGTGGAGTAGAAGGTTGCTGGGAGGAGTTAAATGGTAATGTATCGAGTACTTTTCGTGGGGCAAAAGGTACTAAACCAGCTCCTCTCCAGCCAGCTTTAATATTAGAAGAATTCAGTGCTTTTTTTCTAATATTTTGAAAGAGTTCTACCCATTCAGCTCTTTGAATTCGCTTTACACCAGTTCGAGAATATCAATCGACCTCCAAAGCATGATATCGTTTTATTGGCCCATACACCGCAATATCAAGTGACTAAAGCAAATAGGAGCAATAAAGAGGTAATATAAGTAAATCGATATCCTTCTCTATACAGAAAGCAATAAAGCTGCCTGTAATATGACTTGAATGGCCATCCATGATCAAAAGTCGAGGTCGGTCACCTGACACTTTCTTAGATTCTGGTTCGAAAACCCTTTTTAGCCATTCTAATCCATGACTATTTGAGGTCCATCCATTCGTACTCGTAGAAAACTGCCAGCTTTGAGGTATGTCCTTTGGAATCCATGCAGAATTCGTATTCTGAGCCTTGAAAATGATCATAGGTGATAGAGCCTTTCCAGCTGCATTGACACATTCAAATGCAGTTATCCATTCTTGCTTGCCAGCTGTAACTTTCCAATTCGATTTCTGAGTAGAATCGACTATAATACGCATACTTTGAGTACTTCCAACTCCAAATCCGGTTTCGTCCATATTATACATATCATCTAATTCATACTTTCGTTTAATGAGACATGTACGAAACGCATCAAACCAAGCCTGAATATTCTCCGGAGTTGCCACTTTAGCCTGATTAGACTCTAATTGATGTGAATAGCATGTTTTAAGTTCTGGATGTCGTTTTTGGAATCTATAGATCCATTCGTGGCCTATAGGTGGAATTTCTGTCGAGGTAGGAATTCGAGATGACGCGATCTGAATGCGTCGAAGACGAATTTCGTCGGCCATTTCCTTCATCAACATAGGTGTAGCAGGGAATCCAGTGATGATAAGTCGTGAAATCCATCGTACAAGAGTATTTTCTTCTGCGTTTGAAAGAATTTGAGCCATTTCGTGGGATTGAGTACGTGATTTCCTTCCAGCGACCCTAGCTATGAGAGTTGACTTAGGAACTTCAAAATACTCTGCAGCCTTTCTAATTGATTTAAAGTCCTTCAATTGAAGTGCAATAATAGCATTCTGTATCTTCTCTTCAATTTGAGAAGGCGTAAGAGGTGATTCGGTATGCATAGCAAAATTTGTTGGGGTTTGAAGTCAGTGATGGGCTAAATGTGACCCGGTTCCCCATATGACCCGGTTCACCATAAGTTACGTTACTTTAAACAATTATAAATTTCCGATCTCAAATTGAGATACAATCCTGTATTAACCAACAGATCAAAACCCCGCATAGTGTGAAATAACAATTTAATCTGTTGGACTCAGAGGCCTCTAACTTTCAAGTATATGATGTTAATTTCATATAAGAATTCGTGGAGTTTTATTATCTCAATAGATTGATATCAGATAGTTTCAAACGATAATAAAGAATATGATGATAAGATATCAAATTACCTATTAGTAATAATAATGAAGATATTTGGGCGAAGAAGTAGCCATCTTCTGTGAGTGCCAGGCGATCATACTAGATATATCCGCTCAGCTATGGACCTCTCAAGAGCATATATGTATATTGTGACGGAACTCCCTGCTTTCCTCCCACCTTTATTATATAAGAAACCTCAGGTACATTAACCATGTCCACACATGATACGATTACTCGAGATTAGTATGCGATTTAGGTGACCTGAGGATCAGATCCGGACAAGTACTAGGTATCAATGGTTATCGGTAAAGTAAGATCATTGGAGGAATAAATACGACTTCTTTTTGCTTAGCCATTGCGGCTAGGCCATTCATTTGTGTATATATAGAGTAGCTATCCCCATCTACAGGTGCTCTTCACCTGTAGATCCTAAGTTAAATACAATTGCTGGTCTTTAAACACCCTTTTGGTCACATATATACACACTTTCTAGAGGCCTCAATCCAGACTAGCAAATACCCGTAGACAACCAATAGCAATCAAAGATTAATCGTCCTTCTTTCCAGGAAAAGTACCAGATCATGTATTTATCTTCTTCGGCTCAGCGCTGCAGACTTCAGACGCCGAATAAATCTATTGATATAAATAATTTTGCCAGTTTCACTAGCTAGTATATGCTAAGAAACTCATTTTCAATTTTTTATTTCAAAAAAAGTATTTTCAAGGATTTACTCGATCTATAGGTATATTAGAAATAATATATAATAAAACACTTATAAAGAAATAACAAATAGATTTCGAGTTTATACATAATTATTGTTAAAAGGAATAGAAGTTACCGGTACTAATCACGTGTCGTGATTAGTAATACGGTTACCTAAACAGGCTAGATTAGACGAACCATAAGCAGGCATATTGGTCCTCCGAGGATACCAAGATGGAATCAAGATGCCTACACATGTAGTAATATAGTCAATACAGAGGCCTCTTCCACCCAAATCTTTTAATAATTATTATAATATCGTTATTATATGACTATCTGTCGGGAACGAAGGAGGACCAGTACTACGCACAGACTATATACTTAGTAGAAAAGGAAAAGATCTACGATCTTTTCCTCTTTATTGAATACAACATTTATCAAATTGATCCTTAGTTGCTACGTTGTATGACACTATCATAGTACCAGATGATAATCATATTTTATCATCTTATATACCAGCAATAAAATATATAATAAATGATAACAGAACTTGAAGGAAGAGTACAATATAATGATAATATAATTGAATAGGCAATCATCAAATGAATTATCAACAAAAGCTGTACAATCTAGACTTTAAGATCCTTATGAATCACGAATTTCTACAGCTTGTGTGACCAAAAGGGTGTTTATAGACCAGCAATTGTATTTAACTTAGAATCTACAAGTGAAGAGCACCTGTAGATGGGGATAGCTACTCTATATATACACAAATGAATAGCCTAGCCGCAATGGCTAGGCAAAAAGAAGTCATATTTATCCCTCCAATGATCTTACTTTACCGATAACCATTGATACCTAGTACTTGTCCGGATCTGATCCTCAGGCCACCTAAATCGTATACTAATCCCGAGTAATCGTATCATGTGTGGACATGGTTAATGTACCTGAGGTTTCTTATATAATAAGGGTGGGAGGAAAGCAGGGGTTTCCGTCATATTATAAGTAGTATCACCGAAGTGATATCAACAAATATAATTACAAATAAATTCCTAAAATTTCAAAATTTTTACAATTCTATTAATCTATGCAAAATAAAATATAATTAATTATTTTAAAGAGATATTTATATATTTTGTTAAAAGGAATGACCTCACACAGGGAATAGTGGGAAGCTGATAGGGCAGAACTGAGGTAATATTGATCTAGTAGGTTAATCTCTCTTCTAAGTTCTACGGAAGTGCGAAGCTCTCTTATAGAGAGCTTCTCAATCTAGTCCTAATAGGACTAGTGCCCTGTGCACGTGCTACGCAGGAACCATTCACTTTAACATATTTTATATTTTTAAATTTATAAATTTTATATAAATTAAATTTTTAATTTTTAATTGTCAATATCTCAATTTCCAATATCTCAATTTCCAATATCTCAATCAATAAAATCGTGAAAAATCCAAAAATTTCAAGAATCGATTTATATTTATATTTATATAAATCATTCAAAATTAAAATTTCGTTTGATTTAATTTATTTCTTTGTTATCAAATTGATAATAGATGAAAAATTGAAATTTTTGATATAAAAGAGTGATCGAAATAAGAGGGTGGTCCGAAAGTAGAGTACTACTATACTAAACTTATAAAATTTGAGATTTTTTAAATTTTTATTTATTTATATCATTCATTCATTCATTATGCTTCTACTCCTTTTTTTTCATTCTTCTCAATCCTGCTCCTGTTCCTATCCCTATTTCTATTCCCGTTCCTCTCCATCTTAATCTCCATCTCCCCAAAACAACAGCACATCCAACTAAAAACCTCCCAAACATCCATCCCACCCAGCTCACCCATCCACCAAACAAACCCACCCATCCATCCCTCAAACAACCACATCAGCAACCACCGGCGCCCTAATAGAAAACGCCCTCAATTTCTCCTCAACCCTCCTCAACACCTCCGGATCCGGTTCTGGGATAACTTTCCTCGGAACAGCTATCTTACACAAATCACAACGAACATGTTTACAACGAGGACACTCTTGATTCGTCGACAATAGCTGATTCGTAGACAGCACCTGATCCGAGGAGGATACAGATTCCAGAATCGGAAAAGTTTTATCACATTTATGACATGCGAATTTTTTGACCATGGAAGAAGGTTGATCACCTGGATAACCATCTGGGTATTTATTGTTCTTGGATCTAGTTCGAGGGGATGTATGTTAGTTTGGGAGTTGCTTGAAATATAATTTCAAAGGAAAAGAGAAAAAAAAAATTAAAAAAAAACTTACGGATTTCGAGGACAATCAGCACAACGAATATGAGAACAAGATTCGCAAATTTTACTTCCAGCTTTGAAAAGTGAAGAACATTCATGACATGTTCTTCTAATCCTTTGCATAGGCTTCTTTCTAACCAGAGGTTGACCACCAATTTTTTGACTCGGTAATGTCAAAATCAATTTATCAGTTGGTATCCATTCTTTTTCCATATCAACTGGAATTGGTCCAATAGGCGCTACTGTCGTCTTCCCCTTTTCCTTTTCCTTTTCCTTCTTCTTCAAAGGATACCTAGGACACTTTGTACATCTTGGATGTTGACAATTTGCACAAATTTTATTGGCACCATATGTCGTATTACATTTATGACAAGTACGATGAATTCTCATGCGGATGGGTTTTTCGATTCTCCACGCATCTTTCTCTCCAGCAAGTGTTTGCCATTCATGAGGTTCAATATTTAATTGAAATCGTTCACCTAATTTTCTCGCTCGTTCGGCATTGATTTCGGCTCGGGATACTTTGATAGGTTGAGGTGAACTAGGGCGAAGAGTAGGGGTGACATGTTTGGTTTCGACGGCGGGAGCGGGTGTATCCTTTAATGGTTGTGCTTTTGGCGCTGGTGTTGGTGTTGGTGTTGGTGTTGGTTTTGGTGTTGGCACTGGTGTTGGTGCCGTAGTCTTGGAAGCACTAAAGAATTAAACTATTAATCAAAGCGACCTCACAAAAGTCTAATTCCTTTTTCCTTACCTTGGCCCTGCTGTAGTTGAAGGTTTGGAAGTAAAAGATAATCTCTTTGATCCATCACTTCTTTTTAAAACCGTCTTCATCCTCCCCAAAACTCGACTTAATCCTTTCTTTTTCTCATTAACCGGGACTGCCGGTGTTCCTTGGGCTGGAGAACTCATTGTTGCGGGAATTCTTCTAATATCCTTCTTGTCAATCTGTTGGATATATTATTGATTTAATGATTTGACTTATTGATTTGACTTATTCCTTGAGATCAAGTAATATTGGAAAAATGTCAATGAAAACTCGAGGAGCTGAAAAGTCGAAATCCTCCAATCAAGTAATACTTCATCAATCAATAATAAGTTGTGAATCTTTTTTTCCCCAAATTCTTGAAAAGTGGCGTATTAATCTCCTTATAGAATCCCTTCCTATTTTTGCATACAGTAGTATCACTCGGATTAAACTTCAATCGATCGACTACCTCGTGCGCTCGGAACCAATGTACCGGTATACAGGGAAAAATGAGCGATAATTTATATGTTGTGTCTTTTGGAAAATCTTTGATAGGAATTGAAAGGTTGTATGAAGTAATTGAGTGGTAATAATTGTCTTGAATGAAGGTATGACCAAGATGTAATAGGATGAAATGAAAGGAGAGGCAGGAGAAGGATGGGAGAGTGGTATAATGTGTATAGGAAGAGTAATGGCTTTGTGGTCTCGTCCAGACTCTTTATGGAATGAATTGATTGAATAATTGGGTTCAGCTATTGAACCGCTATATGTCCGTAGTGTTGGGATATGGGGGAATTTTGGTGGAACCTTTTTAAAGCCCTTGACGCCTTTGAAGTTTTTGGAAGCCTTAAAAATCCTTAGAAAAAAGCTTGAGATGGAAAATGGGGATACGATGAGGGACAATGGGATAGAGTTGGAATTGGAATTGGAATTGAAATGGAATAATGGGAAGGGATACGAATCCGATGGATGGGATGGCGTGGATTTTTTGGCGCTCAGACAAATTGGACGATGGTTGAAGAAAGAGGAGATGAGATGATTGGGAATTAGCGAGCCAGCGAGGCAGCGTGCCAGATGGACGGGACAAAATCCAAATAAATTTCCAAAAGGTTAATAATGTGGGGGCGTTAAGGAGTTCCCGAAGAATAAATAATGCTTGGCTTGGTATTTGGTGGTATGGTACGGAGTATGGATGGATGGATGGATGGATGGATGGGATGATATGGTGTGATATGATATGCCATGCTCTGGCTTGTTGTTGGTGTGGGTGGAGTTGGTTGGAATTGCTGGAATTTTTGTATGGGTAATTGTGGATATAATAAATAAGAGGTGATAAAGTACCGAGGAGTAAATGATGAATGATCCAAATGAACGGCAAAGAATTATATGATGAATAATAAATGAATAAATGTAGAGATAGTGAGGTAAGATTCGAGTATGAATGTTTGAAGAGCTAAACCAACTTGTTGATTACTGCGCGGATAATTATATGAATGCAAGTGTGAATGTAAATATAAACATGAACGTGACTGCGACTGATTGTGATTGTGAAAGCAGCTGCTGTTTATTTTTTGGCTGATATACCCCCCCTTGTGCAACTCAAAAGCATTTCACTTCGAGCTTCACAGAAAATATGTGATGTGTGTGTGATGTGTGATGTGTAAGTCCTCGTATTTCGCTCTCGCTCTCAAACTCCAGCCTAAATCTCTTGGATTTATCTTCTACCAAAAGTTACACCAGCACTTTTCCTTTCCAACCAAAAATATAGTTGAAATCGAATTGACTTGATTTGACTTGACTTGACTCGAATCGTCTTGGACTCACTCCACTTCCTACAATGCAGAAAGATTCCAATACTGACACGTATCTAGACAAGGAGGAGATCTGGGAAAGAGCTGATATTGATCATGTACTGCTGATCACTTTAGGTCCGGTTTGAAGTTCCGTGTGTATGCAATTGTGAGGTGTAAAGTGATATCGTTCGATTCTTTTAATTTAGAGGATTGTGAAAAAGGGTCTTTTTGTTTTAGATCAGAGGGGGAGGAGATTGATTTGAACCTTTGAAGGGTCAATTGAGGAGTAACCTTGGGATTGGAACCTCGCATAGAGATAGACAGTGTTGGATTGATTGTATGTACTGGTGTACTTACCAATGTGCATAGTATGTAAGACTTACCTACCTACCTATGTACCTAGATAGTGTGGTAGAAATGTACAATTTTGGTATTCGTCCGTGTTTCTGCATGGATCAATATGGATCAGTATACCAGACAAGGTCCAGGATCCAGGGTCCCTTTCTTCATCATTCATATATCTTTGGAAAGTCGGGATGGTGGCGCGTCTAGGGTCTTTCGGATTGGATCTTTGACTTGTCAGATAGGTACCACCATACAGAAGAGATACTTGAAATCCCTGAAAGGGCCCCGATTCCCGGGTATCAATGAATAACGGTAGATAAATACCGAATAAAGTCAAATATCCGTAAAAAAAAAATTAAAAAAAAAGTAAATATACTTACTTACCTCCCTAGTATACTTTCCACAATCTTCAATCCCAAAAATTGCTAAATTTTACACCCTAATGATGCATACTAGGTATGTAAAGAGTCGAGTTGTGAATGAAATGATTTAATTTGATTTAATTGATATGCTGCAGTGATAGATGATAGGTATTCTTGATCAGGGTATAAAAGAATCCACGAACGAGATGTTTTTACTATGCGTCGAGAACCATAGAAAACTTTACACATTTGATCAGTTGCAGAAGACGTTGGCCAATGTGATGGAATGTCCTCTCATGGATAGAAGATTCTTCTCTTGGCTATGGCCCTATCTTCCGATTTTTTGATATCTGATCATGTTTGACCGACAGTATGATAGTAAGTATTAAGTTTAAACGAATGAGGTTATTCCCCTTCATCAATGATATGACTGAGAGATATTCATTGGGACAATTACCCTGTCATTATTTGTTATTTTTATCTTTCCTTCTCATAATCAATTGAACCATCTTTATTGAATAAATCTCCTCGATTCTCATCAATCTTCCAAATTCTCACCATCATCGACATTAATCATCAGAATCAAGGCGCGCGGTAAATGTTAATCGGAGGACCATTACTCAATTTGATAGAAAATCATATGCAAAAGCGTGAGGTTTCTTTGAGGTGCCCGTTGTATTTGGGCGGAACGAAACTAAATAGGCAAGGCATGTTAAGGATAAATTGAGATGGATAAATTACCAGCATCTTTTTCAGGAATTGATGGATTCTTTATCAAGTGAAATGTATTTGTATCTACTCGAGAACTGACTGGTTCAAGAATTTCATCAAATCTTGGTTGATAGGTAGGTATGTATGGATTGGAGGAAGAGATACGTGATGAGTTGTAGACTCGCAAAGTTGCAATTGCTCTCTACTCAAATCATCACAATTAATATCACGATGTCCATCTTCAGAAAAAAAGAAAAAATAGTGAATAGGATGAATGAATGAAAAAAAACGCCAAAGAAAGAAATACCAAAAATTGATAACCAACTTCACTTGCATCATTGACATCATCCCAAAGTCTAAAAAACGGGAAACCCATCAAAAAACCCGAAAGACATTTATTCTACTGATCCTACCATCCACACCTACATACATACATACATTTTCCATCAAACACCCCAATCACCACACCTCTCCATACATACATACTACTAAATAAATAGGTACGGCACAACAATCCCAAGTAAGTAAATCCCCACCCACAAGCAACCCCATCCAGCACCCAAGCCGTCCAACGGTAAAAAGCAAAAAAAAAACCCCCCTTCCCTCCCTACTTCCCCTGCAGGATGGGATAAATAAATACGGAGAATCACCTACTGGAATGAGCGCTGATTTGATTTTTGATCTTTGATCTCCTCAAAAATATATACTAATGAAGTAAGACTAGTGAGTTTTAGTTCTAGTTCTTGCTCTTTGCTCCACTTGTACTGGGTTTCTGTACCCGAGGGAGAAGTTGAGGATGAAGGAGAAGGAGAAGCAGGAGAAGGAGAACCGGGGAAGGGGGTTAGGATTTAATTTCTTGAAGGATATGATTTGTTACTTTGTTAGTCAGCTTTTGGTTTGTCATTGATTTTTCTTTTGGGATTGGGTTTTGGTCTATGTGTGTGTGTTGGGTTGGGTTTGTGGGTGAGTATTCTAAGTATATTATTCTAGTCTCTAATTACCTATAAAAGAGTATTTTTAGACTTGACTTTTAGTTTAAATAAATTGAATTAAAGGAGTGAGTAAAGAGATATTTATATTTTAAATATAAGATATTTAATGTTATATTAGATATAATTTGTTTTATCTCTTTTGAAAAAAGAAAAGATTTATAAAATTAATTATAAGTGTTAAAAGGAATAGAAGTTACCGGTACTAATCACGTGTCGTGATTAGTAATACGGTTACCTAAACAGGCTAGATTAGATGAACCATAAGCAGGCATATTGGTCCCCTCCGAGGATACCAAGAGGAGATCTTAATATGCCTACACACGTAGTAATATAGCCAATATAGAGGCCTCTTCCACCCAATCTTTTAATAATAAGTTATATTTAGTATATATTTATTTAAATCTATTATTAATTTCTTATATAATAAATATATAAAAAAAATCATTTTTTATTAATTAACTTTTAAAAAGAATTATTTTATAAAACATTATAAAATACACTAAATACTATCTTGTGACCAAAAGGGTGTTTATAGACCAGCAATTGTATTTAACTTAGAATCTACAGGTGAAGAGCACCTGTAGATGGGGATAGCTACTCTATATATACACAAATGAATGGCCTAGCCGTAATGGCTTAGGCAAAAAGAAGTCATATTTATCCCTCCAATGATCTTACTTTACCGATAACCATTGATACCTAGTACTTGTCCGGATCTGATCCTCAGGTCACCTAAATCGCATACTAATCTCGAGTAATCGTATCATGTGTGGACATGGTTAATGTACCTGAGGTTTCTTATATAATAAGGGTGGGAGGAAAGCAGGGATTTCCGTCACATATCTATCTGTTCAAGAAGTAACCGGTAAATCGGGACTTGTAAGCACCGATAAACATATTAAAGTATCCGCGCACAATACAATAACCTTCATTCAAGAATTAACTTTCAAAGGATGAAATGTACGATGATGATATAATTCATCGCAAAGCCCTATCATTATATTTACTTAGGTAACAACTATCCATAGCGATGACATCTCTCTACTACGTACCCAGACAACTCAACATTTAAAGTTTTCCCCAAACTTTATTTTTTAACGGCGGTGGGATGGGATATCGATTCTTTCTATAGAGTTACTGGAGTTACTCCATCTTTGCTTGGTTTATCTTTCGTCGGGCCGGTCCTTTAACACTAGAGTCATTCTCTGCATGAATTAATTAATACCTTGTATATCTTACATTCTATCTATCTATCCATAGTATAAATTCAAATTCAAAAAAGTATACCTTAGGTACCTATATGTGTATATATATATAATTCCGGAATTCCCGGTTATTTGCTTTTGCTCCTCTTCTTCTCCTCCATCTTCTTCTCATTCTGGCTCTAAGTAAATGTATAAGCGATCATGTAAGTTACATACATATGTAACATGCATATATGCATGCAAAAAGTGTTGAAGAAGTGCTGAAGAAATATTAGATAGGGAGGCGGAGACAGGGCTGGATCTAGATGATTCTATTCGGTTAATTCCCTATTTCGTAGATAGGTTGGTTATGTGTGTATTTTGTTTTGCAGATAAAAGAGAAATAAGAGGTAAGAAGTGAGACATCCTTGCGTGGTTTTTAGAATAATAGATATTACTTATTCTTTTTTTGCTGGAAATTGTTTGGCATACATTACCTAAATAGAAACTTAGAAACCTCTATAATGAAGATCCCCACTGTGAAAGTAGATCTAATTCGGTTTGCGTCTTACTTGGCACTGACAGGACATTGAAATTTCGGACTTTCAATTTCGGAGATAACATTGAGCGAAAAGCTCTTTCGGAATTTGAGGATTTCCTCCCTTGTCCATTTTTTTTCTCAAAACATCAAGTCGGGTCAGATTTAATAATCTTTCAGTTGTGCTTTGATTAGTATACGGAATTCACGGTAGTTTGTGTTGGATTGATAGTTAATATATCAGTTTCTAGTTTCTACTCGGTATCTACTCTGTAGATAGTTGATTAGTTAATTAGTCGGGTTATTTGTTATTTTATATGGATCCATTAGAGGTATTTAGCTTGTCAACAAACTAGCTATCGATTGATAGCCTTTCCTAATAAATGTTACGAGGTTTACTGTCTAGATTATGTGGAAGTGCTCTAGGCTCTCGAGGTGGTTTATAACTAGGCGTCAAGCAGGGACTTAAAGTAATGACAATAATGCAATTCGTAACTAATAGTAGAGTATACTAAATGATTGATCTTGAGCACGAAGCTCTATACAAAGGAAATCCATCTTGATTATATAGACCTTCATGCCTATCGTTCCTTCGGTAAAAGGATCGAAGGGATCGAAGGGATCACATGACTTCGTACGTGGTCATATGATACGAGGCCAGAAGCCGTCGTAACACTAGAGCACTTTCACGTGATCTAGACAGCAAACCTCGTGACAAATAATTGAAATCAATAATAGTAATAATATAAACAATAATTAATAAAAATATATTCTCAAAATTGATCGTTATAAAAATTATAAAAATCAATGAATATTATCAAATCTTTTTTTTAATATTAAAGATTGTTAAAGTGGATGGTTCCTGCGTAGCACGTGCACAGGGCACTAGTCCTATTAGGACTAGATTGAGAAGCTCTCTGTAGGAGAGCTTCGCACTTCCGTAGAACTTAGATAATGTGTGATTTATATACAAGACCAATATAGCCTCAGTTCTGCCCTATCAGCTTCCCACTATTCCCTGTGTAAGGTCATTCCTTTTAACAAAGATCAGTATTATTTATCCTTTTATTATACTAAATTGATAGTAATATAGTAAGTGAGACTACTCTAAAATAGCTCGCACACTAGAGATAGTTAATTTATTGACAAATTAAATACCTTTATTAGGATCTAGGTTGGCCAATGCGTAATCCCAGCTACAGGGATAACGTGCGGAAACGGGGACGGGGTGAGAGGGGCTCCGTCCGGTGGGATGGTATGGATGGAATGAGGATTTGATGAAGATTTGGAGAAGATTGAAATATATCTATCTCTACCTACTAACTATAAATAATCTTACAAGAATGAAATAAAATATAAAAACAGACATGAATCTACAATATATTTACTTACTAATTATTCCAACCATATTCACATTTATATTCCCATTTTACAAATAAACAATGCAGGATACAAAAAACAATTCATCTTTCATCCCTCCTAATTCCTAATCCTTCACCGAAAATCTCACCCATACCAACTACCTAGGTACCCAGAAACCTAGATACATACGGAGCACGTCCCTAGATTCCTTACCTGTCCAGTGCCCACCCTCCCAAAACAAGATTTCTTTTCCAAAGTAAGGTTACTCCGTAATTCAGAAAACGGCACAACCGATTTTCCAATCCTTGTCTAACTTTGCTTCTTTCTTGCCGCCTTTCCTTGAAGTTTACCCCCCATGCTTTTGTTCTTTTCCCCATATCCTTGTTTGAGAGTTTGGGAGTTTAGGACGTCTCATCGCTTTATATCACATCACTTCACATCATATCATGCCACATCACCTCGGTATCGGTGTCAGATATCTCTGCATTCTTTAGTACGGAGGTAAAAATTTCAGATTCCGCACAGATCGTTTATTATCGTATGATCTTGAATAGATAGATGGTTATTCAGAATTTATTAATATTTCGTTTATTATCAACACAATTCTATATCATCTAGAATTCTCAAAACATATAAGGATATCAGCTTTTGGCTATAAGTTGATAGATGTCCATTTGTCTGTCTGTCTGTGCTTCAAAATTAGGGTTGATGTAGCATGTTATGGTATGGTATAGTACTGTGGAACCCCCGGGACGATAGTATTGCTTGCTTGTGAATGGATAGTGTACGAGCTCGAGAGAAAGAAAGCTTGGGGGAGAATACAGGGATGAGATTTATACGCTATGGTCTACTTGTGATGGGTACTTTTGTATTGTTGTTTTATATATACTTTGTGCTCGAGTCGTAATTACTGGTTGTATATGTAAGTATGAGTATTTGAGAGTGCTTTTTCAGTACAAAGATATGAATAAATGAAGATAATTTATGATTTAAATTTAGAATCCCAGGCTTAACATTTCCCTATAAATATTCTGTCTTCTCAACTAATTATCAAATTAAATAAAGTATCTTTTTTTTAAAAAAAAAATACTAATATATCATCGCTCTATACAAAGCATATAGATAAACTCTCTCATATACATTTCTAATCAAATAAAAGAAACTCTAACCGAACACTATTCACACTTCAGCACACTCTATATACGCCATCACACGCCAAAATTCCAAAAAGTCAAATACGGCTTGAATCTAAGACATAGGGTCTTTGGGATTTTGGGATATGACGTTATTTTGTTGCCGTTTATGTAATAGAGATTTGCGGATTTGTTGGTAGGGAAGGTAAAACATACTAGCTAAGCTTTGTATTTTGGGATTGGATATATAGTTTAGCTTGGGGGAATGGAATGGATGGTACAAAATAGGTATGGAATAGCATAGTCGGTACAGTAAAGAGTATAGTAAATATACCTACTTCATCATAGCCGCAAAAAACGAGTATAAAAGCGGGAGAAGGAAAAAGAGAGAAGAAGGAAAGAAAACAGTGCATCGATATCCCCCCTTAACAACACAATAAATAAATAGGACAGTCAATAAATCATAATCAATCCAAGACATAAAACAAAATAAAATCTTACCTACTACGATATAAGAAAGATATACGAGCCATCTGCGCGTCTATTACATGCGAATCAGTCCCGACTGGGTAAGACATGAGACGGGAAATAAATTTAGGGATCCGGATTCGGATAGAGATTTGTTGGTATAGAACGAAAACGGAATGAAACCGGGTACCTGGATCTGAGCTGATCTGTAAGCAAGATCTTTTCTTTGCCTAGGTATTTTGTTATGATGTGATTTTCCTTTGATGGTTTTTGTATTGCATATAGGGAATAAGTATAGATGGATGCTAGATGCTAGATGCTGGACGGTGTATGATTTTATATTTACAGGTTTTCGATTACAGATCGTGGAATTAGGTTATTTTTTGTATTCTTAAGATATTTTCAAGGTGGGAGGGAGAATGAGGGATCCGGTAGGGAGAGAATCGGGGTGTTGGAGATGGATATCTAATATCTTTGGTAGAGGGATTGATGGACCATCATTTAAATATGGTAAATATATCTCTCGTGCTGATTTCCAATCGCCCATTATTGATGTGTTTAGGAATTGTGCTTTCGTGGGATTCCGGTCAAGTTTCGCGGAGAGTGAGGAGTTGGTACTCGGGTTATGTGATGGGATGATATTCATGGATTAGGTTCTCTATGAAATATGGAAATTTTGATGGATCCATGAGCTAGGGTGGCGCGAGTTCGCGTTTATGTTTATGAAGAGCTGGAAGGAGCCTAAAGGGAAAAGTTGTCAAATACTATGATCGTTCTTATGTCTTTGGAATTTGTAACTAGGAGTTTTATAATTGTTTTTGGAAGGTAGGACTGGGTCTGGTGATCTCACGATTGAAGGTTTATAGGTATTAGGTTTCTTGAGTTTATTTGCTTTGATAATTAATATAAGTTAAATTTGTTTGTATTTTATAAGTTCTTTAGAGTAGGTATAATATATTTACCTTTTATTATTATTAATTATATTAAATGAATTATATATTTTGAATAATTGAAAAAATGATAATAAAATTGTGACGCCTCACACCTCCGGGTCACGTGGCATGCCCCGTTTGTATTTAATCATAGGAAAACTCGCTACTCTTGTTTTCCTTCTTCTTTTCTCCTTAGCTTAGTATTTTCTAATACAAGATACTTTACCCAGTATTCTTGGGTGTGACAAAAATAAACTTTATATAATATATTTATTAATTATTTAATTTTATATTTTTAGGATTTTTATATATTATTATTATTTATAACTCTCAGATTTGAATTTTATAATATTAATAATTATATTAATTGAAAATAATAATTAAGAAAATGATTTCTAAAATCTTTTATAAAATGTTTATTCTATAATTAAGATTTTATTTAGATTTATTTTATTATTATTTTTGAATCACTCTCTTTTTAGTTATTTTTCTCTATTGAAAATAATAAATAGTGTTACAAGGAATGACCTCACACAGGGAATAGTGGGAAGCTGATAGGGCAGAACTGAGGTAATATTGGTCTAGTAGGTTAATCTCTCTTCTAAGTTCTACGGAAGTGCGAAGCTCTCTTACAGAGAGCTTCTCAATCCAGTCCTAATAGGACTAGTGCCTTGTGTACGTGCTACGCAGAAACCATTCACTTTAACAGAAATTAAAATTTATATGATAGATTCAAATTTTCAGTTTTAAACAAGATAAAAAAACTTTTATTAATATTAAAAATCAAAATATTTTGATTAAAAGATTTTCTACAAATTATTCATTAAAATATATTAATGTATTATATCTTTACTTTATCAAAATAAAACTAACAACACAATATATCTTTTCTCATCAGCGAGTTAATGACTTAGTTTTTATTAAAGATCTTTATAACGTGGTTTAAGACCGAGTGCACCATATCACCGAGTGCACCACTTTTACCTCAATTTGCACTTTCTAACTCATATCATTCAACAATCATTAAATCAATCAATTAAAACTATTAAGAATCTAATAATCTAGGATCTATTATACTATTTTGACAAGTTCTTGAATTATGACCAGTCTTTCCACACTTACTACAGCATCGACTAGTAGATGATTCCCTATTAGAATTTCCCCCATTTTGACGCTCGTCGTATTGAATCTGAATATCAATCTCTTGTTGAGATAATATATCTGTAGTTTCTTGTTCAGTAAGTACTCCTCCTTGATGTGATTGAGTCTTTTTCGCGTGTCGACGTTTGCTTAATACCTCATTTGCCTTCTGAAGTGTATGGTTTTCTGCATTTAAAAGTGTGTTTTCATATACCAATCTCTTTGTACCTTTAGCTAAAGCTAATATAATTTCGAATATAGGTGTGGGGGAGCTTGATTGATGACGAGCCATTCGAGATTTTACTAAAGTTGATTGAGAAAGAGCTTCAATTGGATTGTGAAGAGTTTGAGAGATCCAAAGGTTTAAATCGAAAGGGGGGGGAGTAGGCGTATGAATTCGAATATCTAATTTTGAGAGTATAGCTTGAGGGTCAAATGGTATTAGACCTGTTCTTCGAAAGCCAGCTTTCATATTCTGAGAGTTGATTGATTATTGATACATAGCTTTGAAAGTTATAAAGAATTCAATTTTGGTGATATGATTGATATATGCCTTGATAAACTCCTCAATTTGAGAACTATATGAACGTTTAAGTACACCAAAACATCCAACATCAAGTGGTTGAATTAAATGATTTGAATGTGATAGTAATTTGAGGTATATAATATCATTTGATTTGCAATATGATTGAAAAGGTATTGATTCGTGACTTTCATACCCATCCAATACTAGTATTCGATATTTGCCCTTCCTTTGACGAATAGTATGTTTATTGAAATGCTTTAATCATTCTAGACCTATCTCATTATTCGTTTATTTATTGGAAGTAGATTTAATAGCTCAATCCGCAGGAAAATCGGTTTCGGTATACCAATTGGAAAGATGAACTTGTTCTTGAACTACTAAAAATGGAGGTATAGTTTCACTTTCTTTATTACTATATATAATTGCCGTAGCCCACTCTCGATTGCCTGATTGTATTGCCTTGCTTCTGCTATTTCGTTCAGCACTAGTTACAACCATTCCAGGGCATATTATACTCATCATAAAGCCGGTTTCATCAAAGTTATAGAAATCGGAATCGACAATACTATATTTCACTTGCATATTCGATACCAATCGAAACTACTTTTCAATAAGCTTAGGATCTTTACAAAGAGCTCTTTGAAAGTTATAGACACGACTAAAACACATCTTTAATTTCATATAACGCTTTACAAATCAATAAACCCAAAACTTTTCAACCTTCTTTACCCTCCGCGATTCAAGAATATAATTCACCATATCTTCTATATTATTTAATTTAGATACAAATTCTCTTTCATTTATATTAATTATATATTGAATAAGTATCTCCTCTTCTAAATCAGTCATTTTATGACTATTTGCTCGAATTTCTATACAAGATACTAAACCATTCATTCTGCAAAGAAGTATTGTATACGTTATATTATATAGCTTAGCAGCCTTTCAAATGCTTAGTTTTTTATCTTTTTGAATAACTTCGATAGCTAAGAGTATTTGAGCTTCTTTTCTATTTGATTGCATAGTAAATGATTGATAAATCGTGTGTTGAAGTTGGAAAGTGCAAATTGAGGTAAAAGTGGTGCACTCGGTGATATGGTGCACTCGGTGTTAAACCACGTTATATCTTTTTCCGGCCTTTTACACTTTTAAATTGAAATTTAAAAGTGAGTAATACATGAGGTTGGTTTATACAATACTATTCACATTCATTTTTTATTGATTTTGAACTTTTCGAATCCCCAAAGGACAATTCTACTATATACCGAATATATAATGTACAATTATAAAAGACACCACAGAGATAGTTTTCAGAGAATATATCTATTGAAGTTCAAACGCAAGAGATCTTCGAGGTATGGGGTTGTTGCTTGATGGGGAGGAGACGTATTATTTGTGTGAGATGCGGATGTGAGTTTGCTACAAAAGGGAGGGATAAGAAGAGGGGTGACGGATTGGGTAAGTTCTTTTGTTTTTGTTGTTGTTTTGAGAGTAATTAATGGATGGATGAGATGATTTATATTGTTTGTCGGAAATTTCAACATTCATTCAGTCAAGTTAGAAATCATGATCCGTTGCTCAAATTCAAAGATTAATAGCTAAAGTTTTCTTGTCGAGCAAAAGCTGTAGTATCAGTTAGTTCCTGCTGTGGATATTAAAGAAGTCGTCAGGGTTTTATAGTAAAGGCCGCTGTGACATATTTCAATTCCTGTTTCGGCTTGTTCTCAGTGGTTGGGGGCATGTTTGAGATTTACAATTCAGTTCTCTCACAAGTTACAAGTTTTTAGGGAAAGGGTTTCATTTGGATGATAATTATGGTTAAAATGTTAGATATGACTTCTTAGTCACGAGTATGGAAAGAGTTTGGTGTCATTCTGAAAGGCGGGGCAGGGAATGGTATATAACAAGACGTTCTCGTGTGAGTTTCGGAGGTAATATTTTTTAAATGATCCATTAAGGGAGACTAATAGGTGCTTCTTGGAGATGAGTAGTAGTACTTAGTTGTAGAAGTAAAGAAGGAATTTGCTTTGGAATGTGGGGGAGAATTAGGAGGGGGTTTGCGGCTTTTATTGTGGTGTGTGGTATATTGTATTTTTAGAAGTGAGGATTATTCTCTTCACTTTGGCAGTGGTTAATTTACCCTTTAATTTAATGATTTTATGGACACGATAACAACAACTAGACGTCTTCATTCCTCTCTGGCTTTACAGTCGAGGTAAAGAGACGGAAACTTATTGTCAGGTTGCGGGTTCTGTGGCTAACAAATTCGAATATCGTTTTCTAAAATATCAAAACTATGTTGTAATGAAAATATTTCGATGCGTAGACTGTGTAGTTTGATACCAGGAGGGCAAGACATAGTTTTTTTTTATAGAAGAGAAGTGAATTTTACTCCGATCAATCTATCTATTTTTATTTTATATTGACCAATAAGAGCTACGTTTAGCAGGAATTCAAAGAGCTCAAACATATCGCACTCGCTCGATTTAAAGATGTCTGTAGTCTGTGGACTAGTTGAGATCTAGAACAAGTCAATTTGAGATAGGGAATCTGAAAAATAATCTATTTTCACGTATATATATATTTCCATGAAAAACAGTGAGGTTTGTTCTTCACAAGCCGATTGATTTATCAGGTGTTGTACCTGAGAATGGTATTGGGCCCAATTGCACTAGATATATAGCAACAGGAGGGAAATAGACTACCCACGAAATGATAATGGCACAAAAGTGACAGTAAAAAGCAAGTTTCCAGTCCGTAACCTTACATATCTGGCAAAATTATTGAGATCTGACCTTCACACGAATACCACCAGCAAAAGCTACCCAGGTAAACATTCAACTAAAAAATCCATGAAGCGCCTTGACTTTGGGAAACACAGTCTGATTGTAATTTCTCCGAAAATTGTGTACTATTCCATTTATGTTTTTTATACTCAAGAAGAAACTTTCCTACAGAAGATAATTCTCTGAGTCTCCGAGTCTATTGAATCATCTGATTAACAAAATGGTGGTTAGATCGAGGAAAGTAAGTATATAATACGCTTCAACCTTACCACAAATAATTTCTAGTTGAATCAATAAATCAACACAAAATCAAGATCAAGGAGTGATGGTTTATTTGACTGATATTCCCAAATATCTAATATATTTGTTGATAAGTGTTTGGCCAGATGTCAAAAATTGCCTTTTTGGAGTCTTTTTTAATGTAGGCTGCAATTTTCGTCATCATTTACTTATTCCGTTTGCTGACGCAGTCGACTTGAAGTATTATTGTCGGTATAAAGTATACCATTTGGTCATTTACCCGAACTATCATTTTGACTGCCAGGAAGTTAATGTGGCAGAGAGAAATCCGAATATTCTACACGACTTGGACTGTTAGGCAGACTCCTGACCCGTGCCCTGTGACGAGGATGCAGGCGAGGTTTTATATTCTTGGCTGTTACTTCTATACTATAGGACCTATTATATACTAGTTAGAGGCTTAAAATTTGAGGCATTGTGTTAAGGGCTTCTTTGAACCACTTCTATCTTCTTACCGTATTGTAGGATGAAGAGTTATTGGGTTTATTGAGACCAGAAAGAGCATCAGATTGAATTGATTGATTCTCTAGCTAAGCAGTTAAGCTGCGAGTATATATTCAAAAAATGAAGGAATAAGGTTAGGTCTTCAGCCTTCGGAATTAAAGTGCTTTGAAATCAAAATATTGAAAGCAAACAAACAGTATACCAAAAAGGAAAGAATGAATTAAAAGTTGAGTTTTGTTTGCTCCTTATATGCATCATGCAATATATATGCATATGCTGCCAAGATCCCAGGAGGTCAACAAGAGTCCTGGTAGTTGGAGCTGAACACATAGATATCTTATGGAGGTGGATATTTAACAGCGCTTCTTTTCTTCTTTCTGTGTTCGTAGCAAATTTCTTAGACTCTTGGATCATCATTTTGACTTTTGCTATTGGTGTATGAATATTTGTAAGATTATAATCTTTCATCACTTCAAAGAGGCTGTAATGAACGCTGAAGAGATGCTAGGAAGTTATTCGTGTTTTTGAGATCGTGGCAGAGAAAACTGGAATTCATTTGCTGCCAATTCTCCCTTTTGCTTAGCATTTACTAATATTACTGGTCTTCTTTTCATCAACCATAAACCATATCAACGCCCAATAATCATCTGTCTCTTAGCCGCTTCCTCTCCCAAAGTTGGCGCATGATGTGTTCATCTATTGTTTCTAGAACCATCTGTATCCAACCCCAATTTGTCTATTTCTCAAACCTAAAACTGGTATCTGAATTTGCTGAAATCCTTTGTTAGGAAGGAATCCCTCTTCTTCCCTGGCGAACGCTTAAAATAGGTTTTAAATTGTTGAGCTAGCGCTCAACGCGGCAAAGAACTGAGAGTTTCAAAACTTTTGTTGCACATCTGAAATTGAGCGCAAGATCATAAAGTTGCAGATATGCTAGCTTATTTTATCTAGAACCAATATACGGTATGCCAGCCACTCGGCTAGAAATAAAGAAGGCAAGAGCACGAGGGCTTCCCTTTGTTGCAAATCCAGTGACCACAATCCTAATACCACATTTGATTAGTGAACTTCCCTACTATAAACAAAGAGTTGAAGTCTCTGGAGATTTTGTTGCATATCTGAAATTGGGCGCGAATTATTGAACTTGCTAGACATACCATTTGATGGGATCTGGATCTTTCTACGGACGCCAGTGCCTCGTCTAAAATACTGAGGCTACTCCTTTTCTTGGGAGATCCGATGACCGTAGCTCAAAATATCTTGAAAAGGCAATTGATTGGTGAATTCCCGTATATTAGACAAAGGGTTGAACTGTTTGAAAGTTTTGTTGCATGTCTAAAATTGGGCGCGAGTTTATCAACTGGTCTTCAGCTTGAAAGTTCAGTGATATCTCTCAACATCTGAATGTGATTGGCTCAGTAACATTCTGAAATAGAAATATGAGTTCTCAAGGGCATTATGTTGTACATCTGGAATTGGGCGTGAGTTCTTGAACCTGCTAGTGGCAAGTGTATAGGCAAACCGCACTTGTGGACTTAAGGCTTATTTTTGCTACATGCGGTCAGCTTAGTAATAGGAGCGAGTACATCTCAGCTGAAACAATAGTATCTGCATCTCTTAACGAGATCGCCCCCGAACAATATTCTCCACCCAAACACACTGAGGCACTGATGTTGATATTTACGCCAAAGGTAATGTGAAAATTCGGCTGCACTGCTTCTACATTTCTTTGTAAGTTTGATTCGGAGGATCTGAACCTTTGTCGATGAGACCATAAGTTTCTTGAATCGTATCCAGTCGTGTTACATTAACACCGGCTTCTCGTTTACAATTTGTGATGTTCGACTCTCCGGGCAATGACTTGTTAATTCTCCGAAAGTAATTGTGTTACTGGTTGGTAAACACCATGTCTAACTTTTGGGGACGATTATAGTAGTCTATTAAGTATGCAACGCAACTCCATAGGGTAGAAATCCCGAAAAGAATGTCATCCTTGGTCGCTCGATTCGGGACGGGGAACAAGATATACCTGTACCAATCTATTTACACAAACCAAGAGAACCTCTTGCTTGATCCTCCTAATAAGTCGAAAAATCTAGACTGCATATTTCTTACAGTACCTTCTGCCAGTGACCAACTTTCACGTATCGAACTTTCCCCGTTTTTAAATCGTAAAATAGTTAATGAGGGGTAGTAGTGGGGCAAACCATAAATTCAACCTAAAGCGGGACTTCCGCATCACGACCCAAACACATCCCGTACTCTTCCCGCTTGGTTACCACTACATCAAAGTGGGCCCTCTACCCACAATAAAGCATAAACACATATTCTAGGTCATTACAACTGACACGACCTTCACCAACACGTGGAGCATCTTCAACCAAGATATTGTACTGACAATGAAGGAAGTAAAAGAAGGCTGTTGCGGCAAAATAAGATATGCAACAAATAACAAAGACATCACTATGCAGTGAAACAATGTGGGACTAGAAATGCAGGTATCCCCGCACCAGAGGTAGCACCGGGGGTCGTACAATGACGATAATTATCTGAAGTAGACGCCATATAGATGGTGGGTATACCGCGGAGCAGTCCGCGAATCGAGATATGCAACAAAAGACTTCATATGCATGATATGAGCGTATGGGGACCGGAGTTTGAATAGAACATATACCACGTTGCATTGGGAGTCGCATTGTGGTCGACTAAAATGTGGGACATTGATGTAGTGCTCCGTGGAAAGTGAGACGCGATGTGCAACAAACGTGGAAGTAAAGATGGGGTTGTAGATAATATGCGTGGTTGTGCTGAACAGGAGAGTTTGAATGTATGATGACGCAGTAGTGCTAATGAAAGGAGGGGTAATGTTTGAGATAAGGCTTGAAAAGACAAGTGGTGAATGGGTATGTAAGGATATCGGGGACTCGTCGTTAAAGTGAGTGCATGAACACGTTGAACATGCACCTCATACTCAACCCATCTAGCGCATATCCTTTTAAAACCCCGCCTTCTAAAATTGGACTTGCAGCCATACCTCTAGTCCCTATTAAGAGCTTCAACGAGATGCCCGAAATATACGACATGCAACAAATAACCAAATGCGGAGCCCGTACCACCAAAGACTAAACCATGGAATGATCCGCAGATTACGATGTGCAACAAAACCAAGTTTCCGGGAAGTACCCGCATGCATTTATGGTGGCATGACATGACGAGGCGGTGCAACTCAATGAAAGAGGCTCGTGATGTGAGTTGTATATTGGGGTTATCTTGAATGTCACTGGTGTGAGGCTTGTCGGGCTGGTGTTTGTTGTACAAGCGTGACTGTGTGAGGCTACGTGGAATAGCTGGTGAAGTCATGTATTATTTGTCCTCGTGATAAAAGTATAACAAATGAACGGGATGTCCTCCAGCTGGTGGGAATGCTTTCAACCGATCAGGGCCCCAGCATCTGTGGCCGAGCGTCTGCATCTTAGAATTATATACGGAATCGGATCGAAAGGCTTAATGTGATACCCGTAAATACAATCGGGCTTATCCATCCTTTCTCAAATTTACAGTATGAAACTATTTCGAAAGCTTATTTGATGCTAGGAGAGTCCTCCTTAAATACTCCGCACAACCTTATTGAAGCAAGGCAAGCTATCACTTGCTTCCAAAACACATAAATATCATTCATGCTAGTTTTTGTTAGAACTGAGCCTAAGACAAAACAGGAAGAATAACAAGAACAATTTGAGGCGCAAGAAGATTTATCATTTATCTGACGCAGATGAAAACCATTTGTGAGCTCTGACAACAACAAAATTCAACATGATCGGTGCGACAAAAGTCATCGAAGAATGATGCCGCAGATGATTGATGGCATTTAGTCATGGTTTGACAATTAAACAGTGTTGATTGAATGGAAAGATGGTTTGTCGTAGATGATCGTACTGTGTATCAGTGGGACCCGAAGTCTTGAAATTTTACTATACACAAGCAAAGCTGCAATTCTCTGAGTATGATTGAAGAGAGAACGGAGAAGTCAACGCCATACCTGCCAGTGGAAGTCTTTCTGAAGCTCTCACTTCATTATTTGAGTGTTGTCCAAAGGGTTTTCTTATATATACCGTTCACTATATTTTGGAAGAGAGGAAGGAGTACATTTCGAGAATATTGCTTCACCTCCGACGCGATTGGAGTTCCTAGCCATTTTAGAGCCATAATTATGGCTTTGAGTAGTACTCAGAGGTAGTTTGCATCTCGTAGCGATCTTACTGTAATGCTTTCATCTTTCTTTTCAGGTATAGCACTACTAGCAGTGATCCAATTCAGGGAGGATAGCTGAGGCGAGGTCAAAGCCATGTGTAGCTACCTTGGGAACATTACACTTACACTTTCCCAATCTAAGCTGAGATGGTAGTAAGTCGATGGAACAAGTGACGAAAAAGCTATCCTCATTGCACATAAACGCAATCAATTCAGAAGCTTCAAGAGTGGTGACGTAAATAGAGAAATAGTAGCAAAAAACGAAGTGGATAATTGAAATAAAAGTCAAAGAACTTGCCACATAATCCACCCCAGGATCCTAAAAAAAAAGCACATTTGTGTTTCTTTAAGAATTGTCTAGACAATGAGTTTGGGCCTGAGTAGAAGCCAAAAGTAACCAGCCTTAAACAGACTTGTTCTGTTGGGTTTCTTAAGACCAGAAAGAGTATCAGATTGAATTGATTTATTCTCTAGCTAAGCAGTTAAGCTGCGAGTATATATTAAAAAAAAATGAAGGAATAGGTTAGGTATTCGGCCTTCGGAATTAAAGTGCTTTGAAATCAAAATATTGAAAGCAAACAAACAGTATACCAAAAAGGAAAGAATGAATTAAAAGTTGAGTTTTGTTTGCTCCTTATATGCATATGTACTATATATGCATATGCTGCCAAGATCCCAGGAGGTCAACATGTTCACAACCGTGGATGCCCATCCAAAAAGGAGGAGTTTTCCCCACAACTCGAAGTGAATAGCTAACAGCTAGTCCAAACACTTAAGACCAAACCCACATCAGAGACACAGCCATCACATTCTCAAACCCCCCTATATATTCATCCTCAAACTTCATAAAACTACTCAAGTAAGACGATGGTAGAAACAGTATAACGTGAATTTATGGAACTGCCATAGTCCTGTACTCTTGCCTTTCCGAAGCCATCTAGACCTTGAGCCATTATCACCTCATTTCTCGGATGATTTCACAAGTTGGGAAGGGCTTTGATATACCGGATTACTGAAAATGGTATACTTGAGGTGTGGTTTGATAAGATTACACAGAATTGATAATGATGATGAATAAAAGAAGTATTGGCAGTAATTACACTGTTCCCCAGCTGGTCAAGTCGTTCCATTCTTTATCATCATCATGTAGTACCACCTACTATTCTCCCATGAGTAAGCCTAGGAAATCCTGGCATTATCGTATTAATGTAGATTTTTTTTTAAAAAAAAGAGAACGTACACAGGAAGGATATGTATTCCGTTATCGTGTTCCCTCGGAAGTCGAGTATATCCAAAGGTTCTGTTGAATGATGAAGTATCATGCCGAATCCGCTCCTTGCAGCCAAAAGCATTTCATCGGAAGGAAGGATTACTCGACGGATTATACTCATTCAATCAAAGCTTGGATACACATGAGTATCAACGATACAATTCATAATCGGGATACTCCCTCCCTATAAATAAAGCCAATTGAGGAAGCATAAGGTGTGCTGGCTGAGCTTATAATAATTAACCCACTTTGGACAATGGAGAATATGATTAATAACACCGGTACGGTAATATATGCTTTATGATGATACTAATTGATGGCAGTACTTCAGGGACTTAATGCTAGATGAGCCTTTAATTCCATGGCAGGTTCAAGACCCAACTTTCAATGCTTCCTGTTATTATGCTTCAAGAAGGAACAAGCTCATCTCGTACACATGAACAAATCAAACTAAAATCACGACAAACATATTCGAAATAACAACTAGTTCATCTGTTGCCTCCGGAAAGCACCACCTTATCTTTCTTATAACAATACCACATACCTAAGAAAACTAGCCGAAGCAGCTCCACCGTATGAGATCTCTAACAGATCTTTGTAGAGCATGATATACAATTTCGATATTGACGGTCAATGATTTATGGAGACTATTACTGTCCATAGTTTATCGCACCGTTCGACCGTTTCTTAAAGACCGATAGAGACGATTAGATCATGTCATAGGTCGATTTGAGCAGTTGACGGGAAGCGCTGTGGCAGACTTCGAGATATGAAGTCTGGGTATATGGGCTATGAAAGTACATGGGGTTCTATACTGCTGCAGTATATCTAGTTAAAACTACAGCAGTGGAATTGGAGATGGAGAACATGTGAAGGGGAATTATAGGTAGGAAAATGTGTAATGGAGTATACAAAGAACATTTTGATATAGGAAACTGGAAGTCACTTGGTCAGATGTTGTAGGAATCCTTATGTGAGAAGTCTGAAAAAATGAGAGTTGCATACCATACGTTGATGGCTGCTTGGAATTGAACATGTATTGTCTGAAGAATTAGACCCTTCAATTCACCCAAGGCATCACCAGTACAAATCTACTCCACAAGAGCACCTAGTGGCGCCCCCAAAATAATCACAGAACCCCAACTAACCACGGCAGATCACAGGATATGATTTAGCTTGTGGTTCCTAATTCCGTGCGTCCGTCATATCTCGAACAAAATCAGCTAATTATGCATGATCAGGTTCTGTAAACAGTGTCCCAAAATTGGCAGGACGGGCTGCCGTACCGATAATGTGACAGATTCGTGCCAATGCTAGTCCTTTCCTCTCCTCTGCTATACACTGTATAATCCAACTTGAGCAATAGTCAAACGACGGAAAAATGTATTCAAATATCCACCACCAATCAACGATTGGAATGGGATCCTTTCGGCCAACTTAAATTCAATGAAGTCAAATTAGAGACTGCAGTCCCTATTCGGCGATTTGGGAGCACATAAAAGCTCCTCTATTGCAACTGCCAGATTTCCAGTTTCCCATATTTTATTGTGCGTCCCTTTCAATATACCTTTGAGGTTCTTCACCACTACCCCATCAGCAACGCCCTGCACACTTTTCACCATGACATCGATTTGTATCTCATCAACTAGCTCATCATCGGGCGAAGTAGCAAAAGCAAGAACCTTCTTCTTTCCGCCGATACCCATGAAGTACGGAAACCTCGCTGGTGAAACCTCATCCCAGGCTTTTTCATCGCCTCCAAATGCCTCAGTGAGGAACTCATTATATGCAGGATGCGGATGTGTATCACGAAGTAACCTCAAATTGTAGATTCCAGCTGCTCCAAGAAAGTATTGTGGGAGTTTGAATTTCAGAGATTCACATGATATACCACAAGAACGGGCATACTCCTCTCCTCTTAGAACTTGCAGTGCTAGCGTAGCTCCGCACGAATGGCCGACAAGCATATATTGATCTTCGATGGAGTATTTGGACTGTAAGTAAGACAACGCCGAACATATGTCTTGTAGGTGATCAGGGTGCTTGGCATTGCGGTATGTATGCTTGGGGACTGAGGAAGAATCTTGAGGGAAAGATGAATGGGCTGAAAGTCGATAATTAATGGAGACAAAAGAGGCGATCTTGGATTTAATGGATGAAGATAGAAGACGGTTAATCGTTGGGACGAAAGAGGACGAGGTGACAAGTGGATCACGCCATGCTCCTCCATGGATGTAACTGGAGAAGATGTTAGAATTGAGGAAGATTGTCAAACACGTGACACGTTTCTTACATAATCCATATCTTGGATGATGTTGCAATGGAATCTGAGACATCGCCCGCGACAACCCTGCTGTGTCTCGGGGAGTAGACACTCAAAGTCTGCAAGTCGTGCTCTTGCGCATATCTCACTTCCTCTCTCAAAAGATGCTCACCAGCATCGAGTGATGGAAGTTCAGCAATAGCCATTGTGACTGACAATCTCTTGTAAGATGATAAAGTTGTCAATAACACCAAAAAGGATGGCGCGATAAGAAGTTGTTGTGCAGCAAGCAAGTTATTTGTTCACCTTTTTGGATAAACCTCGGGTATATCTATCATTATAAATATAACAACTCAAAAGTTGGAATTCTATTGTGGTTTTATTTATATAAAATTGATAAGATAACAATTAGTTAATAACCGATATCTTTACAGTTATACACGGCCCGGTTCTTACCCGTGATTGATTTATTTTTAAAACTCTTCTATTTTAATATACTATATAATACTTTATTAAATTTTTTTTTTAAAAAAAAACTTTTATTTTAATATATTTGTTAAAGTGAATGGTTCCTGCGTAGCACGTGCACAGGGCACTAGTCCTATTAGGACTAGATTGAGAAGCTCTCTGTAGGAGAGCTTCGCACTTCCGTAGAACTTAAAAGAGTGATTAACATACTAGACCAATATTACCTCAGTTCTGCCCTATCAGCTTCCCACTATTCCCTGTGTAAGGTCATTCCTTTTAACAATATTAAATATAAATTCTAAAAAATAATCTTAGTTCTTTATAAAGATAACGAAGATTCAAATAAATAAAAAATCATTAGCCTCCTTATAATTTCGCTTAGTGTGCGATGAGTTGTTTCTAGAACTCCTGTAATTATATAATATCAAACCCTAGTCTCATCTGTCATTACTCCATCATTGACATTATCAATAATGGTGAGTTCGTAGTCTTCCTGATGTCTCTTTTATTGGTCAGTACACCACTATCCTCGGAATCTAATATCATCCCCCATATCATCTTCCATGTCTTCATCGTCAGCAGCTACTTGCGCTTCAAATTCGGATAAATTTTACAAGCTAACGGATCGGAAGCGGATCAGATTCAATCGTCCAGAAGTGTTCACGTGCCAACTGAACCCACCAGACAAGTCAACGGCCTAACGTAATTAGGCGATGAATCGGCAGAATTCAAGCTCTAGGTAGGTAGTTAACCTTAGCCATATCTGGGAAAGTGTTACGAGGTTTGCCGTCTAGATCACGTGGAAGTGCTCTAGGCTCTCGAGGTGGTTTATAACTAGGCGTCAAGCAGGGACTTAAAGTAATGACAATAATGCAATTCGTAACTAATAGTAGAGTATACTAAATGATTGATCTTGAGCACGAAGCTCTATACAAAGGAAATCCGACGTAACAGAAAGTTTTTCTTCATCGAAAATCAACCTTTTCAAAAATCTCTATTAATTTAACTACATGTCTTACAGCTTTAAAATTTTGAAATTGATTTGAGAATCAAATAAACAATAAAATACTCGAGAAAGATTTCTTCAATTAAAGATTTTCTTTATTAAAATGAATTTGATTTCAATAATAAATTTTTGGGTTTTTTTCTATATTTAAGTTTTAATTGAATATTTAAATCAGATAAAGTTATATGAAAATAATAAAATATTACATACTTAGAAATTAGAAAGTATATATAATAATGAAATTGATTTGTTTTAGATTTTTAAAGTAGATGATTCTTGGTGTAGAAGTTGTGACGCCTCACACCTCCGGGTCACGTGGCATGCCCCGTTTGTATTTAATCATAGGAAAACTCTCTACTCTTGTTTTCCTTCTTCTTTTCTCCTTAGCTTAGTATTTTCTAATACAAGATACTTTACCCAGTATTCTTGAGTGTGACAGAAGTGTGTTTCGCTGAGCAAGCGGACTATTGGGCCAAGAACATACCAAAGCGGTGACCCAATTAGGCTAGAAAGTTCAGTTGGCCAAGAATTACACCTTCATCCCCATCTTCAAGAAACCAATATCTTCGGAGGCGGATACGGAAACTATTCAGTCTCAGATATTTCTGCGAATCAGTCCAGTTTCCTATCTCGATGACAATCAAGTGAGGGGTCGAACGGATGGAACGAAGATGTCGCAGATTAGGCGTTTGACTACCTCGGAGCTGTATCCATCGGAGGCAAGAATGAAAGGTGATGTAATAAAGAAGTTATAAAATGTGTGTAGGTAAACCCTCTACGGTTTATTATTTTTCAACATAAGTCTCCATTATCTCAATTGTTTTCATACATATTGCATATTTTAAGGTGCACAATTGCTGCTGCGATCCTACATCGAGTTTAATAATCTTTCAAATTTAAGAGTTTGTCAATATGTGGAGAGAATTGGATGTCGGTGTCATTGGTGGCGGAATAGGTATGTATTTATCCCCTTTGCAAGTCGTCCATGAAAGCTAATCAGTCGGGGAGAAAAGGTGGTCTTGCTGCCGCCACAAGTTTACGACAAGCCGGCCACCGAGTCACAATATATGAACGAGCGGATTTCGCTGGAGAAGTTGGTGCTTCTATATCATGCGCGGCAAACGGTACGAAGTGGCTTGAAGAATGGGGTGTTAATATTCCAATCGGGCGACCTGTGGTATTAGAAAAACTGATATCGCATGATTGGAAAACGGGAGAGGTACAAAATGTATACGATTTGGCCGATTACAAAACTAGATGGGGATACGTTTATAACATGTTCCACCGAGTCAACATGCATGAGATGTTGATGGACTCAGCTACAGGATCGAGCCATACGGGTATACCAGCAATCTTAAAGTGTAATCACAAATGCGCAGAAATTGATCATGAACAGGGCGTTGCGACATTTGAGAATGGTGCGCAAGCCAAACATGATCTAATTATTGGAGCGGATGGAATTGGATCACAAGTACGAAAGACTTTGGGAATTGTGCCAGATCGGCAATTATCTACATCTACATGCTTGCACTGCATTATCGAGACAAAAGATGCGAGAAGATTAGGACTCAAAGATCTATCACCAAATAGTGCTATTGAGTTTTGGGGGGGGCAAGGCATTCACAAGATTGTGTTCTCACCGTGCCGAGACGGAGAGGTTCACTCATTCTACTGTTTCTTTCCGACAAATGAAAGTCCCCATGCTGGTGAAGGCTGGAATATTAACCTTACCGTTGAGGATATCCTTAGACCATTTCCGGACCTCGACCCCGAGCTTCTTGCATTATTCAAGAATTCAACCGACGTGAAACCATGGAGACTATTTGTTCATCAACCATATCCGCATTGGCAAAAGAGGTCTACTTGTATCCTTGGCGATGCAGCGCACCCTATGCTTCCTGACCAAAGTCAAGGCGCATGTCAGGCTTTGGAAGACGCCGCTGCGCTGGGTATAATTTTCGGGCAGAAATATGAATTCGCAAATTCAAAAGCAAGCATCAACGATGGTCTAAAGATATATGAGCAAATTCGTAAACCTAGAGCTTCTCGGGTACAAGCGGCTAGTGCTCGTGCCAGGGTGAACATCAACGAACGCATTGGATTCTCATCGAATACTACCAACCCAAACTACAAAGTATTAGATGAGAAGAAAAAACTGACGATCGAGGAGATGAATGAATACGATATGTATTCGGATGTTGAGAGGGCAGTTCTGGGTGTACAGCTGGAGGTGGGAATGAGGGCCAGCTTGTAAACTTATCCGGTTTGCAGTTTTTGAGGAGCACATGAGGAGTACTTTTGATTTTTGGATATCCTACTTTGTACTATTTGCCAATATTTAGCCTTGTTCAGAACGATTTCATGATCTATACATTACTTGAACTCCCTTTAAAAGGAGTATAAGCAGCTTGCCATGTAGATCATATATCCAGTACAATCTTTCTTTGACTTGTGTAGAAAAGGAGAATTACCCGAAGAACATCCGTTTTCATTCCGTTGTTCCGTTATGCCGTCGGGAATCCCTGCTTCTTCCCAATTTAGCTTACTGGCATAGTGCATAGCATTGACTTCTTTATTCAATTTATCCCACTCACACAATTAATTCTATTACGAACCAACAATATGTTTTGTGAACTACTTCAATCTTTTTGCACATTTCATCAAAAGTGCTTCAATGTCAGAACGTCCAGCAAAACGTGTTCGCCAAGCATGTGAACCGTGTAGGTACGTAATAAATATGGAAAGGGAGCGGCCATAAGAAATGGGGATTGAAGGGATTGAAACGGTTCTATATTGCGTGGACTGATAAATAACGGTGACCAGGCGCAAGAAAACAAGATGTCCAGGCGAGAAGCCAGTATGCTCGCATTGTGCGAGATTGAGACAAAATTGTTATTATGCTGATGATGGACCAAATCATGCAAACGGGAGAACCTCAATTGAGAGAACCCCAATGCCGACACCTAGTCGAGTACAGGAAACGGCGCACGTGAGATCTTCTAGTGACGTTAATTTGGTAAGTAAAAGACTGCCAGTGTGAATACTGAAGCTTACGAGATTTACCAGGAAGATAGATTAAAATCACTCGAAGCCCAACTTGCAGAAGTTCTCGCAAATCAAGTATCAATGAGCAGGAGCGCATCAAGGCATATTTCGAATTCTCCTGTTCTGTCACAATTGGGACAGGCAATGAGGACCCCGAGTGTTTTTAGACTTTCCAGTAGGTGAGAAATTTACATGCGGTTGTTTGAATTATGATACTAATCAGGTTGAAGCAAGCTGCCACCATATGAGGCGATCATAAGTATTGCGAAGACTTACTTGCTTTATTGTGATTGTCAGCCGCTGCCTGTATTCTGTCGAAACAGATTTGTTGAAACACTCAACGAACGTGACCCAGAGGTGATTTTCTCGATCCTAGCTTTGGCCATACGATTTTCAGACGATGAGATTTTCCGTGATAACCAATCTGAGCTTGTTGCAGGATATGTGGAGGCAGCTCGATCGATTATCTCAGGCAGGATATTCGGAGGTCGAGTAGAACTTTCTACGTTGCAGTCTTTGTGCCTTCTTAGTCTAGTAGACTTCACTAGTTTGTGCTACTAATCCGAAACTGGAGCGCTGCTAATAGGTTTTAGATGGAAATACACGACAAGCAAGCGTACACAGTAGCCTAGCTATGAGTTTAGCCCACAATGCAGGTCTCACAACAGAGAGCCACGCCCCTTTATCTGAGTTTCTTCGTGAAGAGCGTCGGCGATGCTTTTGGAGTTTATTCCTTCTCAAAAGACTACACGGTGCCGACTTTAGCGTCATAGATTTTACAGGCGATGACAATTTCCCGTGGTATCCGGAAACAACTGGGAAACCGGTAAATCCTGGACAGTTTACCAGTGGAGAAACCCCCGACCTATCGTCACCAGAGTTTGCTACACCTGATACTCAAGACAAAGGTGTCGTTGCATACGCAATTCAGCTCAGCGAAGTGTGGTTTAAGATTACCCGTTACGCGAGGAGACGTGGAAACCCAAGTACTTTACCGCCATGGTCTCCTCAATCAGATTACGCATTAATCATGGCTCAGCAAATGGACTTTGAGACTCGAACCTCACAAATTCATCGCTTCAAATCGGCTAAATTCTCTCAAAGATCAAGCGAAGATCTGCATGCCAATCGAGATTATTGGGGTCCTTGGTTATTCATTCAATTCTTGTATCACACGAATCTTTGCCTTCTAAACAACCCGCTTCTATTATCACTTCGATTGAAAAATATCAAATCAGCCATCCCTGAAATATTCTTACAGCATATTTCAGATTTGATTTCATCACATGCTAGCTGGGTCATTAGATATATCGATATGCTAGAAGTGAAATCCTTCAAAGTTTCTGATCCGTTTCTGGCCCATTGTGTAGCAATCATTGCAACAATATATTTACAGGAATGTTTTGCCGAAGACCCAATTGTACGACAGGAGAAGCGTGACAACTTTGACAAGTGTCTAAGATTCATTCGGGATTTCAAAGAGTGGCCTCATGTTGCTCGAATGGTTAGACAAATTCTCTTGAAGGTTGTATTGATTATTAACGATATAATAGGCTGAAAAGCTTCAACGACTTTGTGATACAGTTTCATCCACCTATACAAATACTGATGCACCACCTCAAACCCCCAACCGCAGTCTTCTCATCGACCTAGGTCAATTCTGGGAGATCTTGGAGTACTCGTCATCGAGCGAAATACCTACCTCGGCCCGTCGCCTTTTCGGACCATCGTTATATTCAGCTTCACTACCTGCCACTCATGAAATAAGCCATGCGTCATCATTACCAGAACCAACTAGAGTCGACAGGCAGGATTTTGAGGGCTCCGGTCCCAGTTCGGTAAATGCAAGTGTGGTGAATTTGGGGGAAAATGGGATGCTGGGACAAGACCAAGAGTTTGTTCAAGCACCATTTCATTATTCTGATGATGAATTGGCAGTTTTGGCGGAAAGCTTTTTTCATCAAAGGGGTGATGGGTTGGGGAACGTGGATGATTGGTGGAGTGCTGGAAATTTGGGGGGTTGAGGCGTTTTGGTTACTTCTGTTGAGACTGATTTTGCATTAGCCATGGAGAAAACCTCTCTTAGCTTCTAGATATAAGCGCAACTCAGGGTATAATTAATGATTGATGCTGTGAAGAAGCAAATTCTACATGAATCACGAGCTTGATCCGATGAAATATACATCCTCTAACGTGTTTCATCACCCCGTGCACCATATCACCTCGTGCACCACTTTCACCTCAATTCACATCAATCACTTCAATACGCGATTTATCAATAAATAATTATGGTATCAACATTAAATGAACGCGATATCGTTATGGCGATGGAGGCAATGGCTAAAGATAAAAATTTAAGCCTCCGGAAAGCTGCCAAGATTTACAATATTACTCATACGACACTCATACGTAGAATGAAAGGGATCACTCCTGCCTCCGAATATCGTCAAAAACAGCATAAAATTACTAAAATTGAAGAGGAGGTTATTATTCAGCATATAATCGATATGGATGAGCGAGGATTTAGTCCTAAATTCATAAGTGTTGAAAGTATGGCGAATCACATTCTTGAATCGAGGGGTGAAAAGCGTGTTGGTAAACAATGGGCATATCGATTCGTGAATCGACACAATATTCTAAAAACGCGTTTTAATCGTGCCTACGACTTCCAAAGGGCTCTCTGCGAGGATCCTAAACTTATTAATAAGTGGTTTCAACTATTCAAAAATATAAAGGCAAAATATGGAATATAGGAGTGTGATATATGGAATTTTGATGAAATAGGTTTTATAATGGGAGTGATATCCTCTAGTATGGTTATTACTAGTGTAGATAGATGTGGCAAAAGTAAAGGAATACAGCCAGGCAATAGAGAATGGTCGACAGCGATTGTATGTGGTAATGCGACGGGGGAGAACATACCTCCATATCTCCTTGTTCAAGGACAAATGCACCTAGCCAATTGGTACAGCGAGACGGATATGCCTCCCGAATGGGTGGTTAAAACTACTATAAATGGATGAACGAATAATGAGACAGGTTTAGAATGACTAAAGCATTTTGATAAGCATACGAAACTCCGAACGAAGGGTACATATCGAATGCTAGTCTTAGATGGACATGAAAGCCATGAATCAAGCCCTTTTCAGAACTATTGTATAGAACATAAGATTAAAGCCGTCGGATTACCACCTCATTCGAGTCATCTCACCCAACCTCTTGATGTTAGTTGTTTTAGTGTGCTAAAACGCACATATAGCAAGCAAATTGAGGGGTATATACGGATGCATATCAATCATATCTCCAAAATCGAATTCTTTATAGCATTCAATACTGCATACGAACAAGCAATTACAATGGAGAATATGAAAGCAGGCTTTAGAGGAGCAGGATTAGTCCCTTTTAATCCCGATGCTGTACTCTCTAGAATGGATATTCGAATCCGTACACCTACTCCTCCTTCGCTTCCTCCGAGTCATATGCCCGATTGGGTCTCACAAACATCTCACAATGCCACCGAAGCTCTTTCACAAGCATTTTTAGTACGATCTATTATTGCTCGGCATCATTCTAGCTCTCCTACACCTATATTTAAGGCTACAGATCCTTTAATTAAGGGTGTAGAATACCTAGCTAGTATTGTCACGATTTTAGCTTTTGAGAATCACGATCTTCGATTGGCAAATACAGGATTAAGTAAACGTCGACGCGCTAAAAAGACTCAATTACGTTTAGGAGGAGCTCTCACTATTCAAGAGGCTAATGATATTATATCACAAAAAGAGGTGGATGTTCAGATTAAACGCGATAGGCAACAAAATGGGCGGAATTCTAATAGAGAGGCATCGACTAATCGATGCTGTAGTAAATGTGGAATAACAGGTCATAATGCAAGAACATGTTCTAATGATAATATAGATCCTAAATTATTAGATAGTGCTTAGTTTAAATCAATTGATCAAGTAATTGTTGAATTATATATGATTATAAATAGGAATTGAGGTGAAAGTGGTGCACGAGGTGATATGGTGCACGGGGTGATGAAACACGTTATATAATAATAAAATTTTATTATATTTGTTTTTTTTTATTTTGAATATATAATTATACTTTTTACGTATTGAATTTCTTCTCCTTTCAGCACTTTCTCTCTTCTATCTTCCACTTGATGTCTAGAACGTAAAACTTCAAAAGACTCTCAAAAATATTAATTTTATTACTAAACATTTAGTATCTTCTATTGCTTTCCCCCGCATAATTCTAATATATTTCTAACGTGAATGTGTCGGTTTCTAAGCAATATTGCAAAAAACCACCCCGCGATCACCGGCTAGATCCCAATTCCCTATGAATCTCATAAATGAATCTGTTCATCTGAATAATGGTTCGTTTTTTTTCCCATCCGGAACCAAAATTTCCCCGATCGACTACTCAGCACCAATCAGTCAAATCCCGAGGCCCCTCTCTGCGTAACCGAACCTTGTGGATTCTTTTCAATGTTTCTATATTTGCAATGGAATGAAGTCACCGGTTTTTTCATCTGAATATATAACTCGAGGTGATTTTGGATAGAGCTCTGTCTTTTCATGTGGTAAATCTCAATACTACATTTTATATCCCTATCTCGCTTATATTATTTCATTCTGCTTCTAACCATCATATTAAACCTTTGACAATCAACATGGCAGACAATACTCCCACACTCCACCATCTCAGTGTAAATATTGCATTTCACCATTCCATTCCATTCCATCTATAAACCCTCAAAACTAATCAAATACCAGGACTCCCAATCCCAACGAATCCTCTGGCTCCTCGAAGAACTCTCCATCCCGTACACCCTCCAACTCCACACACGCAATCCCCCCTCTCACCCAACCGCCCCATACCACTCACCCCCCTCCCTCGCCTCCCTCGGCCCCAAAGGCAAATCCCCACTCCTCGTAACCGGCGCCCGCGACAACCATCGGTACATCCCCGAATCCCTCGCCATCGCCACCTATCTCATCCGCACCTTCGACGTGTCCGACAAATTCGGACTCCGTGATGGGGACTGGGTACGCGATGAAATGCTCATGAGTATGCTACTCACCGAGTTAGTCTTTTCATCCACTGTGATGCTTATGCTTGATTTTCAGTCCCTAGGTAATGGACCTGGAGCCAAGGGGAAAATGTTCGATGGGCCGGCTTTGAGGAAGACATTGGGGGATTTAGAGAAAGAGTTGAAGAATGGTCCTGAGGGGGGATTTTTTATGGGGAGTCATCCTGGAAGAGTGGATATTATGGCGGAGTTTCCGTTGGCGATGATTAGACAGAGGAAATGGGTGGATTTGGCAACGGAATTTCCGGCTTTGAATGAGTGGCTGGATAGGTGTTATGAGAGACCTGCTTGGAAGAGGTCTATAGAGAAGGGAAACGGGTATGATTTGAGCTCTTTTCCAAAGGCGGATCATTTGCAGGTAAAATTGTAGACGGGGCCTGGTATTTAGCAGAGTATAGGGTCCTGCAAAATTATGTATGTCACATGTTAATCACGTGTTAAGATGAATGACCACCTTTCTTTGGACCAAATAAAATAGCTCAGATATCGGTCACATATAGATACATCAACGTTATAGGCATCCCAGTCTAAAGGCGAGGAAGTCGATAGTTAATGTGCCCATGTACAATGAAGCCTTCAAGAACGATCAAGGGGCGAATATATCTGTAAACTATTTCTCATTTTCCATTCGAGATCTGGTTAAAGCAGGGAATTTCAAGAAAAATTAATGATCGTTAGGGTAGGACAATATTCTGGTGTATATGGTGCTTCTTTCCTTTTGATGTTCCAATCCCCACAAACTGCCAATTATTCATCCCATCACCATGGTGCCAATTTCTCATACTCAACAGGCATAGATAGATGACCCTACACACTTCATATCATTTTCATCCATCACAATCGAGGTATAATACAGCACAATGGTTAGTCAAATAGCCAGAAAAAGTTCATCCAATATACAAACCTCAAACAAAGCAATCGATCCTAAACTACCTACCGACCAAAACCTCGCCCTCCCAATCGACCGTCGCGTTCGTCCTATTAAACGTCACGAACTTCTCGGCAATATATTCATATCCTTTTTTAATAGGAGCGATATCTTGATTTCCTAATATCCATTCCTGTCACTTTTCAAAACTGAGTGTATGAACATTGATGGAGCGCGTGACTCGATATACCTAGTAGTTCACAAGTTTTCCAGGGTATGATTCGTTCATTACCAACCGCCAACTACCAGTTGTATCTTGTGCAGCAAGTACACCTACCGAAGCAGTAATGAGCCAATTCAGGAGCTTGGCATAGCCCGGATACGACTTGGGGAAGAGAAAGTAATCAAGAGTATCGAGGAGTGCAATTAGGTACCATCCTAGTGATCGATTCCAAACATCAAGCATGCCTACTTAGCCTCACCAAATTGAACAAAACTAGGTAGTGTACAATACTCCCAAGATAGCCAATCATGGAGAAGTATACAATAGGTTTTGACCTTCACATTCCCAATTTGAGTAGCGTTGGTTTTGACAAATTTCTCGTCGGGTCAGGGTCATGACAGAAACATAAAGCTCGGTCTACTCAGGGGTTACGTGCAACTTTATCTGAGAAGATCTATCGGTACTTGGTCATGATTCTCTAACGTGCATGAGAAGCTCGGACATGATAATGGAAACGTGAACATATCTTTCAGCTGACACGGTCGAACCATCAATTGTGATGATATAGAACTAATCTATTGTACCTTACTTCAACTGGTGTCCAGATGATGATGAATCGCAGAAAGGGAAAATGCGCAGAAACCAAAAAAGGGGCAGAGAGGACAAATCATGAGATGAAACGTAGCAGCTCGAGTAACATTAGACAGTAGTTGTAGACACATTGAACTTGTGACATGACTCGGCAAAAATCAGATATGCATACACAATCAAAGCTTGGCCGGACGACGTTGCTTATGGGAGGTGGTGAACAGACTCCAATCAAGCATTGCAGCTAAGAGAAAGGCAAAAATGAGAATGGGCGAGAGGGGTGAAGGAGTAAATTCCAGAACTTCTGTTTTAAAATAATTAATCATTTTAGTGTCATGGTCAGCTGTTTCGTTTGAAACAATCCACGGAAGCGTACATCAACTCCAGAAAGCTTCGAGAAGTGCCTACCAGGAGCTCCTTGCCTCGGATGTCCCCAGAAGAACTAAAAATGGCAGTTGTTTGATGTTGTTATACAGTCGACCCATCCGTCAAGCCCATCCTACAGAAAATCCCCAGGAGCCATCGAAAGCCTCCTCCTCACCTTTCAATGGCCGTAGACAACCTACGTCCCACGACTTATCTTTCATTTTCTGTAAACATTTGAATAGTGGGACTTGATTGGGAGCGTAAAATCTTAGTAACAGCTCCATGTCTTCTTCGTTCATCTCATGTAGGTCCTCTAAACTGTAAGCGTCGCTGACTCTGATCATCCTACTTGATATAAGTATAACGTCAATGTCAGTCTCCAAAAGTGCTTACCATGACATCCTCTTTGGCCCTTCTTCCGGTCCTGGTGCGACCTTCCTGAGCATTTGCCTTAATTTCCCAATTTTTTCTATCCCTTCACCAATATTGTTTGGCAAATTTGAAGCTATTTGCCTCCTTACAATATTGGCAAATCGTGGACCTTTCCCATTCGTGCTAACCATGATTTGTAGAGGTCCATCTCGATGAACGCTTCCGAAATAGAAGTCACACTCGGGTGGCACATCTGCGATATTTGCTGCTATTTTCCTTTCTTTGCATAACTTCCAGATCTGTGAAGATGCTTCCGGGTCATCAACAGCAGTCAAGACCATATCAACATTATCGAGGTCGGAAGGTTGGAACTTTCTATCCACAAAATCTACTTGCCCCTTTTCTACTCGATATGCAACTTCTGGGTTTAGGCCTGCCCGAGGTGATACGACGGTAACCTTTGCATCTGCATTCAACACGTTCAAAATCCGACCTGCTGCCACCTTTGAAAAAAGAAGTATTAGTACTCAAGAATGATTGATGTTGGAAAGATTCTTTTCACCTCTCCGCCTCCAACTACCAATACTCTTTTATTCTTGATTTGCCATGCCAGTATCAATGAACCGCCACCCTCGATTTCAGGAAATTTTTCTTCACCCATTTGTATTGATATTGAAGTAATAAATGATGTGCATAATTGCCAATTCTTTATTGGAGATTGTTCGGTGCTTTATTATGAATGTAAATCCTTGGTGACATATTGCGCGATAAGCAAATGGAATCCAGTACACCGGACCGGTGGTGTTACTGATAAGGCACAGCTTCGCTTAACATTACTCAGGACATTCGAAACCACCGTCACAGAATGAACGAGGCGAATGGATGGAAAGTCTCAAGGAACAGACAAATTTTCAATAAATCGATGTCTTGAGCTGCCGAGGTTCTGAGGTATAATCCTCATAATTTCGATATATCTCCAGTCATGTCCGGTCGAAAACTGGGAGGTGGAAGAATTTTGGGTACCGGAAAGTCATTGGCACCTCCTGCCCCTCCAGCGCAACAACGAAATTCTAGTTTCATCACTCCATCAGAAAGTACTCTCTCATTGAGTTCGAATCATTCAACATCTCCTTTAGCAACTTCGCCTTTACCAAACGATAGCCAAGATTTAAGTTCGAGAGTTTCGCTGGAAAATGGTCGCTCCTCAGGTGTCACCGCTACGGGCTCGAAGCTCCTATGCCCAATATGCAGCGAAGAAATGGTAGGTAATCTTTTATCTATTACAAAGTTCCGCAGACTAAAACTAATGCCTGGCAGATGACTTTATTGCAGCTCAATCGGTATGCTTTCTGTATTTCGAAAATCCAAAAAGAAACTCACTCTTAACAGACATCTCGATGATAACCACCAAGAACTTCCGGAACTAGAACAAGATGAGGTGAAGAATTGGTTCGACAAGCAGGTTATAAAGGCGAAGAAGTTTCAACCATTAGCGGTGATAAACCAGAAACTCAAGGGATTAGACGTTTTCGAATCCAATGATGCACCAACGTTCTCGAGTCCAATACCAAATACTCTTTCTGGAAGTCGCATAACGCCCGAGTCAGTCCGACTAGATCCTGACGAAGTAATCACAAGAACACATTGGCAGAAATCTGGATTTAATGACACATGCACGGAGCCAATATGCGGGAAAAGACTTGGTGCAGTCAATGGAAGCGTTAATTGTAGGAAATGCGGCCGTCTATTCTGTGAGGACCACACCATGTACCAAATTAAACTCTCGAGGTCGGCACAACATGAACCTGTGCGGGGATTATGGTGTAGGGTTTGCGAGACTTGTTTTAAGTCAAGAGAGGGATATAATGATCATAATGGGTTCCTTCGAGATCACACGAACGAATTCATGGCAATGCGAAGGAAGCATGTGGATAAGGCGTATCTGGAAATTTCGAGATTGGAAAAGCGACTAAGTAAATTGACCCAATTGCTTGCGAATCCACCCGAAGACATGGTTAGCAATGGGACTTTGTTATCCCTAGCAGGGCAAAAGAATCCACGCAAAATATTGGAGCAATCAGTAGTAACCTGGGAAGAAGATGCAAAGGTTCCAAAATGTCCTTTTTGCCAACAAGAATTTGGTTCATGGTCATTTCGGCGGCATCACTGTCGGCTATGTGGACGGGTTGTCTGTTCAGATCCTAAAACCGGATGTTCGTCCGAAATTGGACTGAATGTCACAGCAAGTAAGTTTTGAACGTTTCCAACATATTCAGTGTCATTCGTTGACATATCCCAGTCACTGATGTCCAATCAGAAAAACATACGGAGAATTTCAGTCTCGATATTCGGATGTGTCGCGACTGCAAAACGACGATCTTTTCTAAGAAGGACTTTGCAGCTGAACTCATGAAGAAGACACCTTCACAGCGGGCTTATGAAAACCTCGTACAATTTGAGAAAGGTATTCGTCTACTGCTACCCAGTTTCCAGCGTCTATTAGTTGCGCTTCAAGATCCAGATAAACCTCCTTCACATGCCCAACTTGCTGAAGCAGCCAAGGTCCGAAAGAGATTAATAGATAGTTTTGGAAAATATGATCAAGCTGGAAGACGCATACGTGACTTGCCAACAACCTCACCCACTCAACAAAAAATTCAAAAGGCTATCTACCAGCAATCTTCTAGCTTTCTCCATCTCCACATGCTACCCCTCAAATCTCTTCCCAAAGTTCTGAAACATGCCACACCTTCCTCTAGTCACTCATCCTTCCGACCCCAAAACGGGCGCTCCGCTCTCTCAAATATCAAATACAATGACACCGCTACAGAAACCTCGTCACAGATATCAGATATGAGTCAGATATCCCAAATGGAACAAGAAGAAAAGGAGTTGAGAGAAAGACTAATAGTATTGGAAGAACAAAAATTCTTCGTCCAGGAAATGGTAGCCGATGCAGGAAAAAGAAGGAAATTTGATGAAGTGGACGCTTTAAGAACTAATTTAACTGATATGCAGAGGGAAATTGATAACGTTAATGGAATGATCGAACAATTGGATTTTGAGGGCGTCTATAGGAGGGAGATGGAAGGGGGTGGAAATTCGGGTGTTTTGGGATTAGGGAGATGAGATGACGAAGTATAGAAGCAACTAGAGTCATTGATAGGATATTAACGATTTCTTGCTTTACTTGGAGTAGAGGGGAAAATGGGAATGCTCGTACACGCACCGCGCTTAGTTATATACTTACTTACTTACTTACATACCGATATGCATTGCATTGCATTGCTCGGCGTTGGACATATGGAATGGGTTGGCTTGGGTAGCGTGGGAGTATGGACGGTGTCTGCTTCGTTTCATTTCGTTCCCTTTATCTCCTTTCATATGATGATGTCAAGGGAGGAAGTAGGAGCTAGGAAGTAGGAAAGTAGCATAACAATTGATTAGCAAACAAGCAGACAAGCAAGCAAAGTCATGGGTATGTAGGGCGGTGTTCGAAGCCAATATTTATAGGAATTTAAATAAGTAGCTGTTTTTAAGACTGGTTAGTTGTATATTTGAAAAATATGATTAGGATTAATTAGGATTAAGATTAATTAGGATTAGGATTCAATGTTACAGATGTTGTCATTGTATTCAGGGAATAAATAAGAGGGTAAATGAGTGTAGAGATAGAAAGACAAAATGAAAAGAAAAATGAGAATGAAATGAAAGAAAAAAACGAGATAAGTGTAGAATAGGGTAGAAAGGGGAATGTGATGAGGTGGATGTGTGTATATGTGTATTTTTTCAGGAGCGAGGGCGGAAGCGGGGTATGTATAAAGTGCATCTAGGAGGGGTTCCACTGGGAATTTTGTATGCAGATATTTCAACTATGTACACTCAAAACAATTTATGATATCATGTTTGCAGAGATGGAGCATGGTACGAGGAATCGTTGATTTGATTGTACAAGGAGTTACATGGGGAATCTCTTTTCTTCTTTCTTTCATCGGTATCATCAGCCTACACATCAATTAAGCACCCTGATCATTCTCAACCTGGTGTAAACCTAGCTCTAACCTCCGAATTCATATCATGTCACATCATTTCTTATAGCAGTAACTCCAAGGGGTTCTCTACAACCTTCTTGAACTCCTTCATCCATTCACCACCAACGGCACCATCAACGACCTTGTGGTCGAAGCTTCCAGTAACGGTGATTTGGTCATCCCATTCGATTCCTCCGTCTGCGCCTTGGATAGCTGCCTTTTGGGTGGTTCCTACAGCGAGGATGGCTGCTTGTGGTGGGTTGATAACAGCTGTGAATCTGTCGATGGCGCTGTTCATTCCCATGTTGCTGATTGTGAAAGTTCCACCTTGGTATTCATCTGGCTTGAGTTTGCCATCACGGGCACGCTTGCCAAGATCCTTGACTTGTGCTGAGATGGATTCCAGACCGAGTCCTTCAACGTTCTTGACGATTGGTGTCATAAGACCGACTGGGGTAGCAACAGCAACCTAAGTAGAGGTTTAGTAATTTTCAATGGGTCGAGAAAAGGAAAGGAAAACTTACGCTAACATCAACATTGCTAAATTGACGGATGAAACCATCTCTCCAGCTGGAGTTAACAGCTGGGACCTTCTTGCATGCAATAGCACAGGCCTTGATCAAGAAGTCGTTGATTGAGAGCTTATATTTTCCTTCTCCAGAGGCGTTGAGAGCTGCGCGGAGCTTGATGAGCTTGGTAACGGAAACGGTAGAGGCGACAAAGTAGTGTGGGTTTTGGTTCACAGACTCGGTAAGACGGTTGGCAATGGTCTTACGCATGGATGTGATTGGGGTATCAACGTAAGTGGATGTAGCAGCTGCTGGTGCGCTGCCGGTGGAGGCTCCGGAGGAAGCCTTCTTAACATCTGCCTCAGTAATTTGTCCACCGAGTCCAGTACCCTTAACGCCAGTAAGCTTAACACCGGTGTCAAGTGCCAATTTAATAGCCGCAGAGCTAGCATTGATTGCTCTGTCCATAGCAGGTTGTAATCTTCCACCACTCGATGCGGATTCCTCTGGGGCTGGAGTCGACTCAGTTGGGGGCGGGGGAGCAGTTCCAGATTTTGTGTCAGATTTCTCGGAAGATTGGCTGGCTTCCTCCTTGGGTGGTGCTGGCGCAGCCTTCTCTCCTCCGGCATCTGCGAGTGTGAAGTCCGCGAAAGCCGATACATCCCCTTCCTCTTCAACCATAACAGCGATTGGCTATTGTTCCGTCAGCACTCTACCCTTTCTTCAGCTTGAATGAAGTAGTACAAACATTTCCAACAGCGACATCCTTCTCACCAGACTGCTTCAAAATGGCAGCCAAAACACCCTCCTCTTGGAACTCGAAATCCATTTGCGCCTTATCAGTCTCAATCTCTACCAAGACATCACCAGGGACAATTGAATCTCCAGGCTTTTTTTGCCATGATCCAATGTTACCTGCAGTCATTGTTGGCGATAAAGCTGGCATAGTGACCACGGTATGAGGAGGGAATGATTTCGAAGCATAACATCTTGCTAATTGATATGGCAGAGATGATGATTGAAGAGCACGCCTTCTCAACACTGCGGAAAACATCTCGGTGAGGATATCTAGAGGGAAAGAAGAATGAAAGCACTTGGAAAGAGTGAAGAGAATCCAAATCCGTACCCAGAAAATAGAATACTTTGGATAGTTAGAACCCGAGTTGTAGGATTTGGGGGGGCGGAAGGTGGGAGATAATAATTGGGGTGGAGTGGGAGTGGGAGGAAGTTATTCGCGACAAAAACCCAGATTTAAATTGTTCTGTTGAATATCGGAAAACCTCGTAGGTTGAGTTCCGTTAGGAGGCCGGAGCTTTGAAGGATTAGTCCCAAAATGGAATAGTGCGAGATTAGACGCATCATATAGAGTGCTATTGGTATCTAAACGCCATCGAACCAATATAGAGTTTTGATTGGCTAATAAACGCTTCAATGGATTTTAAAGTTAGGGATTGTCGGATCCATAATTGAATGAATGGCCGGACCAGATATGTGGCATAGTGGCAGCTAAGGAAGGGTTCATCGGGAAAAGGACTTAGTGAGTTAATTACCTATGACCCGTTTTCTTCCCCCTCAAATCCCAAATTCAAATATTAAAGAATTATTAATTTCATGATTTTATCTAGAGTCTCACCATAAACGCATCTTAGACATTCTCTCCTTCTTTCTTTTTAAAGAATAGGATACCTATTGCTACGGATGGAAGTTGGCGCAATCGATCGACCACCATGAGCTCCATCGTTTTTGTGGTTTCAGCTCTGGAAGCTATACATAATTCAAAAGAGGCTCAAAAAAGAAAAGGATTGGGAGAATCAGTTGAGAAAGCTTTGAAGGAAATTAAAGAACATGAGCCTCAATTACCTGACCCCGAAATCATTTTCGATCCATTACAACAAGCCACACGATCCGGAAGTATTCCATTAACTACGACGGCGTTGGATTGTATCGGAAAGCTTATTAGCTACTCTTACTTCTCTGTTCCTTCGTCGCCAAACGCAGACAGAGAGGCCGATCGTGCGCCATTGATCGAACGAGCGATAGATACTATATGCGATTGCTTTCAGGGAGAGACTACGCCGGTCGAAATTCAATTGCAGATTGTAAAATCATTATTGGCAGCAGTTTTAAATGACAAAATTGTGGTTCACGGGGCAGGATTGTTGAAGGCAGTGCGACAAGTTTACAATGTCTTCCTACTTTCAAAAAGTAGTCCGAATCAACAGGTCGCGCAAGGGACATTGACACAGATGGTTGGAACAGTTTTCGAAAGAGTGAAGACAAGGATACATATGAAGGAGGCCAGATTGAACCTTTCGAAATTGGACAAAAATCCCGAAAATACTAGTTCATTCACGGTCGATGCCCAAGAGTCATTGAATGACGTGCCTGAAAGTAGTGTGGGAGAAGAGGTAGCGGATGAATCTGCGACAGTGGAAGAACCCTCGAATGGAGATGCGCCAAAGCTCACACTCAAAGACCTCGAGCATCGAAAGAGTTTCGACGATTCGCAGATGGGAGAAGGGCCAACCATGGTGACACAAGTAAAGCCCGCGAAAGCCTCACCTCGATCCGTATCGGAACAAACTGCCCCGGACAGTGGTACTGATGATAGTATAGAATCCGAGGATATGGAAGATGAGGTTTATATAAGGGATGCATATTTGGTCTTCAGATCGTTTTGCAATCTTAGTACCAAAATTCTTCCACCGGATCAGTTATTCGATGTAAAAGGCCAAGCCATGCGCTCAAAGTTAATCTCTCTTCACCTCATTCACATGCTGCTCAATAATAATATGCTCGTCTTCACTTCCCCATTATGTACGATTACCAACAGCAAAAGCAACGAGCCCACTGGTTTCCTACAAGCTATTAAATTCTACCTATGTCTTAGCATAACTCGCAATGGTGCAAGCTCTGCTGAACGAGTCTTCGAAATTTGTTGTGAAATTTTCTGGCTGATGCTAAAATTCATGAGAGCCCCGTTTAAGGTTCGTATAAATCAGTGGATTTTCATGACCTTTTAACTGACTTTTTACAGAAAGAAATTGAAGTTTTTTTGAATGAGATATATCTAGCACTCCTAGAAAGACGAAATGCGCATGCTTTCCAAAAGCTCCATTTCATGGGCATCCTCCATCGATTTTGCGCCGATCCTCGTGCGCTTGTAGAGACATATCTGAATTATGATTGCGATCGGAATGTTGATAATATGTTCCAGACCTTAATTGAAGACCTGTCCAAGGCAGCGAGCGCTGCTGTCATGGTAAGCCCTCTTGCCCAGCAGCAATACGAAGAGAAGAATAGTAAAAGTTCGGGTGGGGATTGGCAAGCTCGAGGCACCTTTCCCCCGCCGCTATCCACAGCACATTTGAGTAGCAATACCGAAAACGGAGAACTAGAAATTCCCAAAGAGTATATTGTGAAACGACAAGCTATGGATTGTCTTGTGGAGACACTCAGGTCACTAGTCAATTGGTCACAGCAAGGGATTGCCGATGTTACTAGTGGTCCGGACAGCGACATTAGAGCTTCCGCTGATGTCAGAGAGTCCTTGGAGCCTGGGAACGACAGCTCGTCGAGAATCACTGGTGAAAATACACCGATGCCTTCAACACCTATCATGGATGATGACCCTGAACATTTGGAGAAGGAGAAGCAGAGAAAGACTGCAATGACAAATGCCATCAAGCAATTTAATTTCAAACCAAAAAAAGGCATAAAGCTTTTACTTGCCGATAAGTTCATAGCGGAAGACACGCCGGAATGTATCGCGCAATTCCTACTGCGAGAAGATAGGTTGGATAAAGCACAAATTGGAGAGTTTTTGGGTGAAGGAGAGGAACGTAACATTGCGATCATGCACGCATTTGTGGATGCTATGGACTTCACTAAACGTCGATTCGTGGATGCTCTACGTCAATTTTTACAATCTTTTCGTCTTCCTGGTGAGGCCCAGAAGATTGATCGTTTTATGTTGAAGTTTGCAAATCGCTATGTTGTTGGCAATCCAAACGCATTTGCCAATGCAGATACCGCTTACGTCTTGGCTTACTCTGTCATCATGTTGAACACTGACCAACACAGTAGTAAAGTTGCCAAGAGAATGACCAAGGAAGATTTCATCAAAAACAATCGTGGTATCAACGACAATGCAAACTTACCAGATGAATATCTTATTGGCATCTACGAAGAGATTCAGAACGAAGAGATCGTACTCAACAGTGAGCGCGAAGCTGCAGCAGCCACGGGTAACGTTCCTCCACAGTCTGGCGGTGGTATTGCGGCAGGTCTTGGGCAAGCTTTGGCTACAGTTGGACGTGATTTGCAGCGTGAAGCCTATTTACAACAATCCGAGGAGATTTCACATAGATCAGAACAACTATTCAAGAACCTTTTCCGAAATCAACGAAAGAATGCATCCAAATCCGTAGACAAATTCATCCCCGCTACTTCATTCAAGCACGTCGGTCCGATGTTTGAGGTAACTTGGATGTCTTTTTTCTCCGGGCTCTCTGGTCAAATGCAGAATTCGCACAATATTGAGATCATCAAGTTATGCATCGAAGGCATGAAATTAGCGATCCGCATTGCTTGTCTTTTCGATCTGGAAACTCCACGTGAAGCTTTCGTTTCTGCTCTCAAGAACTCCACTAATCTCAACAACCCAAGGGATATGATGGCCAAGAATGTCGAGGCATTAAAGGTTCTCCTTGAAATTGCACAAACTGAAGGCAATCTTTTGAAAGGATCATGGCGAGATATTCTCATGTGCATCAGTCAACTGGATCGCTTGCAGTTAATATCTGATGGAGTCGATGAAGGTGCTATTCCAGACGTTTCGAAAGCCCGAATTGTTACTCCATCTCGATCCGACACCAATTCATCAAGAAAGTCTACCGCTTCACAGCGACCTAAATCTCGTCCTAGGACGAATACACAAAGTACAACCTATTCAATCGAGATCGCAATGGAAAGCAGGTCTGACGAAGTTATCAAGGGGGTGGATAGGATATTTACAAACACTGCCAATCTTTCCGGTGAAGCCATTGTACACTTTGCCAGAGCTCTGACTGAGGTCAGTTGGGATGAGATCAAGATATCAGGCTCTAACGAATCTCCACGTACATACAGTCTTCAGAAACTCGTGGAAATCAGTTACTACAACATGACTCGTGTTCGGTTTGAATGGACCAACATTTGGGCTGTTTTGGGTGAACACTTTAATAGAGTTGGATGTCATAACAATACTGCCGTGGTGTTCTTTGCTTTGGATTCATTGCGTCAACTGTCCATGCGATTTATGGAAATTGAGGAACTTCCCGGATTCAAATTTCAAAAAGACTTCTTGAAGCCGTTCGAGCATGTAATGTCGAATTCAAACGTTGTCTCTGTGAAGGATATGGCTTTACGGTGTTTGATACAAATGATCCAAGCCCGTGGGGAGAACATTCGCTCCGGATGGAGAACAATGTTCGGCGTTTTTACGGTCGCAGCTCGTGAGCCATACGAGAGCATTGTCAACCTTGCTTTCGAAAATGTTAACCAAGTATACAAAACTCGGTTCGGTGTTGTCATCTCCCAGGGCGCATTTGCAGATTTAATCGTCTGCTTGACTGAGTTCTCAAAAAATATGAAATTCCAAAAGAAGGGTTTACAAGCTATGGAGGCATTGAAATCAATTATTCCCAAGATGTTGAAAACCCCAGAGTGTCCCCTGTCTCACAAATCAGATGCAAACTCGGACGGCTCTGTGAAAACTCCAGAAACAGCTACAAATCCGGTCAGTCGCACGACTCAAGAGGAAGCCTTTTGGTTCCCCGTTTTATTCGCCTTTCACGATGTTCTTATGACTGGGGAAGATCTGGAGGTTCGTTCCAATGCTTTGAACTACCTTTTCGAATCATTAATCAGGTATGGCGGTGATTTCCCCTCGGACTTCTGGGATATCCTGTGGCGACAGCTTCTTTATCCTATCTTCATGGTGCTCAAATCGAAGTCGGAGATGTCCAACGTTGTTAATCATGAGGAGTTGTCTGTATGGCTATCGACAACAATGATTCAAGCTCTCCGAAACATGATCACTTTATTCACTCACTATTTTGAATCGCTTGAATACATGCTGGATAGGTTTCTTGATCTCCTTGCTTTATGTATATGTCAAGAGAATGACACAATTGCTCGAATCGGCAGTAATTGTTTGCAGCAATTAATCTTGCAGAATGTCACAAAATTCAAACCACAGCATTGGTCAAAGATAGTTGGGGCATTTGTAGAGTTGTTTGAAAGGACTACTGCATATCAATTATTCTCCGCTGCAACATCATCTGCAGCTGGCGGTATTATGGAGAGCTCTACGCCAGCAATGGATGATCTTGAAGATGATCAATCTCTAAAAATCAATGGTACAAATGGCGCTGCGGCATCGGATGCCGAAAGCATTGCCGAGCAAGAGGGTCAGACGCCGGTCGCTCAGACTCCAGATTTAGAAGACTACAAGCCACAATCAGGTCTTCAACAACAGCCGGTGGTCGTCACTGCAGCTCGCCGGCGCTTTTTTAATAAAATCATTACTAGATGTGTTTTACAACTTTTGATGATCGAGACAGTTAATGAACTTTTCTCAAACGATACTGTGTATGCACAGATTCCTAGCCCAGAACTACTCAGGCTCATGGCTCTACTCAAGAAGTCTTTCTTGTTTGCCAAAAAATTCAACGAAAACAAGGAACTTCGCATGCGCCTGTGGCGTGAAGGATTTATGAAACAGCCACCCAACTTGTTGAAGCAAGAATCTGGCAGTGCAGCGACATATGTGTCTATTCTACTTAGAATGTACCATGACGAAGGTGAAGAGCGAAAACGAAACCGTGCAGATACCGAACAAGCTTTAGTGCCATTATGTGCCGATATCATCCGTGGTTTTACACAGCTTGAAGAAGAGAGTCAACAAAGGAATATTATTGCATGGCGACCGGTAGTTGTAGATGTTTTAGAAGGGTACACGAATTTCCCACAAGAAGGATTCGAGAAGTACGTCGAAATATTCTATCCACTCTCAGTGGATTTACTTTCTAGGGATATGGGTGTGGAAATTAGATTGGCGTTACAAGGACTTTTACGACGGGTTGGAGAGGTCAAATTAGGTCTTCCACCATCGGCTAGACCAAGTACACCAATAAGTCCTACTTCAGCTCAATTTGGACGTGGAAGACGAATGAGTCGTAGGGATTAAAGATTTAGATTCACAAGCCTTGGGGGATTTCATTATCCTTCTTTCTTTTTCTTTCTTTCTTTCTGGGAGCTATTTGAGCGTGTCATATAGGGGTAGTGGGACGGCAGTTTAAAGGGTGTGAGGGTGTTCTTGGATCGGGTCACTTGAAATGATGATGACCAGAGGGATTTTTTACTTAGACTTTTCGGACTTGGTATGAAATATACCTTTTTTTTTTCTGGTCTTGGGAAATGTTGTTTTGTGTTTGTATGTCGTGTTGTATCAATTTGTAGTTTGTATCTTGACTTCCCTTGGAGAATTCTATTCTATTTTCGCATTCTTTAATATTTGAAATGAGGAGATCTCTCGGAATCGATAATAATGACCTCTGATAAATATAGATTTTTAAGATTGGTTAATCTAAAATAAAGTTGAATTCTATTTATTTATTTATTTATTTATTTATTTATTTATTTATTTATTTATTTATTTATTTATTTATTTATTTATTTATTTATTTATTTATTTATTTATTTATTTATTTATTTATTTATTTATTTATTTATTTATTTATTTATTTATTTATTTATTTATTTATTTATTTATTTATTTATTTATTTATTTATTTATTTATTTATTTATTTATTTATTTATTTATTTATTTATTTATTTATTTATTTATTTATTTATTTATTTATTTATTTATTTATTTATTTATTTATATTACATAATTATGATAAGACTATTTGATATATTCCTATTCATATATTATAATCTTATTTCTTATCTTTGTTATCTTTGAAAAATTAAATATATAATTATTACAATATCTCTGTAACGATACTGTACTGGAGGCAGCGGCTGCCTAAGGTTTCGTCTGGTTGGTAGTTATGGGTTAAGGCTTTATCACTGGTATTCACTTGGAAGTGAAGTCGTTACTAGATCAATGTTACGACGGCTTCGGATCTCGTATCATGTGACCAATTATGTAATCACATGGTCCCTTCGATCCCCTCGGTCTCTTGATCGAAGGGACCGAGGGGACCAAGGGGACGATTAGCATGAAGGTCTATATAACCAAGATGGATTTCCTTTGTATAGAGCTTCGTGCTCAAGATCAATCATTTAGTATATCCTACTATTAGTTACGAATTGCATATCATTATTGTCATTACTTTAAGTCCCTGCTTGACGCCTAGTTATAAACCATCTCGAGAGCCTAGAGCACTTCCACGTGATCTAGACGGCAAACCTCGTAACAATCAAGTAGGTAACTAATTGATAACTAAGTTGAGCACGAAGCTTCCTAAACTATGAAACTACTCTGACTATATAATGATCGATAAAGGGAGCCCCCAGGAGCTTTCTGGCTCCTCAGGGCTCCTAGGGCTCCTTATCACGTGATTCATTTTCATCCCAGGACACTAATCCCAATGGTGAATCGTGAAAATCTCTACCTTTTGTTTTTTGATGTTTTTGTAGCTTAGCTAGAGCTTTGATTGTAGGTGATATGGGATAGGGTATATAAAATATAGGATATTGGTGAGGAAGTGGATATTCAACAGATGTTGTGAGGAAAATCAGGAGATAGGTTGTGTTATATATATTGAGTTAGTGGTGAGTGGGGATATATAGGATTTGACAATGGAGATGGAGATAAAGATAGAGAGAGATGAGAATTCAGACTTGAGCATGGAAGATAGGGATGCAATTCAAAACAGGAAAGAGGTAAAGGTAAAGTAATTAAGTAGTATTTATTTTAACGGAATTAAGAGGGGGGTGAGGGGGTGAGGTGAGAGAGTGTAAAGGGTTGAAGTTATACTCATACTCAATATAATTACACAACACAATATACTCATCCTTCACTTCCCCTACCAATAATGTTGTTCCGAGTATGAGTAAACTAATCTAATCGATCTTTATATATTGTTACTTGGATATTATATACAGCACAAGACAAAAAAACATTATTATTTTATTTTCCTCTTCATCCTTTCTAAGATCTTGAAAGTTTGTTATACTATATATCTTTTTTGCTAGGGGTAGAAGTGAAGTGATAATATACTCTTATTTTAATCCGTAGGAGATTTTCAGCGGAATTTTCAAAAAGAGCCAGGTTAATTAGTTGATGTTTGTAGCTTTATAGATAGATATACTACTCTAGTAACTAAATCATATATCGATCTATATTCTGAATTCTAGATCTACTATTCTAAGTCTTACCAGATACTCTTTCAGTAGCGTTCGCTAAAAAGTATCTAATTGTAAGATTATCTTCCCCGGGATTTATTTCATCATAATATCTAATATCTAATATCTAATTCTTGATAATCTGCTGAAAAAAATAAAAACAAAAAAAATCACCAAATCCCCCATCCAAATAATCCTCAACCCAAAACAACATCTTTCCATTTTGCCCCCTCTCCACAGGCATCCCTAATAGCATCTTCATGTAACCTACCGATCCCCATTCGTTCCATCACGCCATCATTTCTCGTTTTAACCATCATGATATGTATTTCCATGTAGTCTTCCATTTGGCAGCCTATTTAATTTAATTTAATACGTATATTAAAAATTTATGGAAATTAACTTTGAAATTGTGGTGATGGTATTTTACAGCCATACTCATATTTATATTTAAGGCAAAGGAGGGATAAGAATTTGAAACTCACTTTTTCGGTACGGATGCGCTTCGTGTGGTCGGTTCCAATCACAATAATAATTCGCTTTACTTAATAAAAGGAATTCGAATATGGGTTCGGTGTCTGTACCTCTATTGTCCCAGTCTGCTTCATAGATGGGTGGAATTGGTTGGAATTGGTTGGGGTAGTGGGCTTGAAATGTGGAGGGGAGGAGGATGTATCCGCATACTTGGGAGGTGTTGTTGAGGAGGTGGTAGATTGTCCGATGGGTGGGGTCCCACTATTAGGGTTTGGAGTGTTAATGGGATTGTGAGTAGGAACAGGAGCGAGGTTTTTGGATTGAAATATGTGGAAAAATGGAATGGGTGGAATGTTAAAAACGGACTAGGAACTTACTGGAGGACCGATGGAACCATAGCGCAGGTAGGCTGTTGTGGGACGAATGCGGTACTGAACAGAGATTGTAGAAAAGTATAAGTATTGAGGATCTGACAGTGTTGGAAGTGTTGATTGTAGTGGAACGATTGGAAGATCTGGGGCGAGTAAAACCTTATTATCTTTCGTCCGCCCATATAAATTTGTTGGTGATGAATTAAATGTAGAGTATCCGACGGCTTCTTTTGTTGGTCCAATGGATTGGCACTCGCGTTGCAATATTTCTATACTCTGACCTTTCGGAGACCAAACTGTAAGTACTTTTCCATCTATACATCGATACCAATCAATCCAGGTTTGATTGAGCAGCCATGTTGTTATCTTCTTATGTTCTAAATATTCCGAAGCCCCATATAATCCATAAGAAGCCATTTCCATAGTGTCACCAGACCAACGCACTTGACCTTGCCATCCAGCCCAAGACCAAGAAGGAAATCCTTCCCGTCTAGTAACTTTCCCACATGGTTGCCAGAGTAAAGCCAAGTCAAACATTGCAGATGGTAAACCATAAAATATATCACAATCCATGGCATTACCTTGAGTGTTTAAAACACCTGCAAGCGCATTGATGATATCGGAGGGATAGGTAAGATTGCGAGCCGTGTATGTTTCAACGGCACGAAAGTATAGCACGGAGAGAGAGGTATTTTTTCGACCAATTAACCGCCGTATAGTGTCTGGCTGCTTCAGCTCTTGATCCTGGTTTTTGCCTGTATCGGAGACAACAACTTCAGAGCAGACTGCACTTGTACAGCGAAAGTATATCTGATCATTAATGAATACGATCATTCTCGACGAGAACTGCTCTTCCTGATATCTAATATCTTGTTAGCTCATCAATTTTTAGTCATAAAAATGAGGATGCATACGTCCATCCTCGGCTATTGTAGATCGAGGTATCGACATATGGTTCAAAAGCGTATTGTGCAGCAAGTGTGAGACCTGGCATGATTTCTCGTTTGTGTTGCGATATTTTTCGTGGGACATTCAAACCACTTAGACCATCATCAGGACATCGATCATCAGCGGCACATATCATGAGCAGAGCTTGACTATAAACCAAGCCCATATCTTCCAATGCTTTTTGTTTTTCCTCGAGCCCATCTTGTGTTATACACAAACTATCAATCCAGAGATAGCGTTCTCGTAGTCGTTTTGTGACATCTATCGCATCTTGTATTGTTCGACTGAGCTGGCCGAGATAATCGGTGAGTCCGCCAGGAGTTGATAGATGCTTATAATTTTCCTTCAGCGCGACGAATTTCTTACCAGTTCCCCAAACATAACTCAGGGTTATATATCGGCACTTTTCAGGAGGCTCAACAATACACATTTGTTCCACGTCAATACATTTGAACTCAGCGGGTGTCCGATAAGGTCCAGTCAGAGAAGTAAAACTCTCCCCACACTTGTGGTTTTTCTCGCACCCTTCCATCCAACCTCTCACCAAATCGAAATCAATGAAGGAAGAACCTTCATCCTTTGCATAATGGAGGTATTCCGACCCTAGACTATTTATTGGTCGTAAGGTTATTTGCAGACTACCAGGTTCAAGCGTACTGTATATGCTTACTGATAACACAGCGAAATTGCCATTGGGGGTTTCATCTACATCTTCCGGAGCCGCGTTCTTCCAAAATGCTAGGAAAAGCAATGGCCCAAGATTTGGTGATATGACATAATACGGACCGTTTTTGCTAGTTTCAACGAGTAGCAGACATAATGGACAGGTATCTCGAATCAAAAGATCATTGTAAGATCCTAACTGATAGGCTGAACCCCCTTGATAAGGATCTGATGTGAAAGAGGACGGGGTGATGTTTAGTTTTGAGCATGCAGGGCAAAGATCCGCAATGTTCATTTTGTTCGGAGATCCAGCCAAGCGGGATCTGAGATGTTTCGTCTCCTCTGTGTTTCTCTGATGAAATGAGCAAGTGAAATCCGAATGTCAAGGATAGTCTGAGATTAGGCTACTAAGAGTATTCTTGCTTGCAAATGCAATGATGCTTGATGGTTGAGTACAAAGACAATAGCATAGTGAAAATCAAGAAGATTTTGAAAAGTTGAAGCAGGAATTATACATTCATAGCCAATTATTGATTTTGCGCGGTTGTCGCGAGGAAGTTGTCAAATCTTTAATGTGCTTAGTAATATTGAGCTAAGACAAGCAAGCCCTATGAAGGAACCCATGGAGTAAATACTAAATACTCACAAGGTATACGTATTCATCCCATTCAGCCTCAACCTCAGCATCAGCATAATATATTCATGCCCTGCTAACCTTATCCTCTCCGCACAGCACTCCGGGAACTTCACCGCTTGGATACCTACATTCAGTCTTTTTGTCCACTCCGTCCACTATGTCAACCAGGAAGGAAAGCTCCAACCTCTTTCTGTCCTTCCCATGTGCGATTGATAGTTAATGGGGAAGCTACATGGGGAAGCGTGAATGCCGATGTTTAAACCTCAATGTCGACAGCATGCATTGTATAATCTCAAGAGATTCGGGCTCTTGGCGTTTAGCTTAAATCGGATAAATATTAGACCGCCTCTATCAATTATTCATTGATGTTGTACTCCGTATCTTATTATCCATTTAAACGTCCTCGACTCCTCGTCCACCACGTCCACTCCACTATGGGGGTAAAGTATTATCTTCCTTGAACAGAACCCGCTGTTCATCCCCATCCTATTCATTCGACCCTCAACAGGGCGTACAACACTATGCCGGAAACCTTACAATACCTACTAAATACCGGCGCCCCTCTGAATCATATTCATCCACTTATTTCCATTGTTGGAAAACGCCAAGGCCCTTTCCCAATCAAGCAACCACCCGGTGGATTTTCCGTTAATCTTCATGTGGTACTCGTGCAGCCAGAAAGAGAGGATATCTGTGTGAACGAAGTGAATGACTTCAATTCAATTACTACTGTAATAAAGAACTAGGCGAACGCGAAAGAGACTAGCTCTTTTAGTAAGTCTATATAAGACTTACTACTTTCAATATGTAGCTAGCTCTTTAGACAGAATACAATTAGACATACAGGACCTACGTAATCCGTGGGTGCTACGTCTTCCGTATCCTTCTCGTACCAACAATATCAAAGTGCTCCGTTCTCAAGGCCTGGTGGGTAGCCCTCTCTTTCTTAACACCGATTTGCGTTCGGGTGTTTATATTTTCTGGCCGTATGAGTGTCTTTACTGGTATAACGGAATAGAGCTGCGAACTTGAAACTCTTTCTTTTCTTTCCTTTAAAGATTATTTTTCAGATTTCCAATCATTAAAAATATAAAGATTTCATTCACAATTTCCATTATAAAGTCAACAATATATTGTTAAATATCGAAACGCTTAATAAAAATTTAATTATAAATTATAACGTATAAATAATTCTACTCTCTTTTATTTGTGGGTATAACGTGATTTATCAGTATGTGCATCATATCATGTTGGGTTTCTTGAGACTAGAAAGAGTATCAGATTGAATTGATTGATTCTCTAGCTAAGCAGTTAAGCTGCGAGCATATATTCAAAAAAATGAAGGAATAGGTTGGGTATTCAGCCTTCGGAATTAAAGTGCTTTGAAATCAAAATATTGAAAGCAAACAAACAGTATACCAAAAAGGAAAGAATGAATTAAAAGTTGAGTTTTGTTTGCTCCTTATATGCATATGTACTATATATGCATATGCTGCCAAGATCCCAGGAGGTCAACATATCAGCATGTGCACCACTTTTACCTCAATTATTATCTTTCAATTAAAATAAAATTACAAAAACATTATAAAATAGAATTAAATTATATACAATCTAAAGATCAATTAATGCTGGATCTAATTGACAAGTTCGTGTATTATGTGAAGTACTACTGTATTTGCTATATTGTTGTATAATAACTTGTCTTTTTGTTGAAGAATTATCATTTATATATTCGTTGTATTGTATCTGATCATTTACATTCTTTTGCTTTAATATATTATATCTATTCCTTACTGAAAGTGCTCCTCCTTTTCGTATTAAAGCTTTTTTAGCTCTTCGACATTTACTAAATGCTTCATTTGCTTTACAGAGATTATGAATCTCAACAATTAAAAGTGTATTTGTATAAGCTAGGAGTTCTATACCCTTAGCTAAAGTTGCAATTGTTTCAAATATTGAAGTAAATGAATTCTTTTGATTTCGAGCAATATGATTTTTCACTAAAGTAGATTAAGAGAGAGCTTCAATTGGATTGTGAGGTGTTTGAGATTGTTATATATCAGGATTGGTTGATATTGATCTATTTGATGGAGTTCTTATTCAAATATCTAGTTTTGAAAGTACAATTTCCGGATTAAATGGGATTAGCCCAGCTCCGCGGAACCCAGCTTTACTATTTGATATAGATATTGCTTCGATATATACAGTTTTGAAGACTTGAAAGAATTTGGTTTTGGTAATATGAATAATATGCGTCTTGATAAAATTCTTGATTTGTCGATTATATGAATACTTTAAAGGACTAAAACAGCTGATATCGAATAGTTGAGTTAAATACAAAGAATGAGATAATAAACTAAGTAATATAATATCGTGTTCCTTACAGTATTCCTGAAATGTTGGCGATTTATGACTTTCATGCCTATCAAGCATTAGCATTTGATATCTACCCACTTTCCTATTTTCAGTATGTTTATTGAAGTGCTTAATTCATTCAAGATCTGTCTCATTATTTGTTCATCTATTAATAGTAGGTTTAATAAGCTAATTGTATAGTAAATCATTTTCGGTATATCAATTTGAAAGATGGTATTCGCTTTTTATTATCAAAAACAGAGGTATATTATGATCTTCTCTATCAATACAAATAATCGCTGTAGTTTATTCTTGATTGTCTAATTGTATAGCTTTGCTTTTTCCATATCGATTAGCTTTAGTAACTACTATATATGATGATATTTGTCCTATTATAAAGCCTGTTTCATCGAAGTTGTAGAAATCGCAGTCCAAAATACTATATTTGGCCTGCATATTCGATATCAATCGAAACTATCTTTCAATAAGCTCTGAATCTTCGTAGAGAGCTTTTTGAAAGTCATAAACACGATTAAAACGTATCTTTAATTCTGTATATCGTTTCACAAAACGATGAGCCCAGAGCTTTCCAACCTTCTTCGCACCCTATACTTCGAGTATATAATTCGCCATATCTTCTATATCACTTATTCGAGGACTAAACCCTTTTTCATCCATATCCAATATATATTGAAGAAGCGATTTCTCCTTCAATTCTATCATTTTATGATTTGTTGGTTGATATTCAATAAAAGACAGAATTTCATTCATTCTAAAAGTAAGGGTAATATAAGGTATATTATAGAGTTTTGCAGCTTTCCGAATACTCAAATTTTGAGATATACAAATAGCCTCAATAGCTAAATTGATTCGAGCTTCTTTTGAAGTAGTTTGCATAATTAAATATTGATAAATCGCGTGTTGAAGTTGAAAGGTAATAATTGAGGTAAAAGTGTACAGGGTCCTGATATGTACAGGGTCCTGATAAACCACGTTATAATAACTTTGCTTATATAATCTAGGAACTTCTACAAAACTCTAATAAGTGTCTATAAGATATCGGTGGCTTGGCACTATTTCAAACGCTCCCGGAGAATCATCATCTTTTCGAAACAGAAGTTTAGCCTTACAAATAGCAAGTGTGGAGCATTGGCGATGGAGTCTTCGTCACTCACCGTTTTGTTTCTCTTTTCTATCCCACTCTCATTTTAATTCTTCTTCAAACATTGCATCTCCGTCCACTCATTGCTATCACCGTCCACTATGCACGATGCTCATTCCAATTTTCCATCAATCCACCACATCAAAACCTTGAAGATTATTGTGATTCTGGCAGGGAGTAAAGATATGGCATTACGCGGCCACGTCCTGTACTTTGACTTCTTTGTCAGTCTTATGGGTGTTGCCGACTTCAGTGAACGTTGCCACATCACAGCCCTTGAGGGTATCGTCAAGGTAGCTGCGCATATCATGTCCCCATGTAATCCAGGGGGTTCTTTGGGCAACACAATTGGATTGCGTATGTCGGTGGCTAGGCCTGGTGTAAATCTTTCAAAGCACTTTTCATAGTTGATAAGGCAGAAGCAATTAAGTATATCTACAATGAAGTCAACCGAGTGTTTATGTACTTCATGCTCACTTGCACCTTCCAGTCACGTCTTTCTAGCATTCTACACTCATTTTCTATTGTTTAAGTTTGCTTTCTTTGCCTGTCATGAGGGTTCAAATTTGCCATATAATTGGCGCCTTTCTCTTACCTTTGGCCGTTGGTGCTACAAATTCTTCCTCGGTGGAAGGGCTATTGAGTTCTAATAACGGTAGGTCAATGTGGACAAATTCGAACAGAAGTATTCTTGCTAACTATCTTTCAGTTGATCTTGGGGCTTGGACCGCAGCTTATAAGCAAGCTCAAGCTTTCATCGCCGGACTTTCCAATGAAGACAAACTTAGCTTGATCACCGGCAGCGATGTCAAATCAGCAAACTGGACCTCTCTTGTATTTTTAGATGGAACTCAAGGCCCACAAGGATACGAATATGTTACTGGTTGGTCAGAAACATCTGCACTTGCGCATTCTTGGGATAAAACCATGATGTGGAATCAGTTTAAAGGAATTGCCGCCGAATTCTACAACAAAGGTGTACAGGTTACGAACGCTCCAACGTCTCAGCCTCTTGGTCGAACTCCTTGGGGTGGTCGTCTTGTCGAAACTATGGGACAAGATAGTTACCTCAATGGTATTATGTTTGGACTTGGTGTTAAAGCCTTCACAGAAACTGGAATGTATGTTCAATCTGTCCTTACCTGATCTCCAATTCTACATGGGTGTTTCATCTTCTCAATCATCTTCATTTCATTGTAATAAACTGACTCCGCGTGCGCAGCATTTCCGGAGGCAAGCATTTCCTTCTCAATGAGCAAGAAACCAATCGACAATCAGGCAAAAGTGGTATCGCTCCATACACGTCCAATGCTGATGATAAAACCCTTCATGAGACATACCTCGCACCATTCTATGATGGTGTTAAGAACGGATTGGGTGCTGTCATGTGCGCCATGACCCAAGTCAATGGCACACTCTCCTGCGAAAACTCAGATCTTTTAATGCATTATCTAAAGACCGAGCTAGGATTCCCAGGACTTGTATACCCTGATGTAAGTGGCCAATCAACTGCTTTTGGTTCAGCAAATGGAGGTCTTGACTATGGAAGTTCGAGAATCTGGAGTAACTCCTCTATTACGACTGGTCTCTCTAACGGCACTCTGTCGCAAGCACGACTTGACGATATGGCCATACGAAATGTCATAGGATACTACTATGTCAACCTCAACAACGGCAGCCAGCCTTCTTACGTCTCATCTTCAGCATACCGTGATGTTCGGGCCAATCACGGTACTATTGTGAGAGAAAATGGTGCGGCTTCCTTGGTTCTACTCAAAAATACCAATAATGCTTTACCCCTTTCGAAGCCATTAAGCATGGCCGTCTTCGGTTCACACGCTGGACCCGCCATGGCTGGACCAAACTACGCTTTTACTATCGATAACACTGAAATGACATACCAGGGACATCTTGCTGGTGGTTCTGGTTCTGGTCAGACTTCTTTCCCTTACCTCATTACTCCTCAACATGCTCTCACCATTCAAGCCAAAGAGGATGGCACTATGATACGTTGGATCTTAAACAACACCTATACTAGTACGATCTCCGGAGGCTTTGGAAGTTTTACCAAGAGACAGGAAATAGTAGACTTTGGTGGAAATGGAACTGCTCCAACGCGGGGTAAGAATGGGACCACAGGCTTCGGTGGCGGTGGCGGGTTCCCTGGACTCAGCGGTGGAACTGCCCTCACTCAAGATATTTCTAGCTATGCTTCTGATGCAGAAGTATGCCTCGTATTCTTGAATGCATTCTCCGGCGAAGGCGCTGATCGCACCGAACTCCGAAACACCGAACAAGATTCCCTTGTCACTTCTGTCGCAGCCGAATGCAACAACACAATCGTCATAATCAATACCGTCGGTGCCCGACTCGTTGACACTTGGATCGAGAACGAAAACGTCACAGCCGTTGTCTATGGTGGACTTCTCGGTCAAGAGTCCGGTGATTCCATCGTCGATGTTCTTTACGGAAATGTCAACCCATCAGGCCGTTTATCCCACACCATCGCCAAAAATGAATCAGACTACAATGTAGAAATCTGCACAACCCACGTTTGCAACTTTACCGAGGGTAACTATATCGATTACAAATACTTTGACGCGTATAATGTTACACCCAGATTTGAATTCGGATTCGGTTTAAGTTATACCAATTTCACTTACTCGAATCTCGGAGTCGAAATTATCAATTCCACCGCCCTGGCTTCCACATACCCTACTGGTATCTTATCCGTAGGAGGAAAAGAAGATCTCTGGACAGAGGTCGTATCCGTCAATGTCACCATATCCAATTCCGGCTCAGTAGCAGGAAATGAGATTGCACAATTGTATTTAGAGTTCCCAGTTGAGGCAGATGAACCCGTTAGACAATTGAGAGGATTTGAAAAGACGAGTTTGTTGGCGGCGGGTGATTCAGAGACGTTAGGGTTTAAGCTTCGGAGAAGAGATTTGAGTGTTTGGGATACGGTAGCCCAGGATTGGATGGTGGTTAGGGGCACTTATGTTGTGAATGTTGGGGCGAGTTCGAGGGATTTGAGGGTCGTGGGGAATGTTGTTGTGGTTTAGGGTGGGGGGTTGATTTGTATTGTTTGTGTATATATACTTTGGGTACTTTATAATTGGAGGATGTATATATTTATGAGAATTAAGAGTTATGTTTAATCCTTCTTGCAAGTCATTTTTACGGCTGATGGTGATGGCTCAATACTTTGAGTATTATAAATCTTGTGGGACATCACTTGAGTTATGTAATAATGAAGCACTTCATCGCATATTCAATGCCTTTCCCTCATGATTTTGAATAGATTATCAATTCATCAATACCACACATCTGCAGTCCGAAACCCAAACATCAAACACCGCACACTTATTACTGCAAAAAACCCCCACACCAATAATCCCTCTTAAACTAACTCCCTATTGCCAAGAGTAGCCCTCATCTCACCTCATCCCACTCCCTCACTTCTCCAAATCAAAATCTACCTCACAACCCTAAATCCCTCCTCCGCACCTTCTTCCTGCTTAGAATCCAAATCCAAATCCTTCTCCTCATAACTCATCACCCGCGCATAATAAGGTCCTTTCCTCAGATCCCAGCAAATTCTCTTGATTTAGGAGCAGCCCCATTGCAATTCTCAGTCTACCTACAATAGGTGAGAGCAACAGGTTCTTATAACATAAGTCATCAATCATAGATAGAGATAGAGATAGAGATAGAGATAGAGATAGAGATAGAGATAGAGATAGAGATAGAGATAGAGATAGAGATAGAGATAGAGATAGAGATAGAGATAGAGATAGAGATAGAGATAGAGATAGAGATAGAGATAGAGATGGAGATGGAGATGGAGATGGAGATGGAAATGGGGAGTTGGGAGAAAGGGGAATAGATATATATGTGGATGAGATAAGACAAAACGGACATACCTTCCCATCACTAGTATTACGTACCCAACCGATTATTCCCTGCGCTTTTGCTTTTTTTTGGGTGAAAGTGCGGAAATTTACACCTAATTTTTTGGAGAGAAGGGGAGGGGGTTAGGTATTTTTACTTCTTGAGTGGGTAGTTGGAGGAGATGGATAGATACTGTGGATTTTGTATGGTTGAGAGATGGATGTTTGAGTGAAGTTATGCTATGGGGTGAGGCTTAAATTTAATCATAAAGCTTACCTTGTACTTGGCCGCTTACTGTAAATGCTATCTGTGGAGATTTTATTAGTTGTTTATTCTAGATCTAGATACTGGATGTATGGAGGGATTGCGGTGTTAAGAGGGATGAGAGGGATGTTTGGGGTCACGGTAAGGGAGAGCTTCACGTACTCGTTTGGTTATGGCTTCGGTGGGTTGATCCATTTTTCAAAAATGGTAAGATGTGAAGTTAAGTATACCTCTAGTTTGTATAGGATGAACTGAAGTTAATTATAATCAACTTGATAAATTGCGATTTTCTGGATGTATTTCCATGTCATTGTCAACCTATAAGATCTTCATGCACCAATTCGTCATTGTGGCAGCAATGTGGCTGAAAGATATAGCTGAATGACTAATCATTTCCACCAGCCACGAAAGCAAATTCTCACCGCTTTCCTTCTCCATCGGCAGAACCAGCAATCTTCAAAAAAAGTTTCTCAAACCCCAAACCGATTTCCGAATCCCCAGCTTCTCAATTTAGCATTCCTCATCTACTCATCACACAATGCCAAAACAAAAAGCTCCCAAGGGCGCATCGAAAGATGTTTCCTCTACTGCAGAAGTTAATGATGCTCGATTTTCGAATTTCTCGACCGATCCAAGATTTCGTCTTCCTTCGAAGAAACAAACAAGGACTAAGATTGATAAACGATTTTCGCGTATGTTGAAAGATGAGGATTTTTCTAATTCGGCAAAGGTTGATAGGTATGGGAGGAAATTGAGTGGTAGTGGGAAGAAGAAGGCGCTTGAGAGGTTGTATGTTGATGAGGATGAGGATGAGGAGGATAGTGAGAGTGAGAATGAAGATGAAAATGGGCTTGGAGAAGATGTGGAAGTGGAGGATGATGAGGTAGTGGAGAAGGAATTGAGAAAAGCAGCTGCGGCGTATGATCCTGCAAGAGGTGGTGGGTTTTCTTCCTCGGAAGATGAGGCCAAGGATGAGGATGAAGATGGAGGAGTGGAAATTGACCCTTTTATTGGTTTTCCGAATATGCAAGCAGAGCAGCAGGC